ATATTTTTTTAAAGTTTTCTTTGGCCTTTATGCCTTTATTTGATAGAGACAGCTGAAGATTGACAGGAAAGGGGGGTTGCAGCAACTCCGCATATGGGTCGCCAGCTCTACCGACTGAGCTAACCGGGCGCCCAAGACAGATATGTTTTTAAACCGATGGGCTCCAGTAATGGATTACCTTGGATTACCAGTAGGAGGCACTGTACTGACTGCCATAACTAACACAAATAAATTATTTTTGTTTATTTATTTTAGGGTTGTTGTTTTCTTGGAGACTCATGTGGCGGTACATGATACCATGATTAGTCAGTCTATAGTCAGTTTAAAGTCACAGCCCTCTATAGTCATATAATACAATGGAATAAATGTTCAATCTGAAGAACATTTATTTATATCATAAACATTTATAAGAAGGATACAAGAGAAGATAAGTAGCTTCGGCATCCTGCAGGCTTAAACATGTTAAAATACACAATGAAAGTTTGTCGAGAGAAACCTATTCCTAATAAAAGAGGTCTGTCTCACCCATCCAGTCCTCAGCTCTGTTCTCTGGGTTCTGCTGGTTGTGTTGGTGCTCTGCAGCAGGAGGATGTTCCTCCATCTGAACATCTATGTATCAGACAGAATAATCAGCAGAAAAATTATTTTGGGTTTGGTTCAAACTGTAAACTCTACCTGTACTCACCTGCGGCTGACTCTGGTTGGTCAGCTGAACGGACACTCTGGCACCTGGAGAGACGTGGGAGGGGTTCTGAGTACACTGTGCTGATTGCCTGGGTGCTGGTGGGCACGCCTATGTTGTTCCAGTACAAGCCAATGGGAGAGGAGGTTGCTGTTGACACATCTGTTCAAAAGGAAACAGTGTTGAAAGGTCAGAGATCATTATGTGTATGAACTTTGAATAAAGTTGTTTTTGTACAGTGTTAATAAAGTTGTGTGTTTGTACAGTGTTAATAAAGTTGTGTGTTTGTACAGTGATAATAAAGTTGTGTGTCTGTACAGTGATAATAAAGTTGTGTTTGTACAGTGTTAATAAAGTTGTGTGTTTGTACAGTGTTAATAAAGTTGTGTTTGTACGGTGTTAATAAAGTTGTGTGTTTGTACGGTGTTAATAAAGTTGTGTGTTTGTACAGTGTTAATAAAGTTGTGTGTTTGTACAGTGTTAATAAAGTTGTGTTTGTACAGTGTTAATAAAGTTGTGTTTGTACAGTGTTAATAAAGTTGTGTGTTTGTACGGTGTTAATAAAGTTGTGTGTTTGTACAGTGTTAATAAAGTTGTGTGTTTGTACAGTGTTAATAAAGTTGTGTTTGTACAGTGTTAATAAAGTTGTGTGTTTGTACAGTGTTAATAAAGTTGTGTCTGTACAGTGTTAATAAAGTTGTGTGTTGTACAGTGTTAATAAAGTTGTGTGTTTGTACAGTGATAATAAAGTTGTGTGTTTGTACAGTGATAATAAAGTTGTGTGTTTGTACAGTGTTAATAAAGTTGTGTGTTTGTACAGTGTTAATAAAGTTGTGTGTTTGTACAGTGTTAATAAAGTTGTGTGTTGTACAGTGTTAATAAAGTTGTGTGTTTGTACAGTGATAATAAAGTTGTGTGTTTGTACAGTGTTAATAAAGTTGTGTTTGTACAGTGATAATAAAGTTGTGTGTTTGTACAGTGTTAATAAAGTTGTGTGTTTGTACAGTGTTAATAAAGTTGTGTGTTTGTACAGTGTTAATAAAGTTGTGTGTTTGTACAGTGATAATAAAGTTGTGTGTTTGTACAGTGTTAATAAAGTTGTGTGTTTGTACAGTGATAATAAAGTTGTGTGTTTGTACAGTGTTAATAAAGTTGTGTGTTTGTACAGTGATAATAAAGTTGTGTTTGTACAGTGTTAATAAAGTTGTGTGTCTGTACAGTGTTAATAAAGTTGTGTGTTTGTACAGTGATAATAAAGTTGTGTGTTTGTACAGTGTTAATAAAGTTGTGTGTTTGTACAGTGTTAATAAAGTTGTGTGTCTGTACAGTGTTAATAAAGTTGTGTGTTTGTACAGTGTTAATAAAGTTGTGTGTTTGTACAGTGTTACAGTTAATAAAGTTGTGTGTTTGTACAGTGTTAATAAAGTTGTGTGTCTGTACAGTGATAATAAATTTTACAGTTTAAAAAGTTGTGTGTTTGTACAGTGTTAATAAAGTTGTGTGTTTGTACAGTGTTAATAAAGTTGTGTGTTTGTACAGTGTTAATAAAGTTGTGTGTTTGTACAGTTTTAATAAAGTTGTGTGTTTGTACAGTGTTAATAAAGTTGTGTGTCTGTACAGTGTTAATAAAGTTGTGTGTTTGTACAGTGTTAATAAAGTTGTGTGTTTGTACAGTGTTAATAAAGTTGTGTGTTTGTACAGTGATAATAAAGTTGTGTTTGTACAGTGTTAATAAAGTTGTGTGTTTGTACAGTGTTAATAAAGTTGTGTTTGTACAGTGTTAATAAAGTTGTGTGTCTGTACAGTGATAATAAAGTTGTGTGTTTGTAATTTTTTTAATAATTTTTGTTTGTAAATAAATTGTTTGTACAATGTAAATAAAGTTGTGTTTGTACAGTGTAAATAAAGTTGTGTTTGTAAATAAAGTTGTGTGTCTGTACAGTGTTAATAAAGTTGTGTGTTTGTACAGTGTTAATAAAGTTGTGTTTGTACAGTGATAATAAAGTTGTGTGTCTGTACAGTGATAATAAAGTTGTGTGTTTGTACAGTGATAATAAAGTTGTGTGTCTGTACAGTGTTAATAAAGTTGTGTGTCTGTACAGTGTTAATAAAGTTGTGTGTCTGTACAGTGTTAATAAAGTTGTGTGTCTGTACAGTGTTAATAAAGTTGTGTGTTTGTACAGTGTTAATAAAGTTGTGTGTTTGTACAGTGATAATAAAGTTGTGTGTTTGTACAGTGATAATAAAGTTGTGTGTCTGTACAGTGTTAATAAAGTTGTGTGTCTGTACAGTGTTAATAAAGTTGTGTGTCTGTACAGTGTTAATAAAGTTGTGTGTTTGTACAGTGATCAGTGAGGACAAACATAGGACAGGGCTGGCCACAGCCGATGATTTCAGAATAAACTTCCTGTTTCCAAAAGAATAAAAGTGATGAAACAAGTGAAAACACTTAATATAAACTATCAAATAAACAGCAACGATAAACAATATCACTATGTCTTAAAAGGGTGTGAATATGGTTTGAATATTTCAGTGAAATTAAACTGTTAAAAGTGAAAAACTTCAACAGTTGAATTAAAAATCTACAAACGGATCCATTTTATTTGTTTATTGTTTAAAGTTTATGTCATTTTAATAATGTCAACATGACTCGTTAATTAAAGATCCATTTGAATGTCATTAAACTTCATTAAAACTGGAGTAAACTGACCGTATGTTTGTCTGCGGAGCTTCCTGAAGGGACAGTGTTCTCGGAGCCGCAGCAGACAGGACTTCCTCCTCACAGGAAGAGACTCCATAAAGAAAACACTCGACTCTGAAACTGTCCCCTCTGTGTAAAACAAACTGTTCTCTTCTGTTCAGAACCTCTTTCAGCCCGGGAAGACTTCAGTTAACACAAACATCTCTGTCAACACCGAGTGTCTGTCGGCAGAGTCTACCTGCAGACGCCTCACCTGAGCCTTCAAAATAAAAGCCCTGTCAGCCTGTAAAGACTTCTTCCTTACTGACGAACACGAGTCTCAGATTGTTACAGCCAAAACATAAAACTCAAATAAAGCTAATAACTTTGACTCATAAGAAACATTTTACACTTAAAATAAAGAGATAAAACATCTTCAGTGTCGTTGTTTGCTCTCCAGTTCGGATAGAACCGATGCTAGCAGCAGCTATGCTAACCTCTTTAGCAGCCGTCATTGTTGTTCAATGGTTTTCTTATTTTACTGGAATACATTTTCTTAATAAACAACAAAAATAAGTTTAAAGTCATTTAACAAACATACAAAAGAGGATTAATTCACTTAGCAGTGAATAAGATTTAAATCAAAAAGAAAATATGAGAAATGTCAGAATGTCATTACCAGTTCTTTATATCTGACTAAAATCTTTTGGGCATGGGACACAAGACAAACACATGTTCTAATTTTTCATTTGCCATATTACAAAAGCAGCAAGCAGGTGAACCTTATGAATTATTTTGAAATGAGTTTCTTTGTCCTCAGGATAAATAGGCAGTTTAAGTTATTACAATTAGAACGATAGACAAAGTTTGACGCAGAGACTGAAGCCTGTAAGACGGAGGAGACTTTAAAAGGTGGGTTTATAGAGCTGATGGTTGTGTATACAGAGCTCTCGCTGGTGTTACAGCCGTATTTAACGGCAGCGTGCAGAATGTATCCAACCACAGTATTGTGTCCCCTGCAGCTCGTAGGTAACAATGGCAGCAGGTGTTCATCACGCCGCAGGCACAACTCTGAAACTGATAACATTAATGAAGCTTCAACAGCTGATTATTGATCATAGCTCAAAATATCTGATGTGAAAAAAACACTGAACTGGTGTGAAGGTTAAAGAGTATAAAACACCTGTAAACATGTGTGACTCACCTGCCAGGTCGGTGTGTTCAATATACTTATTGATTTATTAACATCAGAATCAATAAATGATTCAGACAAGCTTTTGAATCTGATCATATATAATAAGTAAATATATAGTTACAAATAGATTTTTCATATTATTAAAGATTCACATTGAAACCTGAATTGTCCTGATTTTATTTTGACGGCACACTGTCAGCACTTCCTGTGTGCAGGTGGCAGTTTGTGTTTGGTGTCGACTGACGGTCTGACCGGTTCCACCAGAAAAACACTACCAGCTTCATGTGACTCAAGAACAGATCAATCAATACAGACCCATCACTAATCAATAAAGAACGTATATATCAATAATAATTATATTACAAGAACATTTGTCAGAGAGTTAAAGGTGTAAAATATTGTTCGAATGTTATTAGTGAATAAAAATAAACTCACACAGGAAGTGAAGATGAATGCTTTTATTGTGAAATGGGATACTTGGTATAAAGTATAAAAACAAACAAAAGTTTTTTTTTAACAAAATCAAACATTAAATGATCATAAAACTGATTTTACAAAATAAAATGTTGAACAATGAACCAACCAAAACAGGAAGTCCCTACAAATAAAACAGGAAGTAGTTTAAGATTTAATGAAGACCATGAGAGAGAAAGTGGGCGGGGTTATAAACAATGTGGGAGGAGTTATAATCTGTTTTATGTTTTAACAGAAAAACTTTTAAACTTTTACTCTGTTTATATTCTGTTTGAAAGTTTCAGTTCATAAAAAATTAAATCTCCAAAAATATTTCAGGTTATTGATTATTGATCAGTTATCATCCCCAGAACCTTTGTCTGCCAGCGGGTGGAGGCAACACCTCCTCAGGAGGCGGGGGGAGGCTGAAGATGGACCCTGCCGCCTCCACTGTGAAGATGAAGTAGATGTTGGCGGCCATCATGGCAAGACTCGGCAGGAAGGAGAGGCCGAAACCGAAACCACGAACGCTGCTGCCGAAAGCTGCGGCCACCCAATAAACCAGCCTGTAGAGACAAAACAAACGCACCTCTAACGAACAGTGTAAACAGTCTGTAGAGACAAAACAAACGCACCTCTAACGAACAGTGTAACTTAACAGTGTAAACAGTCTGTAGACACAAAACAAACGCACCTCTAAAAATAAAACTAGACACAAAACAAACCACCTTAACGAACAGTGTAAACAGTCTGTAGACACAAAACAAACGCACCTCTAACGAACAGTTCAAACAGTCTGTAGACACAAAACAAACGCACCTCTAACGAACAGTGTAAACAGTCTGTAGACACAAAACAAACGCACCTCTAACGAACAGTGTAAACAGTCTGTAGACACAAAACAAACGCACCTCTAACGAACAGTTTAAACAGTCTGTAGACACAAAACAAACTCACCTCTAACGAACAGTTCAAACAGTCTGTAGACACAAAACAAACGCACCTCTAACGAACAGTTCAAACAGTCTGTAGACACAAAACAAACGCACCTCTAACGAACAGTTCAAACAGTCTGTAGACACAAAACAAACGCACCTCTAACGAACAGTGTAAACAGTCTGTAGACACAAAACAAACGCACCTCTAACGAACAGTTTAAACAGTCTGTAGACACAAAAAACAAAACTCACCTCTAACGAACAGTTCAAACAGTCTGTAGACACAAAACAAACGCACCTCTAACGAACAGTTCAAACAGTCTGTAGACACAAAACAAACGCACCTCTAACGAACAGTTCAAACAGTCTGTAGACACAAAACAAACGCACCTCTAACGAACAGTTCAAATAAACAGTCTGTAGACACAAAACAAACGCACCTCTAACGAACAGTTTAAACAGTCTGTAGACACAAAACAAACGCACCTCTAACGAACAGTTTAAACAGTCTGTAGACACAAAACAAACGCACCTCTAACGAACAGTTTAAACAGTCTGTAGACACAAAACAAACGCACCTCTAACGAACAGTTCAAACAGTCTGTAACACAAAAAAACGCACCTCTAACGAACAGTTCAAACAACAAACAAAACAAACCAAACGCACCTCTAACAACAGTAAACAGTCTGTAGACACAAAACAAACGCACCTCTAACGAACAGTTTAAACAGTCTGTAGACACAAAACAAACGCACCTCTAACGAACAGTGTAAACAGTCTGTAGACACAAAACAAACGCACCTCTAACGAACAGTTTAAACAGTCTGTAGACACAAAACAAACGCACCTCTAACGAACAGTGTAAACAGTCTGTAGACACAAAACAAACGCACCTCTAACGAACAGTTTAAACTCCTCCTTTGGAACGTTGCACATTCATTAATGAAAGGTTCATTAAAAGGGCCATTGATCGATTGACTGACTGATTGATCGATTGACTGACTGACTGATTGATTGATTGATTGATTGATTGATTGATTAGGTATTCACCGTCCGAAGGCGAAGACGACCGTCAGCAGAGGGACGAGCTTTAGCTGCTCCTGGCTCAGGTACATCGCCATGACGACCAGCTGCAGGAAGTAGATCAGGAAGAGGGAGGCGGAGTCAGAGACGAAGCGCCGATGGACGGTGACCTCCTGAAGCTCCACCTCCTTCACCTGGTCATCAAACAGAGGACGAAATGCACCCGACCGGAGCCGACTGACACCGAGAACCAGCCAACCTGAGAGACAGACAGGAGAGAGACTGACAGGTGAGACGACAGAGAGACAGACGAGAGACAGACAGGAGAGAGACAGACAGCCTGTCGCACTGACCGAGGACGATGGGGACCGTGGCGAACACGGAGCAGCGCAGCGTGTAGACGAGTCTGAGGGCGGCGCCGTCCATCAGGGGGGCGTCAAACGGCAGGAAGACAAACCCCCCCCACACCAGGAAGGGGAAGAAGAGCGCTGACGTCACCAGAGACACACCCACCTTCAGGAAGTCCCTGCTGGGACAGCCCCGCCCACCTGAGACAGACAGACAGGTCAAAGAGAGACAGGTCAAAGAGACAGAGACAGATCAGATATACACAGACAGGTATAGTTACAGGTGGCAGGGGGCGTGTCCTCGGTCCACTCGTACTGGTAGCCATGATGGTTGTAGTCCTGAGGAACTCCTCGGGGACCCAGGAAGGGGCTCTTCTCTGACTCCATTTCCCAGAATGCTTCACTCTCTCTGGGTGAGGAGGGGGAGTGGAGGACGGTCACTGCGGGACTGAACACCTGAGCAGCTTTCTCTGGCAGGTGGTTCTCTACAGGCTCCTCCTCCTTCTGGAGGTGGTTTGTAAGCCCTGCCCGCTCATCTTCAACTCCCCCTCCCTCCCCCCTCCTCCCCCGCTCGGCCATCAGCTCTCTCTCACTTTCTGTCCAACTCGCCGCCTCACGTACAGACGCGTCTGACCTCACACTCCTCCTGTCACCTTTATCTGTCTGTCCACCTGTCTGTCTGTCTCCGGGCCACTGCAGGGTGCTGGGCTCCATCATGGCCGACGCCACCACCTCGTCCTCACCCTCCATCTGTCTCCTCTTTGTCCTCCTGCTGTCCTCCATCTTGGTACTTCCTGTTGGGTACTGGGCGTCTTCTGGACGATCGTCTGTCAGCAGAGACATATCTGTCCGTCTGTCTGTCTGCCTGTCTGTCTGCCTGTCTGTCTGTCACTAGAGGAGGTGTCAGCTCCTGAAAACAAAACATACATGTTTTATTTTTATTATTCTTGTTAATAACAGACATTAGAGAGATTATAATAATTATATATAACTTAATTACATATTGAATATATTGATTATAATTATATATAATTTAATTACATATTGAATATATTGATTATAATTATATATAATTTAATTACATATTAATATAATTATATATAATTTAATTACATATTGAATATATTGATTATAATTATATATAATTTAATTACATATTAATATATTACTATAAATATATATAATTTAATTACATATTAATATGTTACTATAATTATATATAATTTAATTACATATTGAATATATTGATTATAATTATATATAATTTAATTACATATTAATATATTACTATAATTATATATAATTTAATTACATATTAATATATTACTATGAATATATATAATTTAATTACATATTGAATATATTACTTTAATTATATATAATTTAATTACATATTGAATATATTGATTATAATTATATATAATTTAATTACATATTGAATATATTACTATAATTATATATTATTTAATTACATATTAATATATTACTATAAATATATATAATTTAATTACATATTAATATATTACTATAAATATATATAATTTAATTACATATTGATATATTACTATAATTATATATAATTTAATTACATATTGAATATATTGATTATAATTATATATAATTTAATTAAATATTGAATATATTGATTATAATTATATATAATTTAATTACATATTAATATATTACTATAAATATATATAATTTAATTACATATTAATATATTACTATAAATATATATAATTTAATTACATATTGATATATTACTATAATTATATATAATTTAATTACAAATTGAATATATTGATTATAATTATATATAATTTAATTACATATTGAATATATTGATTATAATGATATATAATTTAATAACATATTAATATATTAATATAATTTTATATAATTTAATTACATATTAATATATTACTATAAATATATATAATTTAATTACATATTATTATATTAATATAATTATATTTAATTTAATTACATATTGAATATATTACTATAATTATATATTATTTAATTACATATTAATATATTACTATAAATATATATAATTTAATTACATATTAATATATTACTATAAATATATATAATTTAATTACATATTGAATATATTGATTATAATTATATATAATTTAATTACATATTGAATATATTACTATAATTATATATAATTTAATTACATATTAATATATTACTATAAATATATATAATTTAATTACATATTAATATAATACTATAAATATATATAATTTAATTACATATTGATATATTACTATAATTATATATAATTTAATTACATATTGAATATATTGATTATAATTATATATAATTTAATTACATATTAATATATTACTATAAATATATATAATTTAATTACATATTGAATATATTGATTATAATTATATATAATTTAATTACATATTGATATATTACTATAAATATATATAATTTAATTACATATTAATATATTACTATAAATATATATAATTTAATTACATATTGAATATATTGATTATAATTATATATAATTTAATTACATATTGAATATATTACTATAATTATATATAATTTAATTACATATTAATATATTACTATAAATATATATAATTTAATTACATATTAATATATTACTATAAATATATATAATTTAATTACATATTGAATATATTGATTATAATTATATATAATTTAATTACATATTGAATATATTGATTATAATTATATATAATTTAATTACATATTAATATATTACTATAAATATATATAATTTAATTACATATTGAATATATTGATTATAATTATATATAATTTAATTACATATTGATATATTACTATAAATATATATAATTTAATTACATATTGAATATATTGATTATAATTATATATAATTTAATTACATATTAATATATTACTATAAATATATATAATTTAATTACATATTGAATATATTGATTATAATTATATATAATTTAATTACATATTGATATATTACTATAAATATATATAATTTAATTACATATTGATATATTACTATAAATATATATAATTTAATTACATATTGAATATATTGATTATAATTATATATAATTTAATTACATATTGATATATTACTATAATTATATATAATTTAATTACATATTGAATATATTGATTATAATTATATATAATTTAATTACATATTGATATATTACTATAAATATATATAATTTAATTACATATTGAATATATTACTATAATTATATATAATTTAATTACATATTGAATATATTGATTATAATTATATATAATTTAATTACATATTGATATATTACTATAAATATATATAATTTAATTACATATTGATATATTACTATAAATATATATAATTTAATTACATATTGATATATTACTATAAATATATATAATTTAATTACATATTGAATATATTGATTATAATTATATATAATTTAATTATATAATAATTTAATTACATATTGATATATTACTATAAATATATATAATTTAATTACATATTGAATATATTGATTATAATTATATATAATTTAATTACATATTGATATATTACTATAAATATATATAATTTAATTACATATTGAATATATTACTATAAATATATATAATTTAATTACATATTGAATATATTGATTATAATTATATATAATTTAATTACATATTGATATATTACTATAAATATATATAATTTAATTACATATTGAATATATTACTATAAATATATATAATTTAATTACATATTGATATATTACTATAAATATATATAATTTAATTACATATTGATATATTACTATAAATATATATAATTTAATTACATATTGAATTGACTGTAGAACAACCTAAAGGTAACTGTAGCCCCGCCCACTGCCAGTGACGTCAGTCAGACTCCAACATAGTGGCTATGACGTACTTCAGCTGAAACTATGACGTACTTCAGCTGAAACTAATCCGTCTCATCGACTGTTACACGTCATCAGCTACGTGATTATTTTACCGATCAATGAGGAGAAAGAACCGATCGATAATCACTGCAGGAGAAGCAGCAGCTCTGTGCTAACACGCTAACGCGTTAGCTAATATGCTAATGTAGCAGCTACCATGCTATTAGCTCAGTGTTAGCTCAGTGTTAGCTCAGGGCTAGCTCAGTGTTAGCTCAGGGCTAGCATGCTAACAGTGTTGGACAGAGACTGAAGAATAAACAATAAACAATAAACAATAAACAATAAACATTCCAGTTAAACTCACCGAAATAATTTCTTCTTTCTTCTTCTTCTGTTGTTGTTGTTGTGAAACTTCCCGGAAGTTCAGCTCAGGTGTGGTCACGTCAGGTGAGTTAAAGGGAAAGTCCTCTTAAAGGGAAACATACTGATTAAATATCTGGCCAAGTAAAAAACATCAGCACTTAATTTACAAAGTACCCTAATATTAATATAAATATAAAGTACTTTAATATTAATATAAATATAAAGTACCCTAATATTAATACAAATATAAAGTACTTTATTATTAATATTAATATAAAGTACTTTATTATTAATATTAATATAAAGTACTTTATTATTAATATAAAGTACTTTATTATTAATATAAATATAAAGTACTTAAATATATATATAAATATAAAGTACTTTAATATAAATATAAATATAAAGTACTTAAATATATATATAAATATAAAGTACTTTAATATAAATATAAATATAAAGTACTTTAATATTAATATAAATATAAAGTACCCTAATATTAATATAAATATAAAGTTCTTTATTATTAATATAAATATAAAGTACTTTAATATAAATATAAATACAAATACTTTAATATAAAGTACTTTATTATTAATATAAATATAAAGTACTTTAATATAAATATAAATATAAAGTACTTTAATATAAATATAAATATAAAGTACTTTATTATGAATATTAATACAAACACTTTGAAAATGACCTGAAAAGGCTACAGATGGAGAAAGAGGTATAATATTATTTCTATTTAAGAAATGAATGCCACTGAAATGTCCTTTATTTGAAATTGATTTAGATTAGATTAGATTAGATACTTTATTCATCCCCAAGGGGAAATTCACAGTTTCCAGCAGTATCCACAGACTCATAATAATAACAACAACAACAACAACAACAACAACAACAACAACAACAACAACAGGAGGTCAAATTTAAAAGAAATAACAAAATAAAGTAGAATAAATAGCTAAATAAGGAGCATTGGGTGAGTGTCCTAAGGTGTTCCCATATTCAGGGTGCACTGCGTCAGGTGGTACAGTTTGATACAGGGTAGACATATTGGAGTTTTCCTCCCCCGCGTGGAGTTGGAGAGCCTGATGGCGTGGGGGAGGAACGATCTCCTCCATCTTTCAGTGGAGCAGGACAGTGACAGCAGCCTGTCACTGAAGCTGCTCCTCTGCCTGTAGATGGTGCTGTGCAGTGGATGCAGTGGATGGTCCCTGACTGACAGGAGCCTGTTCAGCGCCCGTCGCACTGCCACAAATGTCAGTCTGTCCAGCTCTGTGCCCAACACAGAGCCCACCTTCCTCACCAGTTTGTCCAGACGGAAGGCGTCCCTCTTCTTAATGCTGCCTCCCCAGCAGGTGTTCATAGTATTAAGCTTTGCTTGTTCCAGATTCAGTGTTCAAGTAAAACATCTGTAAAAGGGAAAAATAATATATGAGGAAGAGACAGTAGGTACAATGGTGTTTTGAAGTTAAAACTAATTATTTTTCTCTTTTACAGATTCACTGTGACAGCTGTTGCAGGTGGTTCCACATACAGTGCCTACAAATGGACACAGCAGAGCTGCAAAATACCAAGAATGTGGACTGGAATTGCATTTTGTGTGAAAAGTAAACAAATTAGAAATGTGGAGGATTTTGTGTTTAGTCTTTATATTATCATTTTGTTATAAGATGTTATTAAACATTTGTGTGAAATTTTGTCATGATTACTGCATCATTATTGCAGTATAATGAAAATGCTTCACCCATAGCATGTTACTAACTTCACTTCTTCCCCGGAGTTCTTGTGCTTTCTCGTCTTGCAGGTTCTTGTCGATCCTGGTGGAGCCTCCTGCCATTGTCCTGCTAGATCGCCATTGCCAATACTGTTGTTGCTGTGCACCTGTCTGTCTGTCTGTCTGTCTCTCTCTCTCTCTCTCTCTCGCTCTCTCTCTCTCTCTCTCTCTCTCTCTCTCTCTCACCCCAACTGGTCGAGACAGACGACCACCCACCTAGAGCCGGAGGATCTGTCCTAGGTTTCTGCCTTTTAACAGGCAGTTTTTCCTTGCCCTTGTCGCCAAGGTCTTGCTCATGGTGGTACTGTTGGGTCTCTGTAATTAATGTTTTAAAGAGTTCGGTCTAGACCTGCTCTATTTGAAAAGTGTCCTGAGATAACTTCTGTTATGAATTGGCGCCATACAAATAAAATTGAATTTAATTGAAATTGAATTGAATCATACACATCATCATCATCATACTCATCATACTCATCATACTCCTCATACTCATCATCTTACTCATCATACTCATCATACTCATCATCATACTCATCCTCATATTCATCATACTCATCCTCATTCTCATCATACTCATCATCATACTCATCCTCATACTCATCCTCATACTCATCCTCATCATTATCCTCATCATCCTCATCCTTGTCATTCTCATCATCCTCATCATCATTATCCTCATCGTCATACTCATCATCATACTCATCATACTCCTCCACAGTTATGAATTGGCGCTATACAAATAAAATTGAATTGAATTGAATTGAATTGAATTGAGCAAAGTGTTTTTACAGTAGCTCAAATATAAGAAAATATAGAATCTGGAGGTATAAATATGGGACTTGTATTCTTAAATTTCTCCAAATTGGTGCAGTAAAAATGCTTGATATTAAGTACACTTGTAGTCTTAGATGTGCAGAAGTCAAATATACCATCCATAGCGAGGAATTATTGAGCAAAGTGTTTTTACAGTAGCTCAAATATGGTCAAATATGCCACTTGGAGGTACAAATATGGAAGACTTTTATTGTCTAATTTCTCCACATTGGTACAGTAAAAATGCTTGATATTAAGTATGCTTGTAGTCTTAGATGTGTAGAAGTAAGATATACCATCCATAGCCAGGAATTATTGAGCAATATGTTTTTACAGTAGCTCAAATATATGAAAATACCACTTGGAGGTACAAATATGGACTTTTATTGTTGAATTTCTCCAAATTGGTACAGTAAAAATGTTTGATATTAAGCATACTTGTAGTCAGAACATTCGATCCAGGATTTAGAGAACAAGTTTAAAGGGTCTCCATCTAAACAGAATCTTAAAAGCTTAGAAGCAGCAAGATCGGCACTTAATCAACTCTTAACAAGCAAAGCAGAGGCTTCTATCCTTTTTGCCAGACAGAGGCTATATGAACACGGCAATAAGCCTGGCCGCCTTCTTGTCCGACTGGCAAAGGGCAGAAATGCCATTAATTTAATATCATCACTTAAAGATAGTAATGGAGACAAAGTTCATGAATCAAAAAAATTAACAATATTATGAAACAGTTCTACTATAAGTTATATTCCACCGAATACAATACATCGGATGAACTAAGAAAATCCTGTCTGGATCAAATCAGTCTCCCCTCTTGCACAGAAGAACAGCGGGAGCTCCTGAATAGGCCGGTTACCAGGGAAGAGGTCCTGGATGCTATTCGCACACTTCAAAGTGGGAAAGCACCGGGGCTGGATGGCTATGGGCCGGAGTATTATAAAAAAATGAGCGGAGTTGTGGTAGGCCCTCTGACCGATATGTTTTTGGACTCCTTCAGGAATAGATGTCTCCCTCCCTCTCTAAATTTAGCCAATATCTCTTTAATCCTGAAGAAAAATAAACCACCAGATGAGTGCAGTTCTTATAGACCTGTCAGCCTTATAAATGTGGACAGCAAGATACTTTCTAAAGTGCTGGCCAGAAGATTGGAGAATTATTTACCTTCACTTATCAATGACGATCAGACAGGCTTTATCAGGGTGAGGTTCTCGTACTCTAATGTGAGAAGACTTCTTAATGTGGTACTGTACTCCTCGGAGATGTGGCACCGGGCACTAGCTATATCATTGGACGTGGAAAAGGCGTTCGATAGGGTGGAGTGGAGGTTCATATGGGATGTCCTGAGCAGGTTTGGATTAGGAGAGGAGTTTACAAATTGGATAAAACTTATTTATCATTCACCAGAGGCCTGTGTCCTGACCAATGGCATGCATTCTTCTCCCTTCCCGCTCGGTAGAGGGACAAGACAGGGCTGCCCGCTCTCCCCCCTCCTTTTTGCCCTGACTTCAGAGCCACTGGCGGAACGCATTAGGAATAGTAAGGAAATACACAGCATTACTTTAGGCAAGACCACTCACAAGATAGCATTATATGCTGATGACGTTTTACTTTTTCTTTCCAAGCCCAAGGTATCAGTCCCTGCTACTATGTCAATTGTCAACTCATTTGGTTCCATATCTGGCTATAAAGTAAATTACACAAAATCTGAGGCCATGCCCCTGGGGAATTACGGTAGCACAAGCTCAGATACGAATTTCCTGTTCAGATGGGCCACTTCAGGCTTTGTTTATCTTGGTATTAAAGTGTCACCTAATGTGGACAACCTGAGGAGACTTCATTTTGTGCCTACAATCAGAACAATGAAGAATGACCTTGAGAGATGGCATGACCTTCCCCTCTCCTGGATGGGAAGAATCAATCTCATAAAGATGAACATACTCCCCAGGTTGCTTTACCCTATGCAGATGCTACCATTATGGTTACCAAAGATGGTTATGGGACTGGCTCCAGTCTCATTTAAAATCTGAAGTGGGTATTGATGAATGGTTCTCCTCTCCCTACTGAGCAAACTCACAAATTATGGAAACAAAGAGGTCGCCAGACATTAAGCGTAACCCTATTATTTACAACACTATCAGAGTCTGGCGAGACATTACAAAGCATTTTGGGGAAAAAGCTTCATCCTTTGCATTAACGCCTGTGACTACGAATGATGAGTTCGCCCCAGGAATTAATAATAGTGTGTTTGATAGTTGGCATAAGAAAGGCATCAGGCTTATTTGGGATGTATACCAGGGTAATACACTGATGTTCTTTCAACAGCTTCAACAAAAATATAACATTGCATCTGAACACTTTTATGGGTATCTTCAACTCCGTAGTTTTATTCTGTCAAAGGTGAAAAATCTCCACACAGGCACTCCCTCTCTCAGTGATATAGATTTATTTATACTGAATCGAAAAGACACAAGACATTTTCTCTCTCATTCCTATTCGCTGCTCTACTCCTTAGATCCATCAGATATAAGGAAGGTGATACAGAAGTGGGAACGCGATCTTGGTGGGCAATTTATCGAAGATGACTGGCATGAAGCAATAGTCTCTGCCAAAACCACATTTATTTGCAACCGAATGAGAGAAACCCAATATAAGATACTCCATAGCTCCCACATAACACACATAACTCCCCTTTGCATCAAATGTAAATTGTCTGTTGGGACATACATTCACTGCTTCTGGGAGTGTCGTTTGCAAGGTTTTGGAGCAATGTAGCCCAGGAATTGAGTAACATTTTCTCGCTTAAAGTTACAAAGGACAAGGCGACAGTTGGGGATGGCGGTGGGACTCTTACTTTATTTTTATTTATTTTTTTAGTTGTGTATGTATGTATGTATGTATGTATGTGTGTATGTGTATGCATGGATGTACGTATATATATATATATATATACGTACATACATTTATTTTTTTCTTTATTTATTTCTTTTTTTCTTTTTTAACTTTTTGGGGTAAGGACAGTCGTGAGCTACCTGAAGTCACTTTGGTTTGGATGGTGGTTTATTTTCCTTCCTGTTTTGATATTTTTGTGAATACAGAGAGCACTTGTATGTTGGTTACGTTCTAGTTCGATAAAAATCAATAAAATCTATTTAAAAAAAAAAAAGCATACTTGTAGTCTTAGATGTGTAAAAGTCAAATATACCATCAGTAGCCAGGAAACACTGAGCAATATGTTTTTACAGTACCTCAAATATAGTCAAATATGCAATCTCTGGAGGCATAAATATGAGGCTTTTATTTTGGCATTTCTCCACAGTGGTGCAGTAAAGATACTTGATATAAAGTGTTTTTTATTCATCATGGGCGCATGAAACACTTTAATGTAACATATTTTATTTTAAATGTAGGTTCGAATTATAGCTTACTATTCTAAATACCTTTATTTTGAAAACCGGAAGTAAATACGCTGTTTCTCCGCATTTACCATAATGCTGAGAATACTTGTACACTCTAAATTTAAGTGTGGCTGATTTGACCACGGGGATCGGACTCACGGCTGGTTTGACCGCAGTCTACTAGCCTACTGTTTCTTCTCCACAGCACCTTCCTGTAAATGACAACATCCGGTCTCAGAATATTCAATTTCAATTCAATTCAATTGTATTTGTATATCGCCAATTCATAACAGAAGTTATCTCAGGACACTTTTCAAATAGAGCAGGTCTAGACCGAACTCTTCAAAACATTAATTACAGAGACCCAACAGTACCACCATGAGCAAGCACTTGGCGACAAGGGCAAGGAAAAACTGCCTGTTAAAAGGCAGAAACCTAGGACAGATCCTCCGGCTCTAGGTGGGTGGTCGTCTGTCTCGACCAGTTGGGGTGAGAGAGAGAGAGAGAGAGAGAGACAGAGAGAGAGAGACAGACAGACAGGTGCACAGCAACAACAGTATTGGCAATGGCAATTTAGCAGGACCATGGCAGGAGGCTCCACCAGGATTGACAAGAACCTGCAAGACGAGAAAGCACAAGAACTCCGGGGAAGAAGTGAAGTTAGTAACATGCATTAATGGGACATGAATGAGTGCAGAAAGAGAGAGGAAGGGAGGAGCTCAGTGCACCATGGGAAATTCCCCGATAGTCTAGGTCTATAGCAGCATAACTAAGGGATGGTTCAGGACTCACCTGATCCAGCCCTAACTATAAGCTTTATCAAAGAGGAATGTCTTAAGCCTACTCTTGAATGTGGTGAGGGTGTCTGCCTCCCGAACCACAACTGGAAGCTGGTTCCACAGGAGAGGAGCTTGGTAACTGAAGGCTCTGGCTCCAGTTCTACTTTTAGAGACTATAGGAACCACAAGTAGCCCAGCATTCAGAGAACGTAGTGTTCTAGAGGGGTAATAGGGTACTATGAGCTCTTTAAGATATGAAGGGGCCTGACCATGAAGAGCTTTATAGGTGAGGAGGAGGATTTTAAATTCTATTCTACATTTTACAGGGAGCCAATGCAGAGAAGCTAGTACAGGAGAGATGTGATCTCTTTTTCTAGTTCCTGTCAGTACTCATGCTGCAGCGTTCTGAACTAATTGGAGCATTTTAATGGACTTATTGGGGCAACCTGATAATAAAGAGTTGCAGTAATCCAGCCTTGAAGTAACAAATGCATGGATTAGTTTTTCTGCATCTGTCTGTGATAGGATGTGTCTAATTTTTGTAATATTACGTAAATGAAAGAAGGCAGTCCTAGAGGTTTGCTTTATGTGGGAGTTAAATGACAAATCCTGATCAAAGATAACTCCAAGATTCCTGACAGTGGTGCTAGAGGCCAAGTTAATGCCATCTAGAGTAACTATATCTTTAGACAATGAGTCTCTAAGGTTTTTGGGGCCAAGAACAAGAATTTCGTTTTTTTCTGAGTTTAACATCAGAAAATTGCAGCTCATCCAGGATTTTATGTCCTTAAGACATGTTTGTAATTTAGATAATTGATTAATTTCATTGGGTTTGATTGATAGATATAACTGCGTATCATCTGCATAACAGTGAAAGTTAATGGAGTGATTCCTAATAATGTTGCCTAAAGGGAGCATATATAAAGTAAATAGTATTGGTCCAAGTACAGAACCTTGTGGAACTCCATGACTAACTGCAGTATTTAGTGAAGATTCATCGTTAACATGTACAAACTGCGAGCGATCTGATAAATATGACTTAAACCAGCTTAGTGCGGTTCCTTTAATGCCAATTTGATGCTCAAGTCTCTGTAAAAGAATATCATGGTCAATGGTGTCAAATGCAGCACTAAGATCTAATAATACAAGTACAGAGACAAGTCCATTGTCAGAAGCAGTCAGAAGGTCATTATTAACTTTAACCAGAGCTGTCTCTGTGCTATGATGAACTCTAAATCCTGACTGAAAACCCTCAAATAAACTATTGTTATGTAGAAAGTCACACAACTCTTTGGCGACTACTTTCTCCAGAATCTTAGAGAGGAAGGGGAGGTTAGAAATCAGTCTATAGTTGGCTAAAACCTCTGGGTCAAGAGTGGGCTTTTTAAGAAGAGGTTTAATTACAGCTACTTTAAAGGACTGTGGTACATATCCTGATAATAAAGAAAGATTAATCATATCCAGTAAAGAAGTGCCAATTAAGGGAACAACTTCTTTAAGCAGTCTAGTTGGGATCGGGTCTAATAGACAGGTTGATGGCTTCGATGAAGAAATGATTGAAGTTAACTGATGAAGATCGATAGCAGAAAAACTGTCTAAATATATATCTAAGTTTACATTGGCAGAAGTCCCTGAACTTGGAGAGCCACTGATAACTGTTGATGGCAGTTAGTGATTAATTTTCTCTCTAATAGTAATCATTTTATTATAAAAGAAGCTCATAAAGTTGTGACTAGAGCTGTGACTCTCTGTCAGCCTGGCTACAGTGCTGAAGAGGAACCTAGGGTTATTCTTATTTTCTTCTATTAGTGCTGAGTAATAGGCTCCTCTGGCATTACGGAGGGCCTTTCTATAAGTTTTAAGATTACTTTCTATAAGTTTTAAGATTACTATGCCAAATATGGAAAAACAGGACTTTTTTCCGTTTCTGTTTTCTAGTGAGTTTATTTTTTTTATATGAAATAGAAAATGAAAGTTTTTTAATTTCGCTCATCCCTTTTTGACGTATATTTTAATTTTAATTTTTTTATTTTAAAACGAAAATCAAATAACCACTTGTTTTCTGTTTTTTAATACCCATTTCTGAAAGGAAAATCCAATGACCAAAAGATACACGGACCAAAAAGGTTATATATGTAAATAAACCATAATCATTAAAAAAGTATTGAAATTGAGTCAAAGAGTGGGAGAGCGAGAGAGGAGTTCAGTGCATCATGGGAAATTCTATTATTATTATAATGATAGTTATTTTTATTATCATAGTTATTATTATCATTGTGAACATCAACATATAGAAACAGATAAACAACAACACAATGAAAAACAAATAAACAAACAAATTAAGAGGGTGAAAGTAAAAACAATGTGATACTGATTATCAATACTTTAATATTAATAATTGAATTTTTCTTTGTCTGTGAAACAGGGATTCGTTTGTTATTCTTACCGATACTCTCCGGCGTGGGCGGGGTCGGTGCTCTAAGGTTCCACGTCACACAGCAGCGTGTTGTACAGTCGAGTGCGGGGGGCGGGGTTTATCGATCCAGTCCAGATCATTAATGTTCATCACTCACGTGACCTCCTGCGGCTCCCTGGGTGGCTGTTGCGTATCACGTGACACGTTGACACGTTGTCATAGAGACTGACACCACCCACGCCACCACATCACCGCCCCGGCGTTCAAAACGAGCGCTCCTGCCACATGCTTGTGGGCGGGCCTTGCAGTGCGTGCGGTGAGCGGATTGGCTGAGCGTGGCGGCAGCGGGCTGCGCTGTGATTGGTCAGAAGTAGAGAGCGGCGCTGTCTGTCACATAGAGACCCCGCCCCCCAGGCTCACACTGCGGACTGCTCCGGGACCAGAACCCGACAGTGGGCTCGGACTGTTACTGTGTAGCGATTGATCGATTGTGTATTGGTTGGTGATCAGGGGTCGATCGTTGGCTCGTTGGGTTTGTCGGAGGGGATGTCCCGGCTGCTGGAGAGCAGGAGACAGGACAGGATGAAAGAAATCAACCTGAAGGTGAGTTCACCGGAAAAAAGAAAGAAAGAGACCGAGCGGCGCGTGCACGCTGACTTTAATGATCAATAATGAAAATGATCGATGATATGGGAGTGATCGGACAGTTTGGGTGTGATCGATCATTAATTGGTGAACTCTGATCACTTTCCGTGTCTCCGCTTTGTCCGCTCGCTCACAGCTGGAAGACAACGACCCGGGATTGTTCCGTTACTCCAGATGTTGGAGGGCTTTTCGATGCTTGTTATAGATGATCGATCGATCAGTGATTGATCGGAGTGATCGGCTGTGTGTTGGAGCAGTTTGTGTGAGAACGGACAGATGAAGTTGGCGGAGCTCAGAAACGGGAAACGGACACTTTTTTTTCTCTCACACCGAAAACCGGTTTCATGTTTTTATACCGCGTGTGTGTGTGTGTGTGTGTGTGTGTGTGTGTGTGTGTGTGTGTGTGTGTGTGTATTTGTACACTTTGAGTGTGTTTGGTGTTTCGGTGTGTCCGTTAGCAGCAGCGTGGCCGCTTTGTCCTGCAGGAGGAAACGAGCGGGGGGAGGGGAGGCAGTGTGTGTGTGTGTGTGTGTGTGTGTGTGTGTGTGCGCGCAGACAGGAAGTGTTGGTCAGGAGTGAAGGTGGATGTTTGACCTCTGACCTCTGATCTGACTGTAAACTACAAAACAAACTCACATTAAAAAAAAGACAGAAAATGATCCGACAGACAGACAGAGAGAGAGAGAGAGAGACAGAGACAGAGAGAGCGAGACAGACAGACAGACAGACAGACAGCGAGACAGAGAGAAAGACAGACAGTGAGAGAGACAGACAGACAGACAGACAGCGAGACAGAGAGAAAGACAGACAGAGAGACAGAGAGAGAGACAGCTAGACAGAGAGAGATACAGAGCGACAGAGAGACAGACAGAGAGAGCGAGACAGACAGACAGACAGACACAGAGAGAGAGAGAGCGAGACAGACAGACAGACAGCGAGACAGAGAGAAAGACAGACAGTGAGAGAGACAGACCGACAGACAGACAGCAAGACAGAGAGAGAGAGAAAGACAGACAGAGAGACAGACAGCGAGACAGAGAGAGAGACAGTGAGACAGAGAGAGATACAGAGCGACAGAGAGACAGACAGAGAGACAGATAGAGAGACAGATAGAGAGAGAGGCAGAGAGACAGATAGAGAGACAGATAGAGAGAGAGATAGAGAGAGAGGCAGAGAGACAGATAGAGAGACAGATAGAGAGAGAGGCAGACAGACACATTTGAAGTGTAAACTACAAAGTTGATTAATGTATAATATCCCTTGTATATAAATCAATAAATCAATTATTAGTAAACATTGTACTGATAGTACTGTTGTAGTAAACATTTTACTGATAGTACTGTAGTAAACATTGTACTGATAGTACTGTAGTAAACATTGTACTGATAGTACTGTAGTAAACATTGTACTGATAGTACTGTAGTAAACATTGTACTGATAGTACTGTTGTAGTAAATGTTGTACTGATAGTACTGTAGTAGTAAACACTGTACTGATAGTACTGTAGTAGTAAATGTACTGATAGTACTGCTGTAGTAAATGTTATACTGATAGTACTGTAGTAAACGTGTACTGATAGTACTGTTGTAGTAAACATTGTACTGATAGTACTGTAGTAAACATTGTACTGATAGTACTGTTGTAGTAAATGTTGTACTGATAGTACTGTAGTAAACATTGTACTGATAGTACTGTTGTAGTAAATGTTGTACTGATAGTACTGTAGTAGTAAACACTGTACTGATAGTACTGTAGTAGTAAATGTACTGATAGTACTGCTGTAGTAAATGTTATACTGATAGTACTGTAGTAAACGTTGTACTGATAGTACTGTAGTAGTAAACTTTGTACTGATAGTACTGTTGTAGTAAATGTTATACTGATAGTACTGTAGTAAACGTTGTACTGATAGTACTGTTGTAGTAAACGTACTGATACTACTGTAGTAGTAGTAGTAAACGTTGTACTGATAGTACTGTTGTAGTAAACGTTGTTTTACTGTAGTAGTAAACATTGTACTGATAGTACTGTTGTAGTAAACGTTGTACTGATAGTATTGTAGTAGTAAACGTTGTACTGATAGTATTGTAGTAGTAAACGTTGTACTGATAGTACTGTAGTAGTAAACGTTGTACTGATAGCACTGTAGTACTAAACGTTGTACTGATAGTATTGTAGAAGTAAACTTTGTACTGATAGTACTGTTGTAGTAAACGTTGTACTGATAGTATTGTAGTAGTAAACGTTGTACTGATAGTACTGTTGTAGTAAACGTTGTACTGATAGTATTGTAGTAGTAAACGTTGTACTGATAGTACTGTTGTAGTAAATGCTAAACTACAGTACTGTAGTAGTAAACGTTGTACTGATAGTACTGTTGTAGTAAACGTTGTAGTGATACTACTGTAGTAGTAAACGTTGTGCTGATAGTACTGTTGTAGTAAATGTTGTACTACAGTACTGTAGTAAACAATGTACTGATAGTACTGTTTTAGTAAACGTTGTACTGACAGTACTGTAGTAGTAAACGTTGTACTGATAGTACTGTTGTAGTAAACATTGTACTGATAGTACTGTAGTAGTAAACGTTGTACTGATAGCACTGTAGTAGTAAACGTTGTACTGATAGTATTGTAGTAGTAAACGTTGTACTGATAGTACTGTTGTAGTAAACATTGTACTGATAGTACTGTAGTAGTAAACATTGTACTGATAGTACTGTAGTAAACATTGTACTGATAGTACTGTTGTAGTAAATGTTGTACTGACAGTACTGTAGTAGTAAACGTTGTACTGATAGTACTGTTGTAGTAAACATTGTACTGATAGTACTGTAGTAGTAAACGTTGTACTGATAGCACTGTAGTAGTAAACGTTGTACTGATAGTATTGTAGTAGTAAACGTTGTACTGATAGTACTGTTGTAGTAAACATTGTACTGATAGTACTGTAGTAGTAAACATTGTACTGATAGTACTGTAGTAAACATTGTACTGATAGTACTGTTGTAGTAAATGTTGTACTACAGTACTGTAGTAGTAAACGTTGTACTGATAGTACTGTTGTAGTAAACGTTGTACTGATACTACTGTAGTAGTAGTAGTAAACGTTGTACTGATAGTACTGTTGTAGTAAATGTTGTACTACAGTACTGTAGTAAACAATGTACTGATCGTACTGTAGTAGTAAACGTTGTACTGATAGTACTGTAGTAAACGTTGTGCTGATAGTACTGTAGTAGTAAACGTTGTACTGATAGTATTGTAGTAGTAAACGTTGTACTGATAGAACTGTAGTAGTAAACATTGTACTGATAGTACTGTAGTAAACTCTGTACTGATAGTACTGTAGTAGTAAACATTGTACTGATAGTACTGTTGTAGTAAATGTTGTACTGATAGTACTGTTGTAGTAAACATTGTACTGATAGTACTGTAGTAGTAAACATTGTACTGATAGTACTGTAGTAAACATTGTACTGATAGTACTGTTGTAGTAAATGTTGTACTACAGTACTGTAGTAGTAAACGTTGTACTGATAGTACTGTTGTAGTAAACATTGTACTGATAGTATTGTAGTAGTAAACGTTGTACTGATAGTACTGTTGTAGTAAACGTTGTACTGATAGTATTGTAGTAGTAAACGTTGTACTGATAGTACTGTAGTAGTAAACGTTGTACTGATAGTACTGCAGTAGCAAACGTTGTACTGATAGTACTGCAGTAGCAAACGTTGTACTGATAGTACTGTTGTAGTAAACGTTGTACTGATACTACTGTAGTAGTAGTAGTAAACGTTGTACTGATAGTACTGTTGTAGTAAATGTTGTACTACAGTACTGTAGTAAACAATGTACTGATAGTACTGTAGTAGTAAACATTGTACTGATAGTAGTGTAGTAAACGTTGTACTGATAGTACTGTAGTAGTAAACGTTGTACTGATAGAACTGTAGTAGTAAACATTGTACTGATAGTACTGTAGTAAACTTTGTACTGATAGTACTGTAGTAGTAAACATTGTACTGATAGTACTGTAGTAAACTTTGTACTGATAGTACTGTAGTAGTAAACATTGTCGTAAACGTTGTACTGATAGTACTGTAGTTGTAAACGTTGTACTGGTAGTACTGTAGTAGTAAACTTACTGATAGTACTGTAGTAGCAAACGTTGTACTGGTAGTACTGTAGTAAACGTTGTACTGGTAGTACTGTTGTAGTAAACGTTGTACTGATAGTACTGTAGTAAACGTTGTACTGATAGTACTGTAGTAGTAAACGTTGTACTGGTAGTACTGTTGTAGTAAACGTTGTACTGATAGTACTGTTGTAGTAAACGTTGTACTGATAGTACTGTAGTAGTAAACGTTGTACTGGTAGTACTGTTGTAGTAAATGTTGTACTGATAGTACTGTAGTAGTAAACGTTTTACTGATAGTACTGTAGTAAACATACTGATAGTACTGTAGTAAACATACTGATAGTGCTGTAGTAAATGTTGTACTGATAGTACTGTTGTAGTAAACGTTGTACTGATAGTACTGTAGTAGTAAATGTTGTACTGATAGTACTGTTGTAGTAAATGTTTTACTGATAGTACTGTAGTAAACGTTGTACTGATAGTACTGTTTTAGTAAACGTTGTACTGATAGTACTGTTGTAGTAAACATTGTACTGACAAAAACATTTAATGTTAATGTTGACATTATGGACTTTGTCACCCCTATTCACACTATTGTCATAATTTATGGTAACAATGTTAACGTTGTAGATGTTGTTAAAGTTAACGTTATTAGTGTTTTTGATGTTGACATTGTCGTTAATATTGACACTGAACTTGTTGACATTATTGATGTTGATGTTGTTTGACAATCAAACTCTGTCTCCATCTCTCTCTCTGTCTATCTCTCCGTCTCTCTCTCCGTCTCTCTCCCTCTCTCTATATACTGATATTATTAGTATTATATATAGATAGATAGCTAGCTATAGATACATCTGATGATGATGATTACAGCTGAGGTAGGCAGATCCCATAATCCCTTTCAGCATGTTGTAACTGAAGTGTTCTGAGAGAAAAGTGACCCTTGCTCCTCCTCCTGGCTCTGTGTTCAGGCTTGGTCTATTGATGGGATTAGACCTCTCTTCAGATCTCTGTAACAATGCCTGACAATGCAACATCACCTATTATGGCTCTGTCCTCTATCCACCCCTCCACCCTCTCCATCGCTTTACTGTTCTCATCAGACCACTTCATGTTGATTTCAGCAGCCCGACCCTCAGGTGTCACCATGCTAACAGCACCGCTCCTTTAATAAAAATCATCTCTGAGAGCAGGAGCTCCTAAACTTCTGCTTTTTACTCTTCCTAACATTTAATGAATTAACTTCCTCACACATGGGGCAGGATGTGCAGCCTTATATGGTGGCGTTCATCATCTTTACACAGAAAACTGAAGTTAGGAGCATTTGATGTGGCACACTTGTACGAGCCACCGTACGGAGAAAAATAAGATAAGAATAAGATCCAGCTCTGAAGCCATGACAAACACAAAGGAAACGGAGACTGAAGACAAATTAGAAATCGTTTCTTTTCAAAAAAAGAGGATATATAATGAGGTGTGTTTATCAGCGTTAATGCATGACTGCGACATGTAGTGACAGTAAGATGTTATGTAGTATGACTGAAAACCACTCAATGATGAACGGAAGCAGAGGGAAAACATTGGGTGCTACCTAACCCTAATACAAACATGTTCCTGCATGAGGCCCATTGTGATCAGCTGGTGCTCCACCAGGTGAGCTAACTGGAACTCACCTGGTGGAGCACCCTCCCGTGTCTCTCTCTCTCTCTCTCTCCCCCGTCCTGTCAAATAAAAGCATAAAACAATAAAGAATGTTCAGAGTGTTAAACAGGAAGTAGTGACGGGGGGTGAACTATGCTTGACTTTAACAGATAGCTGACAGCCAATCAGAGAGCAGGATTGTCTGTTACCATGGTGACGAGGAAACATTGAAAAACAGCAGCGGTTAGTCATTAACCAGAGAGATAACCTCTCACAGTCTCTGATCATATCCACAGTGTCCTCACAGCGACCAATCACTGAGTCAGCTGCTTGTGATGTCAGAAAGGTATAAAGTACTAAGTTCATTTATTTAGGCTTTAATAAACCAGATGTAGTCCACTTTATGAGTTCATATACAGAAAGTCTATTTAGTAAATATAAACTGGGAGACACTAAAACTGAATAAATTACATGAAATAATATTCACAAAATTATTTTATTTAACACATTTATTCTGTTCTTTGTTAACTTTACGACATCACCATAGCAACATATCCATCCATTCCCCATACAGTTTGTTTCCCATGTTGTGAGGAAGGTGCTGTATGTGCTGTCCGTAAGTCATGAAGGTCAGAAATAGAGCTGGACCCCCATGTACTGAGTCCTTGCTGCAGCGGCTGTGGGTTTCAGTCCGACCTTATCTATATATATAGATATATATAATATTCTTGAAGCTGGAGCGCCAAACAGAAAAATATTTTTTTTGTCTTTTTAATATTTAATTATATATATTTATATGTATAAAGACATAGAGATATTTACACTGTAAAACCAATGCAGTGTACGGAAGCCAAGAACGGCCATGGATTTTTTTTTTATGCACTGTTGTCTCGTTATAACGACTTATTATCTTGTTATCTTGATATAACAAAGTTTGTTTTCTCGTGATAACTAATTAATTATTTTGTTTTCTCGATATAACAAAGATCATTTTCTCGAGATAACTAATTAATTAATAATGTGTTCGTCTTGATTTCAACCTACAAGAGCTGCCACGATCGGCTTCCAGTCAAGTAAACAAACTAACGTAAAGTGTAACTTACCGGTAGGCTACAGCTACAGCCAGGGGCTACGGAAGCCGTTCGTGGCAGCTCTTTTATTATAATTGTCATTATCACGAGATAACAGTGCATAAAAAAAGGAAAAATCCATGTCCGTTAGAGGCTTACGTAGCCATGAGCTATAAATAGATTTATGTAAACACAGACTTACATTTACAGCAGAGTGCTGTTATTATTGGATTATTATTATTTTAATGTGAATGTTAAAAGTTATAGAACTGTAATAAAAGTCATTATCTGTGAGATTACAGTAATTATTGCTGTTTACACTGATAACAACTGTATTTGGACAGTTTACCAATGCTTATACACTGATAAACAACATTTATTCAACATTTCTGTTGTGAAAACTAGTTATACAAGATATCTGTCAAATCATTTTAACAGTTTTTTAAATAAACAGGAATTTAATGTTTTTATGTGAAAAAAATAAGACGCAGCAGTAATTTGAATTTGATGATGATTATTTACAGATGTAAATTCACAGGATATTGTTGTAATTGTATTAATATTATTTACATGTATTTAAAGAACACAGAAAAAATATGTAAAATAAACTGGAAAAGCCCTGTAAACTAGATTTGTTTTTACAGTGTAGTGTTTCAGTTTTGGTGTATGCCCCCCCACAAAGAACACATGGTTACGCTCCTGTCACTCCGTCCCAGGGCTCAGTGCAGACGTTTAGGTCACATGACTCTCAGATCAGTTACCTGTTTGTCACCTTCAGTCTTTCTCACTGAGACTCTGCTGGTTTCAGGTTTCTGTCTCTTTTCTGTAACCCCCCCCTCCCGCTCTGTCTCCCACTGTCTCTGTCTCATGATCCCCCTCCCCCTCTCCCTCCCCCGGTCAGACAGAGCTCTCTTTATTTCTCTCCATCACTGAGGTCTTTATTTATTGATCAGCTGATCGCTGACTGTCACCAGATCATTGAACCTGTTTTAAAACATTTCAGGACTAAATGTGCACTTCACTGATCAATACTGAATTAAATCAGTTAATAAAATAAATCCCATTGTACAGTTAACACCCAACATGACAGATATTCTGTCAGCAATCCGTGTTTTCACTGAAGTTAGTTATTAAAGATCTATTTCACTGTTTACATATTAATAGAACTTTATATTCTATGAAAGATTAGACAACTTTAAAATTATACTGTTAAAAACTTCTACATGATTCCACTCAGACCAGAGCTACAGCCGATCAGATCAATATAATAATAATATAATATATATCAATCAATCTGCTCCACTGATTGTTTATTAAATGTAAAAAAACTGTGTTTACTGTGATATCAACAACGTCTATCAGCGGCCATATTGTCTCTCACAGTGTGAACTCCAGCAGGAAGTGATGTCACACACACACACACACACACACACACACACACACACACACACACTTCCTCTTCCTGCCCCTCCCAGCTCAGAGCAGAAGTTAATGTGTGAAACAGAACAGAAAGCAGAAGTTCAGATATAAATACATCAGGACGACTGACTGTGAAAACTAATTCTTCTTTTTATATTTTGTAGATTTTGATTTATGAGTTAGTTGTTGTTTTGATTCATTGTGTACAAACAATAACTTTTCCAAAGACACCAGTGATTCACACATTCACTGATGCTTTATACAAACTGTATCTGTATCTGCTCACTCAGTGATCAATGGATCTAACCCAACGGATGGAAACATAATTCAAATAAAACTGCTATTGTAATGTGTTGTAAGGGCTGGTGGATGGTTTATGGATCTTCTGTTAGACTCTGGACTCACCACAGTCAACGTCCTCCCTGGTTAGAACCAATGAGTGTCTCTGTCTATTGATTACAGGTATCACTATTGTCTGTGGTTTGTTTCTCCAATAAAAAGCTGAAAGAATTCATCAGACTGAGAAACTGACAGTAAGGGGTTCGGTGTCTATGTGGTCCAGTGGTCCAGTGGTTCAGTGGTTTGATAGTTCAGTGATGATCCACAGTCCTCATTGCGTCTAAATAATCTAGAGTGGATCTGTAGTGAACATGAAGCTTCATCAAACCGAACTGTGTTCGTGGAAATTGGAAGTTCTGTTTCAGAAGAAGTTCAGAATAAAGGATCTGTCTGGATCCTAATCCTAGTTTGTCACGTTGTGGTTGTGGTCATCATTCTCATGTTTACTTTTATCTGATGTTTGTACATATTTCATTAACATTGGATTATTAGACTTTATTAAGTAATCAACAGTTGTGTCAATATGTCATCCACTTATCAGAAGGTTGTTGGTTCGATCCCCGGCTCATCTCGCTGCATGTTGAAGTGTCCTTGAGCAAGATACTGAACCCCAAACTGCTCCTGATGCTGAACCAGTGTGTGTGTGCGTGTGTGTGTGTGTGTGGCTGTAGTGTGTGTGTGTGTGTGTGTGTGTGTGTGTGTGGCTGTAGTGTGTGTGTGTGTGGCTGTAGTGTGTGTGTGTGTGTGTGTGTGTGTGTGTGTGGCTGTAGTGTGTGTGTGTGTGTGTGTGTGTGCTGTAGTGTGTGTGTGTGTGTGGCTGTAGTGTGTGTGTGTGTGTGTGTGTGTGTGTGTGTGTGTGTGTGTGGCTGTAGTGTGTGTGTGTGTGGCTGTAGTGTGTGTGTGTGTGGCTGTAGTGTGTGTGTGTGTGGCTGTAGTGTACAGCGCAGTGAGTGGTTGAAAGACTAGAAAGGTGCTATATATAAGTAGTATGAGGTCACATGACACATCAACCTCAGAGAGTGACACTGATTACCAATCAATAACTGAGTTCTACAGGAAAAACTGATCAATCACTTATCATTTAAAAAAGTGATCAGTTATCATAAAGAATAATTGACCTGTCTCTGTCCTCAGAATAAGGAGAAGGGGCGTCTGAAGGAGCGGGAGAAAGAGGCGCGAGAGAGGGAGGCCAGGTCCAGCAATGGTCACCTGTTCACCTCCCTGACAGTGTCCTCCACCACCCTGTGCTCCTCCTGCAACAGGAGCATCACGGCCAAGGAGGCGCTCAGTTGCCCAGGTAACATACATACATAAACATTATATATATATAAATCTTTACTTCCTGCTTCTGTTTCACGCTGTTCAATAAAACCTCTGAGGTTAATCTCTCACACACACATCATAAACTCTATGTGTTTCCATAGCAACAGAAAATAATAAGACTGTAAACCGTGTGTGTGTGTGTGTGTGTGTGTGTGTGTGTGACAGATGGTGTGTTAATCCTCCTTCACAATGAACAGATGTACTTCTTCAGATTAACACACACACATGTGTCTGTGTGTGTGTGTGTGTGTGTGTGTGTGTGTGTGTGTGACCTCATTGTCCTACATTGTGATTGGCTGCTGTCAATGAACCCTGAGAACTGGGTCGAGGGGACACATGTCTCTCTCTCTCTCTGTGTGTGTGTGTGTTTTCGGAAGTGATGCTAGCTTGTGATGCCACGGTGACTTCCTGTTTACATAGTAGATTGCTCCTGATTGGACAGAGTGACAGAGGTTTCCTAGCAACAGACTGACACATTACATTAAGTCTTCAGCAGCTGAGACATTTCTTAAAGGACTTGTGCCATCTAGTGGCGAAGTTGCAGATTGCAACCAACTGAATACTGCTCAGCCTTCAGTGTGTAGTAGAAACTACGGTGGCTGTGAAAGTCCCTATTTAGAGTCAGTGTTTGGTTTGTCCATTCTGGGCTACTGTAGAAACATGGCGGTTCAACATGGCGGACTCCACCAGAAGAGGAGCCTCTGTAGATAAAAACTGATTCTAAGGTAACGACAACACAAAGATTTATTGCTGAGTCGCGGTTAGAGAGCTGCTCTCTCTAACACCGACGAGCATCACAGCGTAGAGTATTGACACGTCCTGAAAGAACCAATCACAGTACTGCATTCAGAACTCCTGCCTGATGTTTCATACCAGGAACCAATGAGCTTATTAGTTTGTTGACAGGATGTTTGGACCCGTTTCATTGATTATTATTGATACAATCTGTTATTCAGCAGAATTATTGATCTGATTGTACGTGTAGATATAGAATCATAACTACCTGCTCAATAAATCTCCTCCCCTGCATTAAACTAAGAAAATATTACGTTTGACTAACATGTTTCTGACCAGCTACCTGTCTGTCTGTCTGTCTGTCTGTCTGTCTGTCTCTCAGCCTGTAATGTCACCATCCACAACCGCTGCAGAGACAGTCTGGCCAGCTGTGCCAAGATGAAACAGAGGGTAAGACCTGTCTAACTGTCTTCACTGATTACCTGTCTGTCTGTCTGTCTGTCTGTCTGTCTGTACTGACTACATGTCTGTCTGTCTCTAACAGCAACAGAAGCTGTCGATGGTGAGAAACAGTTCGGCTCTGCAGAATGTCGCCATGCGCACCAAAAGTGAGTCAGCATGTCTCTTTACCCGTCTGTCTTTCTATCACATTGAAAGATTGGTTGTTGGTTCGATCCCCGGCTCCTCTCGCTGCGAGTTGAAGTGTCCTTGAGCAAGATACTGAACCTAAATTGCTCCCGATGCTGCTTCAGTGTGTGAGTGTGTGTGAGTGTGTGTGAGTGTGTGTGAGTGTGTGTGTGAGTGTGTGAGTGTGTGTGTGTGTGTGTGTGGCTGTAGTGTACAGCGCACTGAGTGGTCAAGAGACTACAAAGATATATAGGTACAGTCCATTTACCATTTATTTGTTGGTCTCAAGATTTTGATTTATGATCAATCTGATTAATGAGAAATCTTTTCTTCTTCTCTGTGTTCAGCTCCGATGATGAAGGAGCGTCCCAGCTCCGCCATCTATCCCTCAGACAGCCTTCGTCAGTCTCTGCTCGGGTCCCGACGGGTTCGTTCTGGCCTCTCGCTCGCCAAGAGCGTCTCCACAAATAACATCGCAGGGTGAGACTGAATGACTCTGAAAGATGTTGTAGTCAATGACACATCAGACACAGCTGTACAAGTTTAACTACAGAATACTGATCAGTCAGGTTTATATATGTATAAATGTTAATATGTATGTAGTTATATAGTTACAGCAGCCGAAATATGAACACATCAGTCTAAATCTTAAGTTGAAGTTACACTAACTTCACCAGACTCACAAAACATACATTTATCTTTCCTATCAGAAATACTTTATTACTTCACCGTACTGTGTATAACTTTACTGTAACTTCATTCAGCGTGGTCAGAAACAAAATAAAACTCATTAAAGCGTCTCTGTTAGTGTTTCCAACAATCACCAACTCTGGTTTGGTGGAAATAAATCCTTCATTCACCGACATAGATGATAAAAACAGCAGTTTCAGTCGGAGCAGACCGGCTATGGAAACAAACCACAGAGAGGCTGCGATACAACACAGGCAGAGGGAGAGAGACACCATGTGACTCTGTGTCTGTGTGTAGAGAATAGAATGTTTAATATCTCATATAACACCTGTGTCTCTCTCTCCACCTGCCTGTCTGTCTCTCTCAGTGTGAGTGAGGACTCTGTAGGTCTCAGGAGGATTCTGTCTCAGTCCACTGAGTCTTTGAACTTCAGGAGCAGGACTTTGTCCATGGAGTCTCTGACTGATGACGGTTTGTTAATGCATTTTATATCAAAGTCATCAATAATCAATCAATAATGTCAATAATATATTGTGGATCAGTATAGTAGAATAAGAATTCCTTCTTATTTTCGTCAACTTATTATATTAATTAAACAGTTTTTGGTTATTAGTCCTCCGATGCAGCTGATCTCGTGTTACCTCAGAAAATAAATAATAAAGTCATACGTGTTGTATGTTGGATGTTGTGTGTTGGATGTTGTATGTTGTGCTGTATGTTGTGTGTTGTATGTTGTGTGTTGTGCTGTATGTTGTGTGTTGTATTGCAGGTGAGTGGTGGTGGAGCCCCCTGCTGGAGGAGCTGCAGGTGGAGGGTAGCTGTGTTCAGGCTGACAGTTGGAGTCTCGTTGTTCAACCAACCTTCCTGCAGACGCTTCATAAAGACCTCATTAAACAGCAGGATGTTATCTACGGTATGTAGATATTCACATCAAACAACATTAATGAATATTAATAATAACATGCAGTTCAATAAGAATATCAGGATTCAGCAGTCAGACGCTGGAAGCTGCAGATTAAAACTGGTTCCTGCACAATAATGTCTCTAACAATTAAAACTTCATAAACAGTAAGTCCTTATAATCCTTATAAAAAGGAGTTTAGTGTAGAGTTAGCATTGTACTTTACATATATTGTGTTTACATATATATGAATTCTGTATACACACATATAAATACACATTACCACCTCAGACAGTACCAGTCTCCCCCAGTAGCACCATTATAACATTATTAAAATCCAACAGTGTAGCTCGACTCTGTTCAAGTAGACAGTTCACACAGGAGGCAGGTATATTATTGATTATTGATTATTGAATGCTGACCTGAACCAGTTCAAGAACCAGAGCTAATCTGGTGAAAAGGGGGTCCTCCAGGTCCACTCTGCTCTTCCAAACGGTTCCTCTTTTTAACATTCATTTTACCACTGCTAACTATCTCACCATCACATTCTAGCTCTGTACTAAACCTGTCTGTCTCTCTCTCTCCCTGTCTGTCTCTCAGAGTTGATCCAGACTGAGTTTCACCACGTGCGGACGTTGCGCATCATGGAGGGGGTATACCGGAGGGGGATGCTGGAGGAGGTGATGCTAGAGGCGGGTGTGGTTCACACCATCTTCCCTTGTCTGGACCAGCTGCTGGAGTGGCACTCTGGCTTCCTGTCAGAGCTGCTGAACAGAAGGAAGGAGGGTCTGATGGAAGGCAGCTCCACCAACTTCACCGTCCGCAGGATCGGAGACCTGCTGCTCAGACAGGTACAGGTGGACCCTGTGTGTGGACTCACTATGGTTGATTAGGGTCCCACAGGATCAGGGTTTTGAGGTTTACAGAGCAGCTTCTGTACCGAATTCAATTCAATTCAATTCAATTCAATTCAATTCAATTCAATTCAATTTTATTTGTATAGCGCCAATTCATAACAGAAGTTATCTCAGGACACTTTTCAAATAGAGCAGGTCTAGACCGAACTCTTTAACATTAATTACAGAGACCCAACAGTACCACCATGAGCAAGCACTTGGCGACAAGGGCAAGGAAAAACTGCCTGTTAAAAGGCAGAAACCTAGGACAGATCCTCCGGCTCTAGGTGGGTGGTCGTCTGTCTCGACCAGTTGGGGTGAGAGAGAGAGAGAGAGAGAGAGAGAGAGAGAGACAGACAGACAGACAGACAGACAGACAGGTGCACAGCAACAACAGTATTGGCAATGGCAGTCAAGCAGGACCATGGCAGGAGGCTCCACCAGGATCCATGAGAACCTGCGAGACGAGAAAGCACAAGAACTCCGGGGAAGAAGTGAAGTTAGTAACATGCATTAAAGGGACATGAATGAGTGCAGAAAGAGAGAGGAAGAGAGTAGCTCAGTGCACCATGGGAAATCCCCCGATAGTCTAGGCCTATAGCAGCATAACTAAGGGATGGTTCAGGACTCACCTGATCCAGCCCTAACTATAAGCTTTATCAAAGAGGAATGTCTTAAGCCTACTCTTGAATGTGGTGAGGGTGTCTGCCTCCCGAACCACAACTGGAAGCTGGTTCCACAGGAGAGGAGCTTGGTAACTGAAGGCTCTGGCTCCTGTTCTACTTTTAGAGACTATAGGAACCACAAGTAGCCCAGCATTCAGAGAACGTAGTGTTCTAGTGGGGTAATAGGGTACTATGAGCTCTTTAAGATATGAAGGGGCCTGACCATGAAGAGCTTTATAGGTGAGGAGGAGGATTTTAAATTCAATTCTACATTTTATAGGGAGCCAATGCAGAGTAGCTAGTACAGGAGAGATGTGATCTCTTTTTCTAGTTCCTGTCAGTACTCGTGCTGCAGCGTTCTGAGTTAATTGGAGCGTTTTAATGGACTTATTGGGGCAACCTGATAATAAAGAGTTGCAGTAATCCAGCCTTGAAGTAACAAATGCATGGATTAGTTTTTCTGCATCTGTCTGTGATAGTATGTGTCTAATTTTTGTAATATTACGTAAATGAAAGAAGGCAGTCCTAGAGGTCTGCTTTATGTGGGAGTTAAATGACAAATCCTGATCAAAGATAACTCCAAGATTCCTGACAGTGGTGCTAGAGGCCAAGTTAGGGAAATAAAACATTTTTTTTCTCCAGCTGTTTGAAGTTCCGATTTCAGATCTACTGAAATCAACTGAGGAGTCTCCACCTGCTGGACATTTTAAATCATTACACTCACTGGATGTTTCTGTCAGTTAAACATAGCTAAAATATACCTACAAAAAAGAGAGCGATAATAAACCAGAGTGTCACTGCCATTACTTAAAGTAGTAACATTATAGAAATACTCACCTGGTAGTTAAGTCTTGCGTTTAAAGTGTAACTTAAGTAAAAGTGCAGAAGAAACAGGAACTACATGTGCTTCTATATGAAAATGGAACATACTCATACTGTTCAAAGGCCACTTCATCAGAAGCAGATTTATTGCCAAGTAGTTTTTCACATACAATAGGTGTGCCTTAGTAAGTTGGTGCATAACAATAAACATAGAGAAAATATAAATAAAGATAAAAATGGAAACGAGGAATCTGCAAGTTAGCAGTGTGAAGTATAATAATGTCTGTAATGTGCAAAGATAAAATCCAATGGAAGAGCATTAATGTAATGAATATATACAGGGTGGGTTTAAGAGTCAGTGTCAGTGGTGGTCCCGGGTCTTGTTGATGAGTTCAGCTGCAAACGGGAAAAAACTGTTCTTGTGGCGTGAGGTTTTGGTCCTGATGGACCGCAGCCTCCTGCCAGAGGGAGGTGACTGAAAGAGTTTGTGTCGGGATGGGAGGAGTATAGGTCCTGGAGTTCAGTCATTGAATTATCCGAGGACCCCAGATCGAAAACAACACAAATACCAACAAAAACAAAAGTACTTAAGTGTCTCCTGTACAAATAAAACATACAGAACACAGTAATACAACAACAACAGCGTCTATGAGGCTGAATTACAGATCGAAACACCAAATACCGAAATCAATGTTGTGTGTATTATGTTTATTATTGTATATTACTGTGTATTATCGTTTATTACTGTTTATTACTGTGTATTATTGTTTATTGTTGTTTATTACTGTGTATTATTGTTTATTAATGTGCGTTATTGTTTCATATTGTTTATTACTGTGTGTTATTGTGTATTATACTGTATGATTGTGTGTGTAGTTTTCAGGTCAGCCTGCAGATGAAATGAAGAAACTTTATTCTGAGTTCTGCAGTCGACACCCGAAAGCTGTGAAACTCTACAAAGAGGTGTTAACTCGAGACCGAAGACTGCAGCAGTTCGTCAGGGTGAGGACCAGAACCTCAGACCTGGTTTTAGACCTTCAGTCAGATCTAATCTGTTTTAAACTGACTTAAACTCGTATAAATTGACATTAATTGGTTTAGACTGGTGTACGTTTTTCTGTGTTGATGTTGACTGTCTTTCTCTATCCCATAATGCTCAGCGTGCATGTCGGGGTCCTCTGCTGCGTCGTCACGGCGTCCAGGAGTGCATCCTGCTGGTGACACAGCGAATCACAAAGTACCCCGTCCTCATCCAACGTATCCTCGACAACACCAAAGGTAACCAAGACCTCTGACCTCCAGTAACCTCTGACCCCTCACAGATGAGAGCTGTCCATCCTGGTACTTTGACCTTATGTCAAGCCCCGCCGCCTTTTTGGTGAAAGCAGTTGCTCTAATTTGACTGGCAGTAAATGTAAATTCTGATTTGATCAGTTTATAGCATAAAATAAGAATACTGTATTGATTGTATCTGTTATATCATAAATCCTCTGTGCAGTCACAATGAACTCTGACCTCTGATGTCACCCTGTCCATGTGACCTCATGCAGGCAACGAGGAGGAGGCCCAGGCGTTGAGTCAGGCTCTGGTCCTCCTGAAGAAGCTGATTAGCTCGGTGGACCAGGAAGTGCTGGAGCTGGACCGGACCAGGAGGCTGCAGGAGATCCAGGCCCGTCTGGACCCCCGGGCCCAGGCGGAGGTCCGTGGAGGAGGAGTGTTCAGGGGAGGAGAACTGCTGAGGAGGAGGCTCCTCCACGAGGGGACGCTCCTCTGGAAAGTCCAAGGCTCCAGGATGAAAGGTAAAGGATTCTGTATTCTGTTGGAGAAAAGGAAGAGAGGAAGTTAGGAAATATATGTCAGTTTTAATTTACTATGAACTAAGTTAGCATCAACCAAACTCCATTCAAAAAACAAGCATTTTAAAAGACAAAATCTGAGTTCAGACTTTTTACAAATCGCCATCATGATGTAGTTATTATAGTTATAGTTATTATTATCTGTTTGTTGACATGAAATGAGGGGGGCTCATATGGCCGCAGTGAGACAGATTAGAGGCAGGATACATGATTTAAAGATCACTCGAGTAAACTAGCCAAGTTTGATGCAATGTTACTCCTGCTGACCAGCTGCTGAATGTTTGTCTCCAGATGTTCAGGTCCTGCTGATGTCAGACATCTTGGTTTTCCTTCAGGAGAAAGATCAGAAGTTCACCTTTGCATCACTGGTGAGTCTCACATGGGCTGCGTTTCATTAGTCGTTCAACATGCCCTCGTTCACTTGCCCTCGGGGGAATCCCCGCCGCCATCATAAGTGTCGTTCCAATTGTCTGGAAAACTGAAGTGAACTTGGTGAGATGGACCCTCGGAGGGCTGAGGGAGCGACTGAACAACGATGGTCACTCCGAGGTGGATATCACCCACAATGCATTGCAGTTTATGTCATTGCCGCTATAACGCCGAGTAAGGGCAAGTGCGTTTCATTTAAATCCCCCGCTCCTCCCCCGCCCACTTTCCCTCCGCGCTCCAAGTGGCCTCCGTGCGACGTATGCTGTTAGGTCATACCAAGGGCTGAGGGTAAGTGAACGAGGGGAAGTGGAACTACTAATGAAACGCAGCCCTGGTCTCACCTGCACCTCCTCATGTTCCTTCTCCTGTGACTCCTTTCAACATAAAGGAGCAGTAGTTCTCCTCTGTCTGTCTGTTTACCTGTCTGTGTCTGTGTGTCAGGACAAGTCTCCGGTGGTGTCTCTGAACAACCTGATCGTCAGAGATATAGCCAATCAGGAGCGAGGGATGTACCTGATCAGCGCCTCCACCCCTCCAGAGATGTACGAGCTGTACGCTTCATCCAAAGACGACCGCAGGACCTGGATGAGCCGCATCCAGCAGACCGCCCTCAGGTCGCTACTGCAGTACAGTACCACACTGTACCACACTGTACTACACAGTACTACACAGTACCACACAGTACCACACTGTACTACACACTGTACTACACAGTACTACACAGTACCACACTGTACCACACTGTACCACACTGTACTACACACTGTACCACACTGTACTACACAGTACTACACAGTACCACACAGTACCACACTGTACTACACACTGTACTACACAGTACTACACAGTACCACACTGTACCACACTGTACCACACTGTACTACACACTGTACCACACTGTACTACACAGTACCACACTGTACTACACAGTACCACACAGTACTACACACTGTACTACACAGTACTACACAGTACTACACAGTACCACACTGTACTACACACTGTACCACACTGTACTACACTGTACTACACAGTACTACACAGTACTACACAGTACCACACTGTACCACACTGTACTACACACTGTACCACACTGTACTACACAGTACTACACAGTACTACACAGTACTACACAGTACTACACAGTACTACACAGTACCACACTGTACTACACACTGTACTACACAGTACTACACAGTACCACACAGTACCACACTGTACCACACTGTACTACACTGTACTACACAGTACTACACAGTACCACACTGTACTACACTGTACTACACACTGTACTACACAGTACTACACAGTACTACACAGTACCACACAGTGCTACACTGTACTACACAGTACCACACTGTACTACACACTGTACTACACAGTACTACACAGTACTACACAGTGCTACACTGTACTACACAGTACCACACAGTACCACACTGTACTACACACTGTACTACACAGTACCACACAGTGCTACACTGTACTACACACTGTACTACACAGTACTACACAGTACCACACAGTACCACACTGTACTACACACTGTACTACACAGTACTACACAGTACCACACTGTACCACACTGTACCACACTGTACCACACTGTACTACACACTGTACCACACTGTACTACACACAGTACTACACAGTACTACACAGTACCACACAGTACCACACTGTACCACACTGTACTACACAGTACTACACTGTACCACACTGTACTACACAGTACTACACAGTACCACACTGTACTACACACTGTACTACACTGTACTACACAGTACTACACAGTACCACACTGTACCACACTGTACTACACAGTACTACACAGTACCACACTGTACTACACACTGTACTACACTGTACCACACTGTACCACACTGTACTACACACAGTACTACACAGTACTACACAGTACCACACAGTACCACACTGTACCACACAGTACTACACAGTACTACACAGTACCACACAGTACTACACTGTACTACACACTGTACTACACAGTACTACACAGTACTACACAGTACCACACTGTACTACACTGTACTACACACTGTACTACACAGTACTACACAGTACTACACAGTACTACACAGTACCACACTGTACTACACACTGTACTACACAGTACTACACAGTACTACACAGTGCTACACTGTACTACACAGTACCACACAGTACCACACTGTACTACACACTGTACTACACAGTACTACACAGTACCACACAGTACCACACTGTACTACACACTGTACTACACTGTACCACACTGTACAACACAGTACCACACTGTACCACACTGTACTACACACTGTACTACACAGTACTACACAGTACTACACAGTACCACACAGTACCACACTGTACCACACAGTACCACACAGTACCACACTGTACTACACTGTACTACACACTGTACTACACAGTACTACACTGTACCACACAGTACCACACAGTACCACACAGTACCACACTGTACTACACTGTACTACACACTGTACCACACTGTACTACACTGTACTACACACTGTACTACACTGTACCACACAGTACCACACTGTACTACACACTGTACTACACACTGTACTACACAGTACTACACTGTACCACACTGTACCACACAGTACTACACAGTACCACACAGTACCACACAGTACTACACACTGTACTACACTGTACCACACAGTACCACACTGTACTACACACTGTACTACACACTGTACTACACAGTACTACACTGTACCACACTGTACCACACTGTACTACACACTGTACTACACAGTACTACACAGTACCACACAGTACCACACAGTACTACACACTGTACTACACTGTACTACACACTGTACTACACAGTACCACACTGTACCACACTGTACTACACAGTACTACACAGTACTACACTGTACCACACTGTACCACACTGTACTACACACTGTACTACACAGTACTACACAGTACCACACTGTACCACACTGTACCACACTGTACTACACACTGTACTACACAGTACTACACAGTACCACACAGTACTACACACTGTACTACACTGTACTACACACTGTACTACACAGTACCACACTGTACCACACTGTACTACACACTGTACTACACTGTACTACACACTGTACTACACAGTACTACACTGTACTACACACTGTACTACACTGTACTACACAGTACCACACTGTACCACACACAGTACTACACAGTACTACACAGTACTACACTGTACCACACTGTACCACACTGTACTACACACTGTACTACACAGTACTACACAGTACCACACAGTACCACACAGTACTACACACTGTACTACACTGTACTACACACTGTACTACACAGTACTACACACTGTACTACACACTGTACTACACACTGTACTACACAGTACTACACTGTACCACACTGTACCACACAGTACTACACTGTACTACACACTGTACTACACTGTACTACACAGTACCACACTGTACCACACACAGTACTACACAGTACTACACACTGTACTACACTGTACCACACAGTACTACACTGTACTCACAGTAGTTTGTGTTTTGTCTGCAGTTGTCCATCCAGAGACGAGTTTCCTCTCATTGAGACCGAAGACAAAGCTTTACTGCGCAGACTGAGAGGTACAGCACCTCCTCCTCCTCCTCCTCCTCCTCCTCCTCCTCCTCTTTCTACACCTTCAACTAGATCTCCTCTCTCTTTGTTTCCTTTCTCTTCTTTCATCTCCTGTTAAAAAATAAAATAATAAAATCCATCTAATTCAACATTATTTTTCTCCTCCTCTCCTCCTCTCGTCCTCTCCTCCTCTCCTCCTCCCCCTCACCTCCCCAGCTGACATCCAGCAGAAGGACAGGGAGGTGCTGGAGCTCCTGCAGGAGCGAGTCACTCTGTTTTCTGACCTGGTGGAGGCGACAGGAAGAGGAGGAGGAGAAGAAGAGGGAGGCGTGGAGCTAAGCAGATCCTCCTCCAGGACCTCCTCCTCCTGCAGGAACCTGTTCAGAGCCGACACTCCTCACACTCCTCAGGGGGAGCCGCTCCTCAGCGCCTCCATCACTGAAGGTGAGTTTCACTCTTAGGTTGGACGTGAAGAGAAAGATTCAGACTGACTGTTTGTTTGTTCTCAGTGGACCGACTGACCCAACTGCTGCTGGACTCCAACATCCACAAGTCCTCCGTAACCAACGGCAACCAGGAGCTCAGCGGTGAGTCACCTGGAACCTGATCAATCTCTCATCAATCTCTGATCAATCTCTCTGATCAATCTCTGATCAATCTCTGATCAATCTGATCAATCTCTCTGATCAATCCAATCAATTTCTGATCAATCTATGATCAATCTCTGATCAATCTCTCTGATCACATTGTCAGTGGATGGAAACGTCTGACCAATTTCAATTTATTGTGAAACAAATATTTTAATTAAATTAATTATTAAAATAGTTCATAAATTGATTAATCAGACATTAGCTGATTACCCTGTCTGTCTCTCTGTCTGTCTCTCTGTGTTTGTCTCTCTGTGTCTGTCTCTCTGTGTCTGTCTCACTGTTTGTCTCACTGTGTCTCTCTCTGTGTTTGTCTCTCTGTGTCTGTCTCTCTGTGTTTGTCTCTCTGTGTCTGTCTCTCTGTGTCCGTCTCTCTGTGTCTGTCTCTCTGTGTTTGTCTCTCTGTGTCTGTCTCACTGTCTGTCTCTCTGCATCTGTCTCTCTGTGTCTGTCTCTCTCTGTTTGTCTCTCTCTGTTTGTCTCTCTGTGTCTGTCTCACTGTTTGTCTCTGTGTCTGTCTCTCTGTGTTTGTCTCTCTGTGTCTGTCTCTCTGTGTCTGTCTCACTGTTTGTCTCACTGTGTCTGTCTCTCTGTGCCTGTCTCTTTGTGTTTGTCTCTCTGTGTCTGTCTCTCTGTGTTTGGTTCTCTGTGTCTGTCTCTCTGTGTCTGTCTCACTGTTTGTCTCTCTGTGTCTGTCTCTCTGTGTTTGTCTCACTGTGTCTGTCTCTCTCTGTCTGTCTCACTCTCAGATGGTGACTCTGGTTCTCTGAATGGTTCTTTTGAGTTGAACAGCAGCTCCTCAAAGGTAAATCTCACCTTTAACCTTTGACCTCTGATTAAAGGCTTGTTTGTGTCCTTGTATGATAACGTTGTGTATTGTGGCTGTGTTGTTTCCATGGCAACAGAGCAGAAGATCTGATTGAATTAAGTTTAATGTTGTTGTATATATGTTACACAAACAGACATTATTGTATATTTTCATCCTGATTGGAGATGCAGAGAGTAAACTATCAAAATAAAAGCCCGACTGGATGAACACTGTTTTCTCTCTCAGGACAGAAACGGGAACCAGTTGCAGGAACGAAGTCTTAACGAGGTAACAAACACTTCCTGTTTTCATTTATCTGATCATTCATTTGAGGTTATATGTAAGATTATATTACATTTATTAATAATAATCTATAATCTAACGTATATAATATAATCTATTAATATTATTATATTATAACAAAACAACAGAACTACTACTGACTCACGTTTATACTTTGAGCATCAAAAATAAACTCAGATAACTGACAGCTGTGATTCAGCTGTGGAGGAGTATGATGAGTATGATGATGATGATGTGTATGATGATGTGTATGATTCAATTCAATTTCAATTCAATTCAATTTTATTTGTATGGCGCCAATTCATAACAGAAGTTATCTCAGGACACTTTTCAAATAGAGCCGGTCTAGACCGAACTCTTTAACATTAATTACAGAGACCCAACAGTACCACCATGAGCAAGACCTTGGAGACAAGGGCAAGGAAAAACTGCCTGTTAAAAGGCAGAAACCTAGGACAGATCCTCCGGCTCTAGGTGGGTGGTCGTCTGTCTCGACCAGTTGGGGTGAGAGAGAGAGAGAGAGGCAGAGAGAGAGAGAGAGAGAGACAGACAGACAGACAGGTGCACAGCAACAACAGTATTGGCAATGGCAATCTAGCAGGACCATGGCAGGAGGCTCCACCAGGATCGACAAGAACCTGCGAGACGAGAAAGCACAAGAACTCCGGGGAAGAAGTGAAGTTAGTAACATGCATTAATGGGACATGAATGAGTGCAGAAAGAGAGAGAGGAAGAGAGGAGCTCAGTGCACCATGGGAAATCCCCCCGATAGTCTAGGCCTATAGCAGCATAACTAAGGGATGGTTCAGGACTCACCTGATCCAGCCCTAACTATAAGCTTTATCAAAGAGGAATGTCTTAAGCCTACTCTTGAATGTGGTGAGGGTGTCTGCCTCCCGAACCACAACTGGAAGCTGGTTCCACAGGAGAGGAGCTTGGTAACTGAAGGCTCTGGCTCCTGTTCTACTTTTAGAGACTATAGGAACCACAAGTAGCCCAGCATTCAGAGAACGTAGTGTTCTAGAGGGGTAATAGGGTACTATGAGCTCTTTAAGATATGAAGGGGCCTGACCATGAAGAGCTTTATAGGTGAGGAGGAGGATTTTAAGTTCTATTCTACATTTTACAGGGAGCCAATGCAGAGGAGCTAGTACAGGAGAGATGTGATCTCTTTTTCTAGTTCCTGTCAGCGTTCTGGATTAATTGGAGCGTTTTAATGGACTTATTGGGGCAACCTGATAATAAAGAGTTGCAGTAATCCAGCCTTGAAGTAACAAATGCATGGATTAGTTTTTCTGCATCTGTCTGTGATAGGATGTGTCTAATTTTTCTAATATTACGTAAATGAAAGAAGGCGGTCCTAGAGGTCTGCTTTATGTGGGAGTTAAATGACAAATCCTGATCAAAGATAACTCCAAGATTCCTGACAGTAGTGCTAGAGGCCAAGTTAATGCCATCTAGAGTAACTATATCTTTAGACAGTCTCTAAGGTTTTTGGGGCCAAGAACAAGAATTTCGTTTTTTTCTGAGTTTAACATCAGAGGATTTTATGTCCTTAAGACATGTTTGTAATTTAGATAATTGATTAATTTCATTGGGCTTGATTGATAGATATAACTGCGTATCATCTGCATAACAGTGAAAGTTAATGGAGTGATTCCTAATAATGTTGCCTAAAGGGAGCATATATAAAGTAAATAGTGTTGGTCCAAGTACAGAACCTTGTGGAACTCCATGACTAACTGTAGTATTTATTGAAGATTCATCGTTAACATGTACAAACTGCGAGCGATCTGATAAATATGACTTAAACCAGCTTAGTGCAGTTCCTTTAATGCCAATTTGATGCTCAAGTCTCTCTAAAAGAATATCATGGTCAATGGTGTCAAATGCAGCACTAAGATCTAATAATACAAGTAGAGAGACAAGTCCATTGTCAGAAGCAGTCAGAAGGTCATTATTAACTTTAACCAGAGCTGTCTCTGTGCTATGATGAACTCTAAATCCTGACTGAAAATCCTCAAATAAACTATTGTTATGTAGAAAGTCACACAACTCTTTGGCGACTACTTTCTCCAGAATCTTAGAGAGGAAGGGGAGGTTAGAAATCGGTCTATAGTTGTCTAAAACCCCTGGGTCAAGAGTGGGCTTTTTAAGAAGGGGTTTAATTACAGCTACTTTAAAGGACTGTGGTACATAACCTGATAATAAAGAAAGATTAATCATATCCAGTAAAGAAGTGCCAATAAAGGGAACAACTTCTTTAAGCAGCCTAGTTGGGATCGGGTCTAATAGACAGGTTGATGGCTTTGATGAAGAAATTCAATTCAATTCAATTCAATTCAATTTTATTTGTATAGCGCCAATTCATAACAGAAGTTATCTCAGGACACTTTTCAAATAGAGCAGGTCTAGACCGAACTCTTTAACATTAATTACAGAGACCCAACAGTACCACCATGAGCAAGCACTTGGCGACAAGGGCAAGGAAAACTGCCTGTTAAAAGGCAGAAACCTAGGACAGATCCTCCGGCTCTAGGTGGGTGGTCGTCTGTCTCGACCAGTTGGGGTGAGAGAGAGAGAGAGAGAGAGAGAGAGAGACGACAGACAGACAGACAGGTGCACAGCAACAACAGTATTGGCAATGGCAGTCAAGCAGGACCATGGCAGGAGGCTCCACCAGGATCCATGAGAACCTGCGAGACGAAAAGCACAAGAACTCCGGGGAAGAAGTGGAGTTAGTAACATGCATTAAAGGGACATGAATGAGTGCAGAAAGAGAGAGGAAGAGAGTAGCTCAGTGCACCATGGGAAATCCCCCGATAGTCTAGGCCTATAGCAGCATAACTAAGGGATGGTTCAGGACTCACCTGATCCAGCCCTAACTATAAGCTTTATCAAAGAGGAATGTCTTAAGCCTACTCTTGAAAGTGGTGAGGGTGTCTGCCTCCCGAACCACAACTGGAAGCCGGTTCCACAGGAGAGGAGCTTGGTAACTGAAGGCTCTGGCTCCTGTTCTACTTTTAGAGACTATAGGAACCACAAGTAGCCCAGCATTCAGAGAACGTAGTGTTCTAGTGGGGTAATAGGGTACTATGAGCTCTTTAAGATATGAAGGGGCCTGACCATGAAGAGCTTTATAGGTGAGGAGGAGTATTTTAAATTCAATTCTACATTTTATAGGGAGCCAATGCAGAGTAGCTAGTACAGGAGAGATGTGATCTCTTTTTCTAGTTCCTGTCAGTACTCGTGCTGCAGCGTTCTGAATTAATTGGAGCGTTTTAATGGACTTATTGGGGCAACCTGATAATAAAGAGTTGCAGTAATCCAGCCTTGAAGTAACAAATGCATGGATTAGTTTTTCTGCATCTGTCTGTGATAGTATGTGTCTAATTTTTCTAATATTACGTAAATGAAAGAAGGCAGTCCTAGAGGTCTGCTTTATGTGGGAGTTAAATGACAAATCCTGATCAAAGAGAACTCCAAGATTCCTGACAGTGGTGCTAGAGGCCAAATTAATGCCATCTAGAGTGACTATATCTTTAGACAATGAGTCTCTAAGGTTTTTGGGGCCAAGAACAAGAATTTCGTTTTTTCTGAGTTTAACATCAGAAAATTGCAGGTCATCCAGGATTTTATGTCCTTAAGACATGTTTGTAATTTAGATAATTGATTAATTTCATTGGGTTTGATTGATAGATATAACTGCGTATCATCTGCATAACAGTGAAAGTTAATGGAGTGATTCCTAATAATGTTGCCTAAAGGGAGCATATATAAAGTAAATAGTATTGGTCCAAGTACAGAACCTTGTGGAACTCCATGACTAACTTTAGTATTTATGGAGGATTCATCGTTAACATGTACAAACTGAGTACGGTCTGATAAGTATGACTTAAACCAGGTTAGGGCAGTTCCTTTAATGCCAATTTGATGCTCAAGTCTCTGTAAAAGAATATCATGGTCAATGGTGTCAAATGCAGCACTAAGATCTAATAATACAAGTACAGAGACAAGTCCATTGTCAGAAGCAGTCAGAAGGTCATTATTAACTTTAACCAGAGCTGTCTCTGTGCTATGATGAACTCTAAATCCTGACTGAAAATCCTCAAATAAACTATTGTTATGTATGTAAAATGATTGAAGTTAACTGATGAAGATCGATAGCAGAAGTTTACATTGACAGAAGTCCCTGAACTTGGAGAGCCACTGATAACTGTTGATGATGAGTATGATGAGTATGATGATGAGGATGAGTATGATGATGTGTATGATGATGAGTATGATGAGTATGATGATGAGGATGAGTATGATGTTTTTTAAAGAGAAATGTGTTTGCTCAACATAAAATTCTATAAAATGTTTAATAATATACGCGGTTCCTGTCCACAGGAAGTCCGTCACCGATTGGTCAGTCTGAGCACGCGGCTTCACGCCCTGCAGGTACGACAACAGGAAGTAACTGACTGAAATGATTGATAATGTTACCTGCCGTCTAACTCGCTGACTCCGCTCCCAGGCTGTTGTGATTCGTCAAGACTCGATTCTGGAGCTGTCAGTCAGGACAGGCCTCGCCCCCTCCTCTACTGCAGGCCCCGCCCCTGTCCCCCCCGCTGGGCCCCGCCTCAGTCGGTCGATGTCGCGGGACACAGGACTGGACGCTGGCGGGGAGACGGTGCTGCTGCAGCGACAGGTGGAGCTCCTGCAGGAGGAAGTGACACGACTGCGTCTGAGGGGGGAGGAGCCAGCCAGAGAGGGGGTAGAGCCAGGCAGCAGGAAGAGGAGTAAGGGAGAGACCAGTGATGTCATCAAGGGAGAGCAGGTGGGTCAGGTGGTCGATTAACAGAAGGAAGGTAATCCAAGGTAAATTTAGCCAAAAGCTAAGCTAACAGGAGCTAAGCTAAGGTTTCTGTGTCAGCAGGTGAGCAGGAGGCGTGGCAGCAGGGAACTGGAGCCCCGCCCCCTCGCCCCACTGGCCAGCCAGGATCCAGTCGACCAATTAGACGGCGTCCAGGAAGGAAATGAGGAGGAAGAGGAGGAAGTGATGAGGATCTCTCCTCGCTCTGACAGCCCCAGAGGTCAGTTCACTAATCGATAATTGTTATTGATCAATAAAATAATGGATTGTGATAATGATGAAAATGTGATAATATCATTGTCACCATGGTAACCTGTGACCTTTGACCTCTCAGACCTGCAAGACATCCCAGAGGAGAGCGAGTGCGGAGCTGACCCCAGTTAACTTCTGCTGATGTCACTGTGATGTCACCGTGATGTCACTGTGGTGTCACAGCCACTGTCAGACTTTTATCATGGAAGAGTGGGAGATGATGTCACTTCCTGTTTTCCAGAAGTGTGTTTGACCATGTGACCTGTTTACATCATCACGTCAGCTGGAGCCCCGCCCCCAAATGCTAGAGGGCGGGGCATTATATTGGGAGGGCGGGGCTTAAATCGTTTTATAGGAGTTCCTGTCAAAGATGAGACACACTACATTACCCAGAATGCCTTTGGCTATCAACACCTGCAGTCGCCACCTGCTGTTCAGTTGCTGGGGGGGGTTGTATTTATGTCGTAACGTCAGTAGTTGAATTGTAGAAACTTTTGTAGGATTTTATTTTCAGAACTCAGAAAGTTTCTGAAACAAAAAAACAGATTTTTAAATTTGGGAACAAATTTTAAACGTTCACAGGAAGTCCTTTTTCATAGCAGAAGGTTTAGTTGACCTCTTTCAGCCTGACAGGAAGACTTTAAGCGCTCTGTATACTCACCGTTCCCGACCTGTAGCGCGACAACGTGACGTCACAGGAGCGCAATAACTTTTTATACTTGCACGTGGTGGTTGCGACACTAGTTGCAGTCTTCTCCTGAACAGAGGTGTCGCTAGTGAGGAAAGTCTACCGACTTTGTTATTTCTACGCATTAGAAGACGAAGAAGAAGAAAAAGTTAGTTTTTGGTTTTTTTTCCAAATCGGTCGCGGAGGTTCTTCCAAATTTTCCGGCATATGGCCTCCTCTTTTCCAAAGAGAAGATTTCTCGCCATGAATTCTGGCACCTCTGGGCATCTCTGTGTTCCTTCATTGAAGGATTGTACAGACCGTCCATCTTCCTGTTTCCGCTTTGGCGCTCTCAGCTAATAAAAAAAGAGTGGTGCGCGACTGGGCCTAAATCCTGGCGCGCCAGCGAGATCTACGCCATTTTGACGTCACGTTGTCGCACGACAGGTCGGGAACGGCGAGTATACACAAGCCTTTAGGGTGCATTGGGGAGTCATAAGGGTCTGGGGTCTAGAGTTGTCGGGGGCTGGATTATATATTGTAGTAGACAAGTTTAAAGAAACAGGAAGCTGTTTGCTGTCTGGCTGACAGCACTGCTGAAGAGATCCTGTCTGTTAGCATGTTAGCATGTTTCCTTTCTACGTGTATAGAGCTCCGATGTTCCGTCGGACTGGTTGGTCTAAACCAATCAGATTGTTTTCATTGACATGTGTTTTTAACCAAAACACTTTATTTACAGTGTGATGAAGGACAAGAGCTGCTCTTCATCAAACAATAAAGTTTAAAGTCCAGTTCAGACCAAAGATTCACCACAAGAACACACCGTTTTAGAGCTTGTCAGCTGTGTGAACGGACCCGTCTCCAGTGGTTGGTTTTAGAACATCCGAACACGCAGAGACGTATCGTACAGGTGCGAATGCTTCAAACGCGCCTCGGCAAACCTTTAGCTGAAAAATGCTAAATATTTTAATTGAAACCACGATGTGCCACAGGAACACAACGGTTCTGCAGCCGATGGGTTCTAACCGAGACGCCTGTTTCAACAGCTAATCAGCTCAAAACGAAATCAGCCGGTACAAACTGTCAGCTGGACAAACAAGATCATCAGTTTGTGTGAAGAACATCCTTAAAACCTTTAAATCGACACTAATAATGAGAACCTGGCTCCAAATCCTTGTTCAGTAAAATGCAGCAGTTTAAATCCATCTATCTGTCTGTCTGTCTGTCTGTCTATCTATTGATCTATCTATCACTACTGAGAGATTCAGACTTAACTATACCTGCTGCACTTTCTTGACTGTAATCTTAAAGATGATTGGCCCCGCCCCCAGTGACTGGATTAACCAATCAGTAACCAGTATCAGGTGGAGTTTGTCTCCTTTATAACAAACCAAATATCATGAGAATGTGTTCACATTAAAGTTACAGTGGAGTCCGCATACAGCAGCGACCAGTGAGGTTTCTCTATTTATATTTTTAGGATTAATACAGCTTTCAGATGGAGCAGCCATGTTGGATTTTGAGGTCAAGGTTCATCAGACTTTCCTAGTTGGAATCCGACTTCAGTGAACGCTCTGGTTGAATGTTCGATATTCTGACTTACTCAGTTCAAATGCTGTTGCTATGGAGACAATACACCATCTCGCTGTATTGGTCTGAACTGGACTTTAGAAACATCACGTCGTTAACTGGATGACTGTTGCCATGGAGACAGTCTCAACTGGCTGAACCATTCAATGAACTGAAACCAAGATGATGATGATGATGATGATGACGACGACGATGATGATGACGATGATGACGATGATGACGATAATGACGATGATGATGATTTAAAGCAGCGGTTCCCAACCTTTTTCTGTCAGTCAGTAAACTGACTGTAAACAACAGATCTGGATGAATTTTGAACAGATTATTTAGTTATAGTTTAGGGAACTTTTTCTACAGATCTCTGTATTTTTATGATTTTTAACGATCAGACTCAGGCTTCAATGTTTCCTCGTCCCTTTACTTTTATTCACAAAGTGAAGCAGATTTAGGTCTGCTGTGTATTTTTAAAGTTTTCTTAATGCCTTAAAAGAGCTTGCGACCCCCCATGAGGCTATGGGGACCCCCAGGTTGGGAACCACTGATTTAAAGTGTCAAAGAGTTTGAGTTCAGTATTTCATCAGGGAACAGAAAGACAAACTGAACGCTCTTCATCACCCATGTGACTGAAAAACGATCACTTGACACAAAAACACCAAAACAGTCTTCAGTTCGTAAGTCTAAAAGTCTAAAAGTGTCTGCAGGAGATATTAATGAATAACTTCCAACTAATGAATACATAAATATTAAACATCATGCTGTATGGAAAGGACTGAAACTAGAGACTGAGAGCAGAAACTATGAGCTCATAAATCAACTTCTCCATAAGACTCCATACTATCAGAGTGGAGCTGCCCCCTGCTGGCTGTTAGAGAGACTGCAGCTGTATTTGATTATTTACATCTGTGTGTTTGTTGTTGATGTTTCAGGTGTTTTTGTATCATGTGATCTGATGATAATGAAAATATGAAATTTGATGACTTGAATCAGTTTGTTTGTATATTAAAGTTTATCTTTGAGTCTTTTATTGACGACAGCTGATCCAGGATCAGTGGATCAGGGTTCAGACTGGTCTGGAGTCTGCTTTGTGTTTTACTGTAGTTTTAGAAAGTGTGTGTATAAAGATCTGATCAGGAAACTGTAAATGATGTTTGTTGTAAGTTTATTGATCTGACTCATAATTCTAATCAACTGTTTTTATTAAAATCATAAAATATTTCCTGTTTAACTCACATTCAGGGTTGATTTCATTCTTTTATCTTTTCCAAGAATATGAGTGACATATTGATCACTGTATTGATCAGCTCAGATCTTATCTTTGATCAGAAAACCTGAGGACATTTTAAATGTTGAATGTCTCCATCCAGACAGATCTGTTGTTTGATCACCAATCAATCACATTGATCCCCAAGATAGTGATCAGGAAACCTTACAGAGGAAGAAGAAGAAGACTTAACGTTTATTTCATTAGATGATACAAAGATGTGAGATTGTGTCGGGTATCTGCTCATTAACACAAACGAAGAGCAACAGATGATACAAACATTGTTTTTCTAAAAAATCTGGTTTATAATCGGGAAGGAAGGTTAGACACCATTTTTACCTCCAGTCTGGTCTGTATGGACGGAATTCTAATTTAGCGTTATAATTCATTCATTTTATCATTTATAATTGTATTGATATTATATGTATATATACTCATCATATTTTCAGTTGGATCTAAACATTCTTTGGAAAATAAATGTTACTTAAAGATTTGTTATATTATTAATAATAATATTCACCAGTTCTAAATTATCCAGCATACACGCTACAAGATCTTCATTAGCATTAGCAGTTAGCTATGGCTTCTCCCTCTCCCTCTCCCTCTCCTCTGTCCTGCTCAGTGTGTCAGATGTTCAGTTATTCCTCTGCCTCCTTTAAAGATAATGGTACCTGTATTAAATGTAGTTTATTTACTGCGCTGGAGGCGAGGCTCAGTGAGTTAGAGGAACGGCACCGCACCACGGAGATATCTTTAGCCGCTATAGTTAGCCAGCCCCCAGTAGCCGGTGCGGTCCGACCAAAGGTAGCTTCTGTTAGCTCTGTAGATCCCCCGGTAGTTCCCGAGCAGCCGGGAAGACAGGGAGGCTGGGTGACTGAGCGAAGGAAGACTAGAACGGCGAAGCCCACAGGTCACCACCAACCGCTTCACGTTTCTAATACATTTTCCCCACTCAGCGATACACCCGCTGAGGAACCAACTCTGGTTATTGGCAGCTCCATAGTCAGAAACGTGAAGTTAGCGAAGCCAGCGGCCATAGTTAAATGCATCCCTGGGGCCAGAGCGGGCGACATTGAATCAAATTTAAAACTGCTGGCTAAAGGTAAACGTAAATACAGTAAGATTGTTATCCACGTCGGCGGTAACGACACCCGTTTACGCCAATCGGAGGTCACTAAGATTAATGTGGAGTCGGTGTGTAACTATGCTAAGACAATGTCGGACACCGTAGTTTTCTCTGGACCCCCTGCCCAATGTGACCAGTGATGACATGTATAGCCGCATGTCGTCATTCCACCGCTGGCTGTCGAGGTGGTGTCCAGCAAACGATGTGGGCTTCATTGATAACTGGAAGCCTTTTTGGGGAAAACCTGGTCTGATTAGGAGAGACGGCATCCATCCCACTTTGGATGGAGCGGCTCTCTTATCTAGAAATATGGCGAAGTTTATCTCTAAAACCTGACAGTCCAGAGTTAGGACCAGGAAGCAGAGCTGCTGTCTTACACACTTCTCTGCGCTTTCTTTAGAACAGTCACCCACCCAAAACCCCATAGAGACTGTGTCTGTCCCCCGACCACCTAAACTATTTAAAGAAATAAAAACAAGAGGAGTTCAACATAAAAATCTAATAAAAATTAAAACCAACTCCTCAGTAGCACAAAATAAGAGAATGAAATGTGGGCTGTTAAATATCAGGTCTCTGTCCTCTAAAGCTGTTTTAGTGAATGAATTAATATCAGATTATGATATTGATTTACTTTGTCTTACTGAGACCTGGTTGTCCCACGAGGAGTATGTTAGCCTAAATGAATCCACCCCCCCAGTCATATTAATACTCACATTCCTCGAGGCACAGGCCGAGGAGGTGGAGTAGCAGCTATATATGATTCGAGCGTTTTAATGGACCCTAAACCTAAACTAAATTATAATTCATTTGAAAGCCTTGTTCTTAGCCTTTCTCACCCAAACTGGAAAACACTGCAGCCAGTTCTATTTGTTATAGTGTACCGCGGTCCTGGACCGACTTTATATCTGAATTTTAAGAGTTTCTATCAAGCTTAGTCCTTAAATCAGATAAAGTAATTATTGTAGGTGATTTTAATATTCATGTGGATGTTGACAATGACAGCCTTAGTAATGCATTTATATCATTAATAGACTCAATTGGCTTCTGTCAGAGTGTAAATAAACCAACTCATTGTTTTAATCACACTCTTGACCTTGTTTTATCATATGGCATTGATATTGAACATTTAATAGTCTTCCCACATAATCCTTTCCTATCTGACCATTATTTAGTAACTTTTGAATTCATACTATTAGATTATAAGCCATTAGGCAAAACTTCCTACAGCAGATGTCTATCTGACAGTGCTGTAGCTAAATTTAAGGAGGAGATTCCTTCAGTGTTTAATTCAATGCCATGTCTGAATTTAACAGAGTCCTATAACAACTTTAGTCCCTCTGAAATTGATAATCTTGTCGATAGTGCTACAGGCTCACTACGATCAACATTAGACTCTATCGCTCCTATAAAAAGGAAATTATTAAAACATAGGAGACTAGCACCTTGGTATAACCACCAAACCCGCCAGTTAAAGCAAATAGCTAGGAAATCTGAAAGGAAATGGCGCTCTTCCAAATTATCAGAATATCGCTCAAATTGGCAAGATGATCTTAAGATTTATAGAAAGGCCCTCCGTAATGCCAGAGGGGCCTATTACTCAGCACTAATAGAAGAAAATAAGAACAACCCTAGGTTCCTCTTCAGCACTGTAGCCAGGCTGACAGAGAGTCACAGCTCTATCGAGCCACATATCCCCATAAACTTAAGTAGCAATGACTTCATGAGCTTCTTCTATAATAAAATTATTACTATTAGAGAAAAAATGAATCACCAACTGCCATCAACGGTTATCAGTGGCTCTCCAAGTTCAGGGACTTCTGTCAATGTAAACTTAGATGTATATTTAGACTGTTTTTCTGCTATCGATCTTCATCAGTTAACTTCAATCATTTCTTCATCGAAGCCATCAACCTGTCTGTTAGACCCGATCCCAACTAGGCTGCTTAAAGAAGTTGTTCCCTTAATTGGCACTTCTTTACTGGATATGATTAATCTTTCTTTATTATCAGGATATGTACCACAGTCCTTTAAAGTAGCTGTAATTAAACCCCTTCTTAAAAGTCTACTCTTGACCCAGGGGTTTTAGCCAACTATAGACCGATTTCTAACCTCCCGTTCCTCTCTAAGATTCTGGAGAAAGTAGTCGCCAAAGAGTTGTGTGACTTTCTACATAACAATAGTTTATTTGAGGATTTTCAGTCAGGATTTAGAGTTCATCATAGCACAGAGACAGCTCTGGTTAAAGTTAATAATGACCTTCTGACTGCTTCTGACAATGGACTTGTCTCTGTACTTGTATTATTAGATCTTAGTGCTGCATTTGACACCATTGACCATGATATTCTTTTACAGAGACTTGAGCATCAAATTGGCATTAAAGGAACTGCCCTAACCTGGTTTAAGTCATACTTATCAGATCGTTCTCAGTTTGTACATGTTAACGATGAATCCTCCATAAATACTAAAGTTAGTCATGGAGTTCCACAAGGTTCTGTACTTGGACCAATACTATTTACTTTATATATGCTCCCTTTAGGCAACATTATTAGGAATCACTCCATTAACTTTCACTGTTATGCAGATGATACGCAGTTATATCTATCAATCAAACCCAATGAAATTAATCAATTATCTAAATTACAAACATGTCTTAAGGACATAAAATCCTGGATGACCTGCAATTTTCTGATGTTAAACTCAGAAAAAAACGAAATTCTTGTTCCTGGCCCCAAAAACCTTAGAGACTCATTGTCTAAAGATATAGTCACTCTAGATGGCATTAACTTGGCCTCTAGCACCACTGTCAGGAATCTTGGAGTTATCTTTGATCAGGATTTGTCATTTAACTCCCACATAAAGCAGACCTCTAGGACTGCCTTCTTTCATTTACGTAATATTAGAAAAATTAGACACATCCTATCACAGACAGATGCAGAAAAACTAATCCATGCATTTGTTACTTCAAGGCTGGATTACTGCAACTCTTTATTAGCAGGTTGCCCCAATAAGTCCATTAAAACGCTCCAATTAATTCAGAACGCTGCAGCACGAGTACTGACAGGAACTAGAAAAAGAGATCACATCTCTCCTGTACTAGCTACTCTGCATTGGCTCCCTATAAAATGTAGAATTGAATTTAAAATACTCCTCCTCACCTATAAAGCTCTTCATGGTCAGGCCCCTTCATATCTTAAAGAGCTCATAGTACCCTATTACCCCACTAGAACACTACGTTCTCTGAATGCTGGGCTACTTGTGGTTCCTATAGTCTCTAAAAGTAGAACAGGAGCCAGAGCCTTCAGTTACCAAGCTCCTCTCCTGTGGAACCAGCTTCCAGTTGCGGTTCGGGAGGCAGACACCCTCACCACATTCAAGAGTAGGCTTAAGACATTCCTCTTTGATAAAGCTTATAGTTAGGGCTGGATCAGGTGAGTCCTGAACCATCCCTTAGTTATGCTGCTATAGGCCTAGACTATCGGGGGATTTCCCATGGTGCACTGAGCTACTCTCTTCCTCTCTCTTTCTGCACTCATTCATGTCCCTTTAATGCATGTTACTAACTCCACTTCTTCCCCGGAGTTCTTGTGCTTTCTCGTCTCGCAGGTTCTCATGGATCCTGGTGGAGCCTCCTGCCATGGTCCTGCTTGACTGCCATTGCCAATACTGTTGTTGCTGTGCACCTGTCTGTCTGTCTGTCGCTCTCTCTCTCTCTCTCTCTCTCTCTCTCTCTCTCTCTACCCCAACTGGTCGGGACAGACGACCACCCACCTAGAGCCGGAGGATCTGTCCTAGGTTTCTGCCTTTTAACAGGCAGTTTTTCCTTGCCCTTGTCGCCAAGTGCTTGCTCATGGTGGTACTGTTGGGTCTCTGTAATTAATGTTAAAGAGTTCGGTCTAGACCTGCTCTATTTGAAAAGTGTCCTGAGATAACTTCTGTTATGAATTGGCGCTATACAAATAAAATTGAATTGAATTGAATTGAATTGAATTTAACAGTGTCCTATAATGACTTTAGTCCCTCTGAAATTGATAATCTTGTCGATAGTGCTGCAGGCTCACTACGATCAACATTAGACTCTATCGCTCCTATAAAAAGGAAATTATTAAAACATAGGAGACTAGCACCTTGGTATAACCACCAAACCCGCCAGTTAAAACAAATAGCTAGGAAATCTGAAAGGAAATGGCGCTCTGCCAAATTATCAGAATATCGCTCAATTTGGCAAGATAATCTTAAAATTATTATAATTCAATTTTATTTGTATAGCGCCAATTCATAACAGAAGTTATCTCAGGACACTTTTCAAATAGAGCAGGTCTAGACCGAACTCTTTAAAACATTAATTACAGAGACCCAACAGTACCACCATGAGCACGACCTTGGCGACAAGGGCAAGGAAAAACTGCCTGTTAAAAGGCAGAAACCTAGGACAGATCCTCCGGCTCTAGGTGGGTGGTCGTCTGTCTCGACCAGTTGGGGTGAGAGAGAGAGAGAGAGAGAGAGAGAGAGAGAGAGAGAGAGGCAGAGAGATAGAGAGAGCAGGAGACAGACCGACAGACAGGTGCACAGCAACAACAGTATTGGCAATCGCAATCTAGCAGGACCATGGCAGGAGGCTCCACCAGGATCAACAAGAACCTGCGAGACGAGAAAGCACAAGAACTCCGGGGAAGAAGTGAAGTTAGTAACATGCATTAATGGGACATGAATGAGTGCATAAAGAGAGAGGAAGGGAGGAGCTCAGTGCACCATGGGAAATCCCCCGACAGTCTAGGCCTATAGCAGCATAACTAAGGGATGGTTCAGGACTCACCTGATCCAGCCCTAACTATAAGCTTTATCAAAGAGGAATGTCTTAAGCCTACTCTTGAATGTGGTGAGGGTGTCTGCCTCCCGAACCACAAATGGAAGCTTGTTCCACAGGAGAGGAGCTTGGTAACTGAAGGCTCTGGCTGCTGTTCTACTTTTAGAGACTATAGGAACCACAAGTAGCCCAGCATTCAGAGAACGTAGTGTTCTAGTGGGGTAATAGGGTACTATGAGCTCTTTAAGATATGAAGGGGCCTGACCATGAAGAGCTTTATAGGTGAGGAGGAGGATTTTAAATGAGCCAATGCAGAGAAGCTAGTACAGGAGAGATGTGATCTCTTTTTCTAGTTCCTGTCAGTACTCGTGCTGCAGCGTTCTGAATTAATTGGAGCGTTTTAATGGACTTATTGGGGCAACCTGATAATAAAGAGTTGCAGTAATCCAGCCTTGAAGTAACAAATGCATGGATTAGTTTTTCTGCATCTGTTTGTGATAGGATGTGTCTAATTTTTCTAATATTACGTAAATGAAAGAAGGCGGTCCTAGAGGTCTGCTTTATGTGGGAGATAAATGACAAATCCTGATCAAAGATAACTCCAAGATTCCTGACAGTGGTGCTAGAGGCCAAGGTAATGCCATCTAGAGTAACTATATCTTTAGACAGTGAGTCTCTAAGGTTTTTGGGGCCAAGAACAAGAATTTCTTTTTTTTCTGAGTTTAACATCAGAAAATTGCAGGTCATCCAGGATTTTATGTCCGTAAGACATGTTTGTAATTGAGATAATTGATTAATTTCATTGGGTTTGATTGATAGATATAACTGCGTATCATCTGCATAACAGTGAAAGTTAATGGAGTGATTCCTAATAATGTTGCCTAAAGGGAGCATATATAAAGTAAATAGTATTGGTCCAAGTACAGAACCTTGTGGAACTCCATGACTAACTGTAGTATTTATTGAAGATTCATCGTTAACATGTACAAACTGCGAGCGATCTGATAAATATGACTTAAACCAGCTTAGTGCTCAAAAGAATATCATGGTCAATGGTGTCAAATGCAGCACTAAGATCTAATAATACAAGTACAGAGACAAGTCCATTGTCAGAAGCAGTCAGAAGGTCATTATTAACTTTAACCAGAGCTGTCTCTGTGCTATGATGAACTCTAAATCCTGACTGAAAATCCTCAAATAAACTATTGTTATGTAGAAAGTCACACAACTCTTTGGCGACTACTTTCTCCAGAATGTTAGAGAGGAAGGGGAGGTTAGAAATCGGTCTATAGTTGGCTAAAACCCCTGGGTCAAGAGTGGGCTTTTTAAGAAGGGGTTTAATTACAGCTACTTTAAAGGACTGTGGTACATATCCTGATAATAAAGAAAGATTAATCATATCCAGTAAAGAAGTGCCAATTAAGGGAACAACTTCTTTAAGCAGCCTAGTTGGGATTTTAATAATTTCCTTTTTATAGGAGCGATAGAGTCTAATGTTGATCATAGCGAGCCTGTAGCACTATCGACAAGATTATCAATTTCAGAGGGACTAAAGTCATTATAGGACTCTGTTAAATTCAGACATGGCATTGAATTAAACACTGAAGGAATCTCCTCCTTAAATTTAGCTACAGCACTGTCAGATAGACATCTGCTGTAGGAAGTTTTGCCTAATGGCTTATAATCTAATAGTATGAATTCAAAAGTTACTAAATAATGGTCAGATAGGAAAGGATTATGTGGGAAGACTATTAAATGTTCAATATCAATGCCATATGATAGAACAAGGTCAAGAGTGTGATTAAAACAATGAGTTGGTTTATTTACACTCTGACAGAAGCCAATTGAGTCTATCAATGATATAAATGCGTTACTAAGGCTGTCATTGTCAACATCCACATGAATATTAAAATCACCTACAATAATTACTTTATCTGATTTAAGGACTAAACTTGATAAAAACTCTGAGAATTCAGATATAAAATCAGAGTACGGTCCAGGAGCGCGGTACACTATAACAAATAGAACTGGCTGCAGTGTTTTCCAGTTTGGGTGAGAAAGACTAAGAACAAGGCTTTCAAATGAATTATAATTTAGTTTAGGTTTAGAGTCCATTAAAACGCTCGAATCATATATGGCTGCTACTCCACCTCCTCGGCCAGTGCCTCGAGGAATGTGAGTATTAATATGACTGGGGGGGTGGATTAATTTAGGCTAACATACTCCTCGTGGGACAACCAGGTCTCAGTAAGACAAAGTAAATCAATATCATAATCTGATATTAATTCATTCACTAAAACAGCTTTAGAGGACAGAGACCTGATATTTAACAGTCCACATTTCATTTTTATTAGATTTTTATGTTGAACTCCTCTTGTTTTTATTTCTTTAAATAGTTTAGGTGGTCGGGGGACAGACACAGTCTCTATGGGGTTTTGGGTGGGTCACTGTTCTAAAGAAAGCGCAGAGAAGTGTGTAAGACAGCAGCTCTGCTTCCTGGTCCTAACTCTGGACTGTCAGGTTTTAGAAATAAACTTCACCATATTTCTAGATAAGAGAGCTGCTCCATCCAAAGTGGGATGGATGCCGTCTCTCCTAATCAGACCAGGTTTTCCCCAAAAAGGCTTCCAGTTATCAATGAAGCCCACATCGTTTTCTGGACACCACCTCGACAGCCAGCGGTGGAATGACGACATGCGGCTATACATGTCATCACTGGTCACATTGGGGAGGGGTCCAGAGAAAACTACGGAGTCCGACATTGTCTTAGAATAATTACACACCGACTCCACATTAATCTTAGTGACCTCCGATTGGTGTAAACGGGTGTCATTACCGCCGACGTGGATAACAATCTTACTGTATTTGCGTTTACCTTTAGCCAGCAGTTTTAAATTTGATTCAATGTCGCCCGCTCTGGCCCCAGGGATACATTTAACTGTATTGGCAATGGCAATCTAGCAATACAGTATATGATAAACAATAAACTCTTAGTTAAATATAGAAGGTAAACAATAAACAGTAAACAATAAACCCCCCCCCCAGCACACCACAGTGTAGAAGAGGACGCTGGTAACCACAGACTGGTAAAACATCCACAGCAGTTTGCTGCAGATGTTGAAGGATCGCAGTCCCCTCAGGAAGTACAGGTGGATGGTGTTTGTTGTCCAGTTTATTAGAAAATTAATTAATTTACACATTATTTTAATTTTACATTCAGAAAATGAATAATCATAATAACTTCACCTGAAAAGAAAACGTTATCATATATATACATTATTATAGATTGTTACAGGAAACATTTAGGACTTTTTTCTGAGTCTATGAGTTTTGCGTCACTTCCTGTGGAGGGAATTTAACCCGGAAGAGGGTGTAGTCCTGATCCTACGTTGGGTGTAGTCCTGATCAGGAAGCAGCGGACCGCCGGAGAACTGAACCTGAACAGCGACCAGGACCAGGACCAGAGCAGCCAGAAGGAGGTCCACACAGACCCCGACCCGCACTTTGTAATAACTTTATTGAGTGTTTCAGTGAGACAGCCGCTAGCTGCGTTCAGTTAGCCGCTAACAGCTAGCGCCGTGCTAACAGGGAAGTGACGGGTTCAGGTGAGGTCGGGCTCGATCCGCAGGTGTGTCTGTGAAGAGGACCCGGACAGGTAAGAGGGATCTCTTCGGTACAGCGCACCTGCTTTCTGTTAACGCTCAACTCCGCTAACATGCTAACATGCTAACAGGCTAACAGGCTAACAGGGCGGTGGTCCGCTGTTAGCATCAGGAGCTAACATGCTAACAGCACAACAACACGTCAGACTGAAAGACACCGTAAATGAGCATCAATATATCGATTATTATTGATCATAAATATATATACATTCATTGGTATTGCTCATACAAATATATCAATCAGTTATTGATCATAAAGATCAACACAGACCGTCACAAACAGATCGATCAGACTATTATTCAACTAACCTTATATTTGTTACAGTGAGTAAAACTGATCACTGATCAATAATCATGTTTCAGTGAAGTGAACATTTAGCTGAAACACATTTAAACTGCTCACTGAACAGATGTTCACATTAATCAATACAACAACACGAGGAGGAACTGATCAGATATTGACAGTTTACTAAACAACAACAACAACAACAACAATAATAACGGTGACCCCTGTCTGACTGGATCTCATTCAAATTAATCAAATACCTCAGTATATTGATCCCGGTATCAGATACAGTAATTATCCTGCTGGGTACAGGGTTCTGGGTTCTGGGTTCTGAGTGCTGGGTACAGGGTTCTGAGTGCTGGGTACAGGGTTCTGAGTGCTGGGTACAGGGTTCTGAGTGCTGGGTACAGGGTTCTGGGTACATGGTTCTGAGTGCTGGGTACAGGGTTCTGAGTGCTGGGTACAGGGTTCTGGGTACAGGGTTCTGAGTGCTGGGTACAGGGTTCTGGGTACAGGGTTCTGAGTGCTGGGTACAGGGTTCTGAGTGCTGGGTACAGGGTTCTGGGTACAGGGTTCTGAGTGCTGGGTACAGGGTTCTGAGTGCTGGGTACAGGGTTCTGGGTACAGGGTTCTGAGTGCTGGGTACAGGGTTCTGAGTGCTGGGTACAGGGTTCTGGGTACAGGGTTCTGGGTACAGGGTTCTGGGTACAGGGTTCTGAGTGCTGGGTACAGGGTTCTGAGTGCTGGGTACAGGGTTCTGAGTGCTGGGTACAGGGTTCTGAGTACAGGGTTCTGGGTACAGGGTTCTGGGTACAGGGTTCTGAGTGCTGGGTACAGGGTTCTGGGTACAGGGTTCTGAGTGCTGGGTACAGGGTTCTGGGTACAGGGTTCTGGGTACAGGGTTCTGAGTGCTGGGTTTGATACTGAGCTGAAGTGTGGAGGTATTTGAATCAGCTGTTAGAAGAACATGTAGTGAGTTCCAGTCTGACTGGGAGGAACACCCTCACCCCCTTACACCCTCTGATGATTTTATTGGTTTCTGAATGTGATTGATTGATTGATTGATTGATTGATTGATTGATTGATTGATGTTCTCTGGCAATAGAAGAAGAAGATGAGTGGAGGCGTGAACAGCATCGATGCGGTGAAGAAGAAGATCAAAGTGCTGCAGGAGCAGGCGGAGGAGGCTGAGGACAGAGCTGAGAGACTCCAGAAGGAGGTGGAGAAGGAGAAGAGGAGCAGAGAAGAGGTACACAGCTGTACAAGAGGAGGAGGAGGAGGAGGAGGAGGAAGAAGAAGAGGGTCTGTACTCATCAGATTGAGTCAGATGCCACAAATACTTCTGTGTATGTAAAGAGGGATGTATTACAACTGTAATAATACAGTAATACTACAGTAATAATCAGTGTTGGGCAAGTTACTTTTAAAAAGTAATTAGTTAGTTACTAGTTACTTCTTCCAAAAAGTAACTAAATTAGTTACTCACTTTCAAATTATAAAAGTAACTAGTTACTTCAGAAAGTAACTATTGCGTTACTTTCAAGTAAATTTTTAAATGCTCAAATGTGACCTCACCTCCACCCCTCTTTAACAGAACTTAAAATACATGTGCATGTTCAATTATTTATGATAAATCTGAATATTAATCTGAATATTATAATGAAATGGACACTTAATACAATACATTCTTAACAGAGACAATGTAGCCTGTGTACTACAGTGATACTACAGCCTGTGTACTACAGTGATACTACAGCCTGTGTACTACAGTGATACTACAGTTATACTACAGCCTGTGTACTACAGTAATACTACAGCCTGTGTACTACAGTAATACCACAGTGATACTACAGTAATACTACAGCCTGTGTACTACAGTAATACTACAGTGATCCTACAGTGATCCTACAGTAATACTACAGTGATACTACAGTAATACTACAGCCTGTGTACTACAGTGATACTACAGTGATACTACAGCCTGTGATACTACAGCCTGTGATACTACAGTGATCCTACAGTAATACTACAGCCTGTGTACTACAGTGATACTACAGCCTGTGTACTACAGTAATACTAGTGATACTACAGTAATACTACAGTAATACTACAGTGATACTACAGTAATACTACAGCCTGTGTACAACAGTGATACTACAGCCTGTGTACTACAGTAATACTAGAGTGATACTACAGCCTGTGTACTACAGTTATACTAGTGATACTACAGTAATACTACAGTGATACTACAGTAATACTACAGCCTGTGTACTACAGTAATACTACAGTGATCCTACAGTGATCCTACAGTAATACTACAGTGATACTACAGTAATACTACAGCCTGTGTACTACAGTTATACTACCACAGTAATACCACAGTGATACTACAGTAATACTACAGCCTGTGTACTACAGTAATACTTCACTGATACTACAGTAATACTACAGTAATACTACAGTCTGTGTACTACAGTAATACTACAGTGATACTACAGTAATACTACAGCCTGTGTACTACAGTAATACTACACTGATACTACAGTAATACTACACTGATACTACAGTAATACTACAGTGATACTACAGTAATACTACAGCTTGTGTACTACAGTAATACTACAGTGATACTACACTGATCCTACAGTAATACTACAGTAATAATCAGTGTTGGGCAAGTTACTTTTAAAGAGTAATTAGTTAGTTACTAGTTACTTCTTCCAAAAAGTAACTAAATTAGTTACTCACTTTCAAATTATAAAAGTAACTAGTTACTTCAGAAAGTAACTATTGCGTTACTTTCAAGTAAATTTTTAAATGCTCAAATGTGACCTCACCTCCACCCCTCTTTAACAGAACTTAAAAAACATGTGCATGTTCAATTATTTATGATAAATCTGAATATTAATCTGAATATTATAATGAAATGGACACTTAATACAATACATTCTTAACAGAGACAATGTAGCCTGTGTACTACAGTGATACTACAGCCTGTGTACTACAGTGATACTACAGCCTGTGTACTACAGTGATACTACAGTGATACTACAGTTATACTACAGTGATACTACAGTAATACTACAGCCTGTGTACTACAGTGATACTGCAGTAATACTACAGTGATACTACAGTAATACTACAGTGATACTACAGTAATACTGCAGCCTGTGTACTACAGTGATACTGCAGTAATACTACAGTGATACTACAGTAATACTACAGTGATACTACAGTTATACTACAGTGATACTACAGTGATACTACAGTGATACTACAGTGATACTACAGCCTGTGTACTACAGTGATACTGCAGTAATACTACAGTGATACTACAGTTATACTACAGTGATACTACAGTAATACTGCAGCCTGTGTACTACAGTGATACTGCAGTAATACTACAGTGATACTACAGTAATACTACAGTGATACTACAGTTATACTACAGTGATACTACAGTAATACTACAGCCTGTGTACTACAGTGATACTACAGTTATACTACAGTGATACTACAGTAATACTACAGCCTGTGTACTACAGTGATACTACAGTAATACTACAGTGATACTACAGTAATACTACAGTGATACTACAGTTATACTACAGTGATACTACAGTAATACTGCAGCCTGTGTACTACAGTGATACTACAGCCTGTGTACTACAGTGATACTACAGTAATACTACAGTGATACTACAGTAATACTACAGTGATACTACAGTTATACTACAGTGATACTACAGTAATACTGCAGCCTGTGTACTACAGTGATACTACAGCCTGTGTACTACAGTGATACTACAATAATACTACAGTGATACTACAGTAATACTACAGTGATACTACAGTAATACTACAGTGATACTACAGTTACACTACAGTGATTCTACAGTGATACTGCAGCCTGTGTACTACAGTGATACTACAGTGATACTGCAGCCTGTGTACTACAGTGATACTACAGTGATACTGCAGCCTGTGTACTACAGTGATACTACAGCCTGTGTACTACAGTGATACTACAGCCTGTGTACTACAGTGATACTACAGTAATACTACAGTGATACTATAGTAATACTACAGTGATACTATAGTAATACTACAGTGATACTACAGTTACACTACAGTGATACTACAGTAATACTGCAGCCTGTGTACTACAGTGATACTGCAGCCTGTGTACTACAGTGATACTATAGTAATACTACAGTGATACTACAGCCTGTGTACTACAGTAATACTACAGTAATACTACACTAATATTACAGTGATATTACAGCCTGTGTACTACAGTGATACTACAGTAATGTGTACTACAGTGATACTACAGTAATGTGTGATCAGGGTCCAGGTCTGTGTTTGTACCTGAGGTATACAGGTGTTGGGCTGACTGTACCCTGCTGTGTGTCTGACAGGCGGAGGCCGAGGTGACGGCTCTGGGTCGTCGTCTGCAGCTCAGTGAGGAGAATCTGGACCGGGCTCAGGAGAGACTGGCTACTGCCCTCCATAAACTGGACGAGGTGGAGAAAGCTGCTGACGAGAGCGAGAGGTCAGACACGCACACGCACACGCACACTGATCATGGTGTTGTTATTTCAGCATCATATTTATCCATTTATTGGCATTAAAACACAGAAACAGCTGATTACTGAGCCGTTGCTTTGTTTACTGTTTTGCACACTCTTGGCATTCTCTCGATGAGCTACATGAGGTAGTCACCTGAAATAGTTTTCCAACAGTCTTGAAGGAGTTCCCAGAGATGCTGAGCACTTGTTGGCCATTTGCCTTCACTCTGCAGTCCATCTCATCCCAAACCATCTCGATTGGGTTTAGGTCAGGTGACTGTGGGGGCCAGATCATCTGGCGCAGCACTCCAACACTCTCCTTCTTGGTCAAATAGCCCTTACACAGCCTGGAGGTGTGTTTGGGGTCATTGTCCTGTTGAAAAATAAATGATGGTCCAACTAAACGCAAACCGGTGACCATGATGCTGCAGGATGTTGTGGTAGCCATGCTGGTTCAGTGTGCCTTCAATTTTGAATAAATCCCCAACAGTGTCACCAGCAAAGCACCCCCACACCATCACACCTCCTCCTCCATGCTTCACGGTGGGAACCATGCATGTAGGTTTCTGCCTTTTAACAGGCAGTTTTTCCTTTCCCTTGTCGCCAGGGTTTTGCTCATGGTGGTACTGTTGGGTCTCTGTAATTAATGTTTTAAAGAGTTCGGTCTAGACCTGCTCTGTCGTTCCTCTTTACTTAGCTGATTGGTTCTTGCCATAATATGAATTCTAACAGTTGTCAAATAGGGCTGTCAGCTGTGTACCAACCTGACTTCTGCACAACTGATGGTCCCAACCCCATTAAGAAGGCAAGAAATTCCACAAATGAACCCTGACAAGGCACACCTGTGAAGTGAAAACCATTTCAGGTGACTACGTCATGAAGCTCATTGAGAGAAGGCCAAAGGTTTGCTGCTCTGTCAACAAAGCAAAGGGTGGCTACTTTGAGTTTGGTTATTTCACACTTTTTTGTTTACTACATAATTCCATATGTGTTCATTCATGGTTTTGATGCCTTCACTGAGAATCTACAATGTAAATAGTCATGAAAATAAAGAAAAACCATTAAATAAGAAGGTATGTCCAAACTTTTGACTGGTAGTGTATATACTGAATATATTACTGGATGGACCTGATCACTACCTCCACCCACAGACTCACTGCATCCTTCCCCTTTAAGAAAGTTGGATTGTGGATAACTGAGTGTGTGCTGTTGGAGAGTTATGGTGCTATCCATTTGTCTCGTAAATCCCCCGCCCGAGTTGCTCTGCCACGAGAACGTGACGTAATTGCCTGGCTTGTACCACTTATAGCGTTCTAGTTGTCTTTGGGCGTTACGAGTCAGAAAGAACATGGACGCCACCAGTGCAGCAGCTGTGTTGTTATTGATTGTGGCTCTTCTAAACAAGCTCAATGTGAAATAATGTTTTTCTACAGAAACACTAACATTTCAAGTAATTCCGTTATTGCAAGTCTTACATTTCAATAATATTTTGCCATTTTTGCCTATTTCAATGTCAACAAGTGCTGTGGCGTTTGTCTCGAGCCACCAGGAGCAACCAGGAGCCTCCAGGGGTTTCCAGGAGCCTCCAGGGGCCTCCAGGGGCCACCAGGAGCCTCCAGTGGCAGGCTAGTGTTATTGTTAGCTACATTAGCCTATTTAGCAAACCAGCTCGAAAACAAACCTTTACATTGTATTGAACTTACAGCAACACCGTGCAATGCATAAATTGGTGACCGGACTAAAGCAGCAATGTAAACAGTGTGTAGGAGAATTTAAAATCGACATTAAAACGACCAACGTAGCACAAATACAAAGAAAATACATCTCAACACCATGAAATATGGGCGCAGCCATCTTTGTTTTGCAGGTCGTAAATTCGTCCTCGTTTAGCTCGGTGAACTGTGACGTACCCCGAGCTGGACGGCTGAAATTACGACCAAAAGGGGGTGTGTCTCGGTGAGATGTCGCGAGATAGCTGCGAGATTTACACTTTACAACTCGGGCTGGGGATTTACGAGACAAATGGAAAGCACCATTAGCTGCTAGCAGTTCGACCTGCAGCTTCCAGGTCAGAAATGTATCAGAGTTTTATTAGGGCCCGAGTAACCGTACGAAGACCTTATTGTAATTGAAGGAATTATTATTATTATTATTCTTCCTAATGTGAAATTATATTTTCGTGACCTGTGAAATGAAACGACTGCTTCTGGAATTTTATGGGTCTTGAACATTTGTACGGGAATAATGTCTCGGCGGTGCCCCCTATTGAGTATGAAAAGTGGTTCACATGTAGATCATGTGACGACGTACATGAAGCCTCTTGAAGCCATACGTCAACCCCAACAGGAAGTCTTGTTTACGTTTTGGATTTAGCAGCCATTTTAGGCGTTCTGCACATATTGTATTTAATGAACTCCATCTAGTCCCGCCCTGAACACATCTACGTGCGAATATTCAGTCATAGTGATAGCGCCCCCTACTGGCAACAGGAAGTGCTTCATGCCAACTTTGATCTGATTTACATAACATTTTCATTTGAGTGCGAGGGCCGGTTCATGGATGCTTGCAGCCTTCATTTGTCTCTATCCTGACTCAGTGCTTACTAATGCCAGCTAGCACTAGCTTCCGCTGTCTGCTGTGACTCATAGCTGTCTGTCTGTCCGACTGTCAGAGGTATGAAGGTGATTGAGAACAGAGCTCTGAAGGACGAGGAGAAGATGGAGCAGCTAGAGGTTCAGCTCAGAGAAGCCAAACTGATCGCTGAGGAGGCCGATCGCAAATATGAAGAGGTAACGCACACATTCCACAATATACACAACGTACCACACACATTACACAATACACACAACGTACCACACACATTACACAATACACACAACGTACCACACACATTCCACAATATACACAACGTACCACACACAGGAGTCCTGTAGAGGTTTTATTGGAGTTTGTTGCTAACGCTACGTTAGCTAGCTGTCAGTCAGCAGATACTTTATAATGTGATTGATTAATGTCATTAGTATTGCTCATACAAATATATCAATCAGACCATCACAAACAGATCGATCAGACTAATATTCAACTAACCTTATATTTGTTACAGGAGACACAGTGAGTAAAGCTGATCAATCATCATCATGTTTCAGTGAAGTGAACATTTAGCTAAAACACATTTCAGAATCAGAATCAGAAATACTTTAATAATCCCAGGGGGAAATTATTTTCGTTACAACACTTCAGATATACAAACAATATAGAGAGATAGAGAGAGAGAGAGCGAGCGATAGATATATATATATCTATCATGTACAGTATTAATGTGCAAAAAGTGCAAAAGAATGATTGTCTATGTTTTGAGTCAGAATTACAGAGAGGGGGTGTCTGACTCTCTGAGGGAGGCGTTGTAGAAATTGATGACCACAGGCAGGAATGATTTCCTGTGGCGCTCTGTGGTGCATCTGGGTGAGAGGAGTCTTCTGCTGAAGGTGCTCCTCTGCTGGGCCAGTGTGTCGTAGAGAGGGTGAGAGATCAGTCTGCTTAGTCTGTTGTTGTCAGCGACCTTCAGCCCACTGCCCCAGCATGTGACAGTGAAGAAGATCGTACTGGCCACAACAGACTCATAGAACATCCTCAGCATCGTCCGGCAGATGTTAAAGGACCTCAGCCTCTTTAGGAAAAAGAGTCGGCTTTGGCCCTTTTTGTAGACCGCCTCAGTGTTTCTAGTCCAGTCCAGCTTATTATTAAAGTACACCCCCAGGTACTTCTACTCCTCCACAGTGTCCACAGGGACCCCCTGGATGGAAACAGGGGTCACTGGTGTTTTTGCCCTCCTCAGATCCACTATGATTTCCTTAGTCTTTGTCACGTTGAGCTGCAGATGATTCAGCTCAGTCCAAGTGACAAAGTTGCCCACAACAGTCATATATTCACTGTCATCACCCTTATCTATGCAGCCAACTATTGCTGAGTCATCAGAAAACTTCTGAAGGTGGCAGGACTCGGTGCCATAGTTGAAGTCTGAGGTGAAGAGGAAGGGAGAGAGGACAGTCCCCTGTGGGGCCCCAGTGTTGCTGACCACCCTGTCAGACACACAGTTCTGTAGGCGTACGTACTGTGGTCTGCCCGTCAGGTAATCAACAATCCAGGACACGATGGGGGCCTCCACCTGCATCGCAGCCATCTTCTCACCCAGTAGAGCCGGACTGATGGTATTGAAAGCACTGGAGAAATCAAAGAACATGACTCTCGCCGGCTTGTCCAGATGAGTGTAGACTCTGTTCAGCTTGGCTAAGTACTCCACACAGCTGGGGGCACAGGCTTTAAGAACCCTGGGAAATACACCATCAGGGCCTGCAGCTTTGCCGGAGTGGAGTCTTTTCAGCTGTCTTCTCACCAGGTCAGGCGTGAGGGGCACTGTATAGGTGACAGTGGGGGAAGGGGTGAGGTTCTCAGGTTGTGGAGGACATGATGCAGAGCAGGGGGAAGGGGTGGAGTAGGTGGGTGTGAATTGAGGTGGTGAGGAGCAGACAAGGGGTCTGTAAGGAGGAGGAGTAGGGGGAGATAAAGTGGCAGTTGTTGGGTAGCCAGCAGCAGAGACTTGTGGGGGATGGGCCGCAGTATCAAACCTATTGAAAAATAGGTTCAGTTCATTGGCCCGGTCGACATGGCCCTCCAACCCCATGCCACCAGTCTTCTGGAACCCAGTGATGGTTCTCATGCCACTCCACACATCCCTCATGTTGTTTCGCTGGAGTTTACTCTCCAGCTTTCTCCTATATTTGTCTTTAGCCTCCCTGATTTTAGGTTTGAGTACCCCCTGCACTCTCCTCACCTCATCACGGTTGCCATCTCTGAACGCCCTCTTCTTCTCATTCAGGATGGCCTTAATATCCTTAGTGATCCAAGGTTTATTGTTGGCATAACAGGTTACAGTCCGAGCTGGGACATTGCAGTCCACACAGAAGTTTAAATAGTCCGTGATGCACTCTGTGAGCCCATCAATGTCCTCCCCGTGGGGCTCACAGAGTGCAGGCCAGTCAGTCACTTCAAAGCAGGCCTGCAGTGTCTCATAAGCCTCCACCGACCACCTCCTCACAATCCTTGTGTTTGTAGGCTTCCTCTTCACCAGAGGCACATAGCAGGGTTTGAGGTGAACCAGGTTGTGATCTGTAGAGGGGGGAGAGAAGAGGAGATGTATGTATCCTTAATGTTAGCATACATCAGGTCCAGGGTCCTCTCCTCTCTGGTAGGACAGCTCACATATTGTTTGAAAGTCGGCAGAACTCTATCCATGGTGACGTGATTAAAGTCTCCCCACATGATGATGAGGGCACTGGAGTGTTGAGTCTGTAGTTTGGAGATGGTGGTGTGTATGATGCTGCAGGCAGATGTTGGGTTTGCAGAGGGAGGGATGTACAGGACAGCAATGATGACGTGCGGGATCTCTTTAGGCAGATGGTATGGACGGGGGAAGTCCAACGGCCAGCAATTCAACATCCGGGCTACAGAGCTGTTCTTTAATGGTGATATGACCAGGGTTACACCATCTGCTGTTTACTAGAATGGCAAGCCCCCCTCCTTTCCGCTTACCGCTCTCAATATCCCGGTCCGCCCGGACAGTGTGGAAGCCATCCACGGAGACGATCTGGTCCGTAATGTCCCTGTGCAGCCATGTCTCTGTGAAACACATCAGACTGCACTCCCGGTACTCCGGGTGGCTCAGCGTCAGCGCCGTTAGCTCGTCCATTTTGTTGCTAAGGGACCGTACGTTTCCCATAACAACAGAGGGGAGACACAGCTTAAATCTTCTCCTCTCCATAAGCCCGTCTCGTCTTGACCCTCCTTTCATTCCCCGACGTTGCTTCCCTCCTCTGCAACCTCGGTGTGTTTTCCTCCAGAGTTCAGGTAGGGGTGGGCGATATGGGCAAAAAATAATATCTCAATATTTTTTGGGATTTTGGCGATAACGATAATCAGTCGATATCCTTTAAAATGTGATTAGAATTGTCTGAGCTGGACTTGTGTCCACCAAACGCATTTACAGCGCTGAGAGCGCTCAAAAACTCATTTTCCGAGCGCCCAGCGGTGTTAAAAGTTGAACAGATTTCAACTTGAAGCGCTCTGAGCGCTGCGCTAAAAAAAACCCATCTCCGCTGACATCTTTTTACCGCTGAAGGCGCTTAGCGCTCTGAACGCTGAAGCCCATAGGACCCACGTCTCGCACTAAATCATCTGAAGTACCGGTAGCTTCAGGGACTGGAGGTGTTTGCATTTTCTCTCTATCATCACAACGCGCTGCTAAACTGTTGCAAGGAGGATGCTAGCGAGAGGTCACGTGATCACGTCATGTGATGCTGGGTTTGATGCTGAGCTGAATTGTGGAAATATTTGTATCAGCTGTATACTACAGTAATACTACAACCTTATCAATACTCTGGATATTTCTGTTCAACTCCAGCTCCAGTCTCTTTCTGTGATCAATCTCTGTCCCTGCTGGGGCTCATTAATAATATATAAACATTATTAATTGATCATTAGTGTTAGCTGTTTACTAATGAGATTAACAACAAATGTTTGTTTGTTTTTAATTAAAAATAAAAAAATGTTATTGTGTGTGTGTGTGTGTGTGATTGACAGGTGGCTCGTAAACTGGTGATGGTGGAAGGAGAACTGGAACGAGCTGAAGAGCGAGCTGAGCAGGGAGAGAGGTACACACACACACACGCACATACGCACGCATACATACATACATACATACATACACACATACGCACGCACGCACACACACACACTAACACCTGGTTCTAGCATGAAGCTGCTGCTGCTGCTTCTCTCACTGCAGACAGACAGGTAGACAGACAGACAGGATGAAGTGTCTACAAGAACTACAACTCCCAGGGTGCATTTCACCTACAAACATAAATATAAATCAGATTCTGGTTTCTTCTCCATGGCAACAGCAGCTGAGGCTCATTTTATTATTTAGAGACGTAAATGATTAAAGAAACTTCATTCAGTGTTCACTGTCTGTCAGAATACAGTTAGTGGGCGCCCGCTTGGCTCAGTGGGTAGAGCTCGCGTCCCACGTACCGAGGCTGAGTCGTTGCTGCAGCGGCCCATGGTTCGAATCCGACCTGCGGCCCTTTGCTGCGTGTCATCCTCTCTCTCTCTGCCCCCGTTTCCTGTCTGTCTTCAGCTGTCTCTGTAATAAAGGCAATAAAAACGAACTAAAGGAAGAATACACAAGTTAGCATCAAGTGAATGTCACTTTCTGTTCGATGGACTTTTGCCATCGCTGAGTGTGTGAAAGGGTGAATGTGGCACGTAGTGTAAAAGCTCTTTGAGTGGTTGAAAGACTAGAAAGGAAACTATACAGGTACAGCTCCATTTACCATGGATCACATTAGCTGGGGAAGCTAACGTTAGCTAGTGTTGCCCACTGTTGGCACTCGGAGCATAAAGGTCACAACCTTTGACCCTCATCCCTACATAGAGACACATAGAGACACATAGACACACAGGCAGCAGAGGGACAAAGCTACAACCTGTTCACTAATCAATAACCAGGATTCTTTACTGCAGTTTTTATCTGAAAAACCTTCAGGCTGCTAGTTAGCTACGGTTGCTAGGTAACGTTAGCTTGTAGTAGTACATACTCAGCTTTAACTGCATGACCTCACTGATGACCTCACTATGATGTCACACTGCTTCACTAACAGCGCTGTAATCTGACTACATCCATCTTTCTCTTCCTGTCTGTTTCCATGGAAACATGTTGCTGCTGCTGCTGCTGCTGCTGCATGTCTTGCTACCTGTCTGTGGTCCTGTCTTGCTACCTGTCTGTGGTCCTGTCTTGCTACCTGTCTGTGGTCCTGTCTTGCTACCTGTCTGTGGTCCTGTCTTGCTACCTGTCTGTGGTCCTGTCTTGCTACCTGTCTGTGGTCCTGTCTTGCTACCTGTCTGTGGTCCTGTCTTGCTACCTGTCTGTGGTCCTGTCTTGCTACCTGTCTGTCGTCCTGTCTTGCTACCTGTCTGTCGTCCTGTAACAGTAAGGTTCGGAGGTTGGAGGAGCAGTTGAGGAGTTTCGACCAATCACTGAAGAGCCTGCAGGCGTCAGAGGACAAGGTACTGAGGGTCACCTGACCTCCCACCTGCTGTCAATAACACCAAAGGAGCTCCTCCTCCTGTCCTCCCGCTGCCTCCCATGACCTCTGACCTTTAGCTGCTGCTTCAGCTCCTCCTCCTGCTGGTTTCTGCATGACTTTAACCTGCTGCAGACACCAAACTGCACACAACACCTGTCAGACACCAAACTGCACACAACACCTGTCAGACACCAAACTGCACACAACACCTGTCAGACACCAAACTGCACACAACACCTGTCAGACACCAAACTGCACACAACACCTGTCAGACACCAAACTGCACACAACACCTGTCAGACACCAAACTGCACACAACACCTGTCAGACACCAAACTGCACACAACACCTGTCTGACACAGTCTGTTTGTGATGTGACCTTTGACCTGCAGTAAGTGTCGGTTGTTGGAGGAGGAGCTGAAAACTGTCTTCACTAGTTCAAAGTCTCTGGAGGCCCAGGCTGAGAAGGTAGGAGGAGGAGGAGGAGCAGTCCTAATAAGCTGAGCTATTAGCTCACCTGTGAGCTCACCTGTGAGCTCACCTGTGAGCTCACCTGTGAGCTGAGCTGCAGAAAGAATGTCTCTGTTATATTTGATGCTAAAATGGTTCAGGTATCTGCAGACGTTACCGCTCTCGTCCACTAGGTGTGACATTGACATGTACATCTGTCTATCACCTGTACAGTGGACAGTTCACGAGTCTCAGATGGACCTGTAGCAGGTGAAAGCTACCTGAATGAGGATGTTTCACCTCCCACCTGATGCTACCATCAGTCCTCATTCCTGATTGGTTGTTGTTGTGTGTCAGTACACCTGGTCTTCTGATTGGCTGTCTCTGTTTCTCAGTACTCTCTGAAGGAGGACAGGTATGAAGAGGAGATAAAGAACCTGAGCAACAAACTCAAGGAGGTGAGACTTCCTGTTACCTGTACTTCCTGTTTACCTGTGTACTTCCTGTTTGTTACTGTGTACTTCCTGTTTGTTACTGTGTACTTCCTGTTTGTTACTGTGTACTTCCTGTTTACCTGTGTACTTCCTGTTTGTTACTGTGTACTTCCTGTTTACCTGTGTACTTCCTGTTTACCTGTGTACTTCCTGTTTACCTGTGTACTTCCTGTTTGTTACTGTGTACTTCCTGTTTGATACTGTGTACTTCCTGTTTACCTGTGTACTTCCTGTTTACCTGTGTACTTCCTGTTTGTTACTGTGTACTTCCTGTTTACCTGTGTACTTCCTGTTTGTTACTGTGTACTTCCTGTTTACCTGTGTACTTCCTGTTTACCTGTGTACTTCCTGTTTCCAGGCTGAGACTAGAGCAGAGTTTGCAGAGCGTTCTGTTGCCAAACTGGAAAAAACCATTGACGGCCTCGAAGGTTTGTTTCATTTTCTTATTGACTGCAGATACATTGATTGATTAGATCTATTGATTAATGACAGCACTGATGGATTAGATCTATTGATTAATGACAGCACTGATGGATTAGATCTATTGATTAATGACAGCACTTATGGATTAGATCTATTGATTAATGACAGCACTTATTGATTAGATCTATTGATTAATGACAGCACTGATGGATTAGATCTATTGATTAATGACAGCACTGATGGATTAGATCTATTGATTAATGACAGCACTGATGGATTAGATCTATTGATTAATGACAGCACTGATGGATTAGATCTATTGATTAATGACAGCACTGATGGATTAGATCTATTGATTAATGACAGCACTGATGGATTAGATCTATTGATTAATGACAGCACTGATGGATTAGATCTATTGATTAATGACAGCACTTATTGATTAGATCTATTGATTAATGACAGCACTTATTGATTAGATCTATTGATTAATGACAGCACTGATGGATTAGATTTATTGATTAGAAACTGTGCTCTGTGTTTTCAGACGCTCTGACTTCGGCCAGAAACGCCAACATGGAGCTGCAGGCGACTCTGAATCAGACCATGGAGGAGCTCAACTCCTGCTGAACCTCCTCCCCCTCCCTCCCCCCTCCCTCCCCCCACCACCCAGCAGGGACTCTGTGGCCAAAACATTCCTCCTCTACTTCCTGTTACTCCCCTCTTCTCCTCCCTCTTCCTCCTGGTGGAGGTCAGGGCTCAACTGTGGCCAAACATTCCTCCTTCCTCCTCCTCATCTCTCTGCCGGCTTCTTGGTGGACGTCAGATTCTCCTCCTCCTCCTCCTCCTCACTGAATGCTTTCACACATTCCTTCTCTGAACCTTTAAGTCACATTTGGAGTGTTGCTTTAATTTACTCCTCCTGTCTGGCCCTCCCTCCTCCATCCTCTTCCTCCTCCCCTCCCTCTTCCTCCTCCTCCTCCCCTCCCTCCCCCCGACAGTGCCAACTCCTCCCCTCCTCAGTATTAGAGGGAGGCCAGATGAGGAGCTGCTATAAGGGAGACTAACAGTGACTTACAGCCATTCCCTCGTTAATTAACAACTAATTAACCTCTGAGTGTTTGTCTTAACGGTTTATTGATTAGTTTTCTTTGCCACATTGATTAATGATTGATTGATTAGAGCCAATGTCCTGTAAGCCAATGATTTGTTGTGTTACCTCCCCCAGCCCAACAGGTGACCTTTGACCTGATGACATGAATAAATAAAGTTTGGAAATGTTTTTACCAGGAAGCCAGTGATGATGTCATCCCTGTGCTGATGATGTCACAGCTCATTGTAATAAATCATGAGACAGGATTTTATAAAATAAAAGCGCTGCCACTGCTCTGTAGATCCACACTGACTCTGTGCTTTTATTCTGAAACAATCCTTCATTAATTAATAATTGATCACTGATCATTAGTCGTTAATGTTTATATTGATTTGTGTGTAATAATTCTGTTAAAATAAAACTGCTTCAGTGTTTGAAAGAGTTCAAATAGCACCTCCTGCTGGTCAATGGCTCTTATTGATATTTATTCCAATAATCATTGTAAACACTGATCAATCATTTAATCAGCTCTGATTTGAAAGTTTACACGTCATTGGTCGAGGCAGATGACCACCCATCTAGTGCTGGGGTCTGATTTTAATTGATCAGTTCAATCAATTACAGTATTAAGACGTGTTCATACGTTAATCAAATAACGTAATCAATATAATCAATGACCATCAGAATGTTCAATGCAGAGCTCCACTGATGTGGGGAAAAAAACATTAAAACAATAATAATAATCAATTCTGTCTTTATTAGGAAATATTATTGATCAACCATAATAGACACAGATAATCAATCAGTCCCGTCTTTTATTTTGAAAGTGTCCTACTTTCCTTTAAATCATGGACAGATACTGTTAGTAATCAATAACAGGATGTCAGGTTCTATAAACTGATCTGCAGCTGTGGAACACTTTCTACTAGTGAACGCTGCAGTAAACGTTACTTTCCACCGCAAATCAATAAACATAAATATCAGTTCATCAACAGACATATTGGTATTATATTAATTATTATTATAGTTTTTACAGTGTAACGGTCCAGGTGAGAATCTCCCAGCAGCCTTTGCAACCTGGTCAGAAAAGAGACAGTGAATCCTGTTGCTCTTTATCAGTTATCAATAAAAATATTGATCAGTGGGGCACAATGTGGCCCGGGGTTCGATCACCCCTTTCCTGTGTATCTTCACCTGTCCTTTCAAATTAAAGGCATAAAAAGCCCCAAAAATGTCATTATTGACTTGATTATTGACATATATTGATCAGTGATTGTCAGCAGCTTCCTCTGCCAGCTTCAGGATCGGCTGCAGCTGCTCCTCTAACGAGAGGGCGTCGGCCTCGTTACTGATGATCCAATCAAATTCAATCCCGCTGTCCAACCCGCACTCTGACTCTGCGTCATCCACACCTGAGACAGACAGGTAGAGAGACAGGTAGAGAGAGTACAGAGTACATGTAAGTACAGGAAGTGATTTTACCTGCGGTGAAGCTCCACCCCCTCTGTTGGCGAGTTGTTTCTGAACTTTGAACTCTGACACTTCGAGTCTGTCGAGGAAACTCCGACCAGAACCACTGCAGGTCAGACAGCCGGCGGGCGTCACTCACCACCTGACCAATCAGAGCAAAGCGTCACTCACTACCTGTATATATAAACTGATCCCATTCACTCTAATGGAGATCAATGAGCTCAGTAAACAGTTTCCTGATGAGTTTCTGGTCTCAGTCTCTAGTTTCAGTCTTCTTCCATACAGCATGATGTTCATTTAGTAACTGATGGTCCCATTTAGAGTAAAACAGACCATAAAGCAGGGTATGCTTTAGGGCGGGGCTACCTTGTGATTGACAGCTCATTCTCAGTGAGTCCGTCCAGCTCAACGCACCAAACTCAGATCAAACTGTCAGACAGTGCTGACCGCTGGCTCAGTTTTACTGTCATGGCGACGGCCAAAACCCCAAACTCGAGGCTTCAAATCGCTTCACCGATGGGCGACGTACCCAGACAGGTTGCTGTGCTCCTCTGGTTGCTAGGCGACAGAAGAATCCGGGATCCTGCCGCCGTCGAGTCTCTCCCCAACGAATCATATCAGCCCGATACTGCTCCTTATAAAGACCAGGACCCAGCAGCTGGTCTAGGTCCAGACCATGTTCCTGCAGTACCACAGGAAACAGTGACTCAGCAATAACATTATGAGTCAGCAGTAACAGTACGAGTCAGCAGTGACATTATGACTCAGCAGTAACAGTAAGAGTCAGCAGTAACAATACAACTCAACATTAACAATACGACTCAACAGTAACACTACGAGTCAGCAGTAACAGTACGAGTCAGCAGTAACAGTACGAGTCAGCAGTAACAGTACGACTCAACAGTAACAATAGGACTCAACAGTAACAGTACGACTCAGCAGTAACAGTATGACTCAACAGTAACAATAGGACTCAACAGTAACAGTACGAGTCAGCAGTAACAGTACGACTCAGCAGTAACACTACAACTCAACAGTAACAGTACGAGTCAGCAGTAACAGTACGACTCAGCAGTAACAGTACGACTCAGCAGTAACAGTACGACTCAACAGTAACAATAGGACTCAACAGTAACAGTACGACTCAACAGTAACAATAGGACTCAACAGTAACAGTACGAGTCAGCAGTAACAGTACGAGTCAGCAGTAACAGTACGACTCAACAGTAACAATAGGACTCAACAGTAACAGTACGACTCAGCAGTAAACGTATGACTCAACAGTAACAATAGGACTCAACAGTAACAGTACGACTCAGCAGTAACAGTACGACTCAACAGTAACAATAGGACTCAACAGTAACAGTACGAGACAGCAGTAACAGTACGAGTCAGCAGTAACAATAGGACTCAACAGTAACAGTACGACTCAGCAGTAACAGTACGACTCAGCAGTAACAGTACGAGACAGCAGTAACACTACAACTCAACAGTAACAGTACGACTCAGCAGTAATAGTACGACTCAACAGTAACAGTACGACTCAGCAGTAACAGTACGAGTCAGCAGTAACAGTACGACTCAGCAGTAACAGTACGACTCAGCAGTAACAGTACGACTCAGCAGTAACAGTACGACTCAACAGTAACAGTACGAGACAGCAGTAACAGTACGACTCAACAGTAACAGTACGAGACAGCAGTAACAGTACGAGTCAGCAGTAACACTACCACTCAACAGTAACACTACGACTCAACAGTAACAGTACGACTCAGCAGTAACAGTACGAGACAGCAGTAACAGTACGACTCAACAGTAACACTACGACTCAACAGTAACAGTACGAGACAGCAGTAACAGTACGACTCAACAGTAACAGTACGAGTCAGCAGTAACAGTACGAGTCAGCAGTAACAGTACGAGACAGCAGTAACAGTACGAGTCAGCAGTAACACTACTAGTCAGCAGTAACAGTACGACTCAGCAGTAACACTACGAGTCAGCAGTAACAGTACGAGTCAGCTGTAACAGTACGAGTCAGCGGTAACAGTACGAGTCAGCAGTAACAGTACGAGTCAGCGGTAACAGTACGAGACAGCGGTAACAGTACGAGTCAGCGGTAACAGTACGAGTCAGCGGTAACACTACGAGTCAGCGGTAACAGTACGAGTCAGCGGTAACACTACGAGTCAGCAGTAACAGTACGACTCAGCGGTAACAGTACGAGTCAGCGGTAACAGTACGAGTCAGCGGTAACAGTACGAGTCAGCGGTAACACTACGAGTCAGCGGTAACAGTACGAGTCAGCGGTAACACTACGAGTCAGCGGTAACAGTACGAGTCAGCGGTAACAGTACGAGTCAGCGGTAACAGTACGAGTCAGCGGTAACAGTACGACTCAGCGGTAACAGTACGAGTCAGCAGTAACACTACGACTCAACAGTAACACTACGACTCAGCAGTAACAATAGGACTCAGCAGTAACAGTACGACTCAGCAGTAACAGTACGAGACAGCAGTAACAGTACGACTCAGCAGTAACACTACGAGTCAGCAGTAACAGTACGAGACAGCAGTAACACTACGAGACAGCAGTAACACTACGAGTCAACAGTAACACTACGACTCAGCAGTAACAATAGGACTCAACAGTAACAGTACGACTCAGCAGTAACAGTACGAGACAGCAGTAACAGTACGACTCAGCAGTAACACTACGAGTCAGCAGTAACAGTACGAGACAGCAGTAACACTACGAGACAGCAGTAACACTACGAGTCAGCAGTAACACTACGAGTCAGCAGTAACACTACGAGTCAGCAGTAACAGTACGAGTCAGCAGTAACAGTACGAGTCAGCAGTAACACTACGAGTCAGCAGTAACACTACGAGTCAGCAGTAACACTACGAGTCAGCGGTAACATTATGACAGTCATAGTGTTACTGCGTTACGGTTCTTCCTCAGATCTGGGCCGTGTGTCAGCAGGTGTTATCTCACCTGAGCGTACTGATGTTTGAGAGGTCCCGACAGACGCAGCACGCAGCAAACATCAGAGCCCAAACTGCAGCAGAAGAAACAGGAGAGTTAGACACAGATATTACTAACTCACAGAGGAACTGTAAACTGGCTCAGAGGCAGAGCGGGGCGTCCACTGATCAAAAGGTTGTTGGTTTGATCCCCGGCTCCTCCTGCTGCATGTCCAAGTGTCCTTCAGCAAGATACTGAACTGAATGTGTTTGTAGTAAATATAATATCAAACTACATTTTCACATGATTTTAGATCATTATTAATATTTATCACAAACACACACAGGTTGTAGTTTTTCACATTCTAATATATTTATATTTATATATACCTATTATAATCATTAAACATATTAAATATAATTCACTTTAAATAACCAATAACCAATATTGTTTTCAAACTGATCAGAGTGACACAGGTACTGATATTAAACCAATAATCAATAATGATCTGGTTTCAGTTACCGGTTCTGGATCAGGTCCGTCACATAGTCTTTCCCGGACTTCCGCTTCCCGCTGAAGACCAGAACCAGTTTGGGCTCAGAGACTCGATCCTCCATCAGGTTCCACTAATCACTGATCGATACTGCTGCTGCTTCCTTTCCGCTCCGTGTTCCCACTGTCGGACCACACCGGACCGGAACCGTAACTGTCAGAGCAAACAGGAAGCACTTCAAAATAAAACTGTTACAGACTGACTTTAAACGCGCTGCAGGGTCCACCCGATCAACAATCGATACTACACTGATTGGATATCGATCATCTAATGGGGGAAATTTGTTTGTGGCGAAAAACTGAAAATAAACCGGAATGTTTTTATTCTCTTACACACGTTACGGTAACACGTGACATCGTCACATTCTGGACTGAACCACCGCGGTTCATTGGGGGGGCAGAAACACGTTATTATAATAGTAATAATAAACACTATATTATTAATAATATTTATTTTTATATATAATATAAACTATTAGTTTCCGGTTTTACTTCACATCAGTTTCATATTTGATTAATTTTACAACTGACATAAAGTGTTTATTAAACAGAGATAATAAAACTATTTAATGGAGGTTGTTAAACTATTTTAAAGTCCTCTTACTGGCTTTTTCTGGAGCTTTCAACCACCTCGAATGATCAGTGATTATTGATTATTAACATGTTTAATAATCAATAAGTTACTTTAGTTAACTTCTCGAGCTCAACATGCAATAAATGTAGTTAATAAAATCAAAAGAAGAGATACTTTCTGTTGTATTATAATATTTCTATTGATCTTTTTGTTATAAAATAAAATATCTCTCCCTCCTTCTCTCCACTTGGTATGATCTGGGTCAAAGGTCAGGAGCTCTGAAACAAGATGGCGGCCGCTATGATTTGGAGGAGAGCAGCTTTTTTCGGCTCAGAGAGAACTTCTGTCGGCAGGGTGAGAAACTTTAATAAAGTCATCAACAATCAATAATCAATGATCAATAGTCTGAAACAAACTCTGAGAAAAGTTCAACAAACAAAGAGCGGCTGTGGCTCAGAGGCAGAGCGGGTCGTTCGATCCCCGGCTCCTCCCGTCACATGACAAAGTGTCATTGAGCAAGAGACCGAACCCCGAAGTGTGTGAGTGGTCGGGAGACTAGAAAGTACTGGTTATTATTATTATTATATTATTATTATTATTATTTTATTATTATTATTATTATTATTATTATTATTATTGTTATATTATTATTATTATTATTATTGTTATATTATTATTATTATTATTATATTAGTTATTATTATTATTATTTTATTATTATTATTATTATTATTATATTAGTTATTATTATTATTATTATTATTTTTTATTATTATTATTATTATTATTATTGTTATATTATTATTATTATTATTATATTAGTTATTATTATTATTATTTTATTATTATTATTATTATTATTATTATTATATTAGTTATTATTATTATTATTATTATTATTATTATTATTATTATTATTATTATTATTATATTAGTTATTATTATTATATTATTATTATTATTATTGTTATATTATTATTATTATATTATTATTATTATTATTATTAGTGTTATATTATTATTATTATTATTATTATATTAGTTATTATTATTATTATTATTATTTATTATTATTATTATTATTATTATTATATTAGTTATTATTATTATTATTATTATTATTTTATTAGTTATTATTATTATTATTGTTATATTATTATTATTATATATTGTTATATTAGTTATTATTATTATTATTGTTATATTATTATTATTATTATTATTATTATATTAGTTATTATTATTATTGTTATATTATTATTATTATTATTATATTAGTTATTATTATTATTATTATTGTTTTATTATTATTATTATATTAGTTATTGTTATTGTTATATTATTATTGTTATATTTTTATTATTATTGTTGTATTATTATTATTATTATATTATTATTATTATTATATTATTATTATTATTATTGTTGTTATATTATTATTATTATTGTTATATTATATTATTATTATTATTATATTATTATTATTATTGTTATATTATTATTATTATTGTGGTATTATTATTATTATATTGGTTATTATTATTATTATATTAGTTATTATTATTATTAGCTAGTTATTATTATTATAGCTAGTTATTATTATTAATATTATTAGTTATTATTATTATTATTATTATATTATTATTAGTTATTATTATTATTATATTATTACTAGTTATTATTATTAATATTATTAGTTATTATTATTATTATTATATTATTATTAGTTATTATTATTATTATTATATTATTACTAGTTATTATTATTAATATTATTAGTTATTATTACAGGTTAATTTACCATTTACCATCAAATGGACCCTAACTGAGTTTGACCTTTCGCCCACCTGTGTGCGCGTGCTGCTGGAGGCACAAAGTTTTATTTGCTGAAAGTTTGTTTTTGTTTTCAGTTTTATTGAGAATAAACAAAATGTTTTTATATCACCTGAAAAAGAAAATAATTCTTGCTGCTTCCTGTTTGTGGCTCTTCTTCTTCTGCAGCTTTAATGCTGCTGAAACATCAAATAATAACGCTTTGTTTTCTTTTTTAAAATAATTTAATTTGAATATAAAAACAAATCACAAACAATCACACCTGAAGTCAAACAAACAAAAAAATACAATTTCAGTGAGAAACAAACAAACAAACAGAATTAGTCCCCTTCATAAGTAACAAAGTTATTATTGGATAATTTTACAAAATGATGCCATCTGATGTATTTTCAACCATTTTTCAAATGATGTATTTATCTTTCAGAAACCACAAAGGAATCCTGTTCTCTTGTTTTCTTCCAGTCCTGGTTCCACAGTGCAGCCGTTCTACCTCAGCAGTCTGGTTCTCCTCCTCCTCAGTCGGCGTTCTTCCCGCCGGCCGAAGGCGTGATGCTGCCGACAGGAAGTTTCAACAACAGAGTGGCATTCATCACAGGAGGGGGGACGGGACTGGGCCGAGCCATGACCACTGCCCTGTCACAGCTGGGAGCTCAATGTGTCATCGCCAGCAGGTCAGAGGTCACGTTACACTAACCCTGCCTGCTCATGTCAGAGGCCATCTGTCCTATAGAAGAACCCTGAAAGAACAAATAATGATGCTCTTTGCCGATGACACTCAGCTTTATGTTCACAGTGAGAGGAAAGCGTTAAATCAAAAACCATTTCCCCCTGGGATTATTAAAGTGTTTCTGATTCTGATATTTATTTATCATTTGTATATTTCTGTGTATTATTTATTATATTTAGGCAGGTCTACATGTGTCTACTGTTACTGACTTTGATTTTATGACCTTTTCTTTTTGATTTTTTTTTTCAGGAAGTTGGACGTCTTGCAGAAAACAGCCGAGGAGATCAGCAGCCAGACCGGAAACAAGGTGTCAAACTAGAACCAGAACCAGACTGAAACAGACTGACCTGGACACCTGTGTTGTATTCACTAAACAGGACTTCAGACGCCAGCACCACATCTGCAAAAGTTTAGATTTATAAGAATAAAGTTGCTCTTGTACAGAAACTGAACAGGTGTAAAACAGGTGATTATTGCCATACAAGGCTTACTTCCTGTTGCCAATAGAGGGTGCTGTGGCAGTGACTGAATTTTGGTGTATAGATGTGTTCAGTGCGGGACTTTTGTCAGACATGAAGTTGGGATGACGTTACATGAAGTTACAACAATGACCAAAACCCAATGACCAATGACATTGAGCTTTACTGAGTATAAACTGGACATTGGACGTGCCAATGTATTAATCATATAAATAACCTCAAAGTGAATCACAATCAGCCCACTGGAAGCTGATTTAAACCTCCATTTTGTGAATTTTCAGAAATGGATTCAGCATCCTCAATATCCCCCAAAACCACTCCTATATTGTCCAAATCAGCCAATCAGCTGCTGAAATATTGTCCATTTAGCTGATTATTAATGCTAATTATGCAAATTGCTAGTTTTATGAGTTTGGCATGTTAAGGCTGCCAAAAATGTGATTTACTGGGTAGAAAAATCATTTCAGTAGGACCTCAGCGTGGTGGCTGCTTGGATCCTAATTAATATTCATGAAAAATGTAATTCTCATAAATTAACACAAATCCCTGGTCTGACATGGTCCTCTCTCTGTCCTCAGGTCCATGTGGTCCAGTGTGATGTCAGAGACCCTCAGGCTGTCTCTCACTGTGTGGACCAGGTGGAAACACTGACCGGACTTCCTGATGTAACTCACACACACACACACACACACACACACACACACACACACACACATCTTTATTGTGATAGTCAACTGTGATGTCAGAGACAAAATTAAACTATTCATGATGGCATCACACTGCTTGTGTGTCCCGATTGGTCCAGGTGATAATCAACAACGCGGCGGGAAACTTTGTCTGTCCATCGGAGCGTCTGTCTCCAAACGGCTGGAAAAGTATAACTGACATCGTCCTGAACGGGACCGCCTTCATCACCCTGGAGCTGGGCAAGAGACTGATCCAGAGGCAGAAAGGTCAGAGGTCACAGAGAGTCCAGTCCAGTCCCCTCCAGTTCAGTTATCTTTATGATCCCAAATGGGAAACTTGATTTGCAGTCAGGGGCACAAACAAGGAAAACAAAAAACAACACAAACACAAAAATGGTTCCTTCACATATAAGATACAGTAAACAGTAATAAACAACATATAAGATACAGTAAACAGTAATAAACAGCATATAAGACACAGTAAACGGTAATAAACAACATATAAGATACAATAAACAGTAATAAACATATAAGATACAGTAAACAGTAAAAAACAACATATAAGATACAGTAAACAGTAATAAACAACATAAGATACAGTAATAAACATATAAGATACAGTAAACAGTAATAAACAACATATAAAAACAGTAATAGTAAATAGTGAAAAGTAAAGAGTAATAGTAAATAGTAAACAGTAATAATGAACAGTAACAGTAAACGGTAAACAGTAATAGTGAACAGTAATAGTAAATAGTGAACAGTAAACAGTAACAGTGAACAGTAACAGCAACATTAAACAGTAAAAGTAACAGTAAACAGTAAATAGTAAACAGTAACAGTAAATAGTAAACAGTAACAGTAACAGTGAACAATAAATAGTCAACAGTAAAAGTAAATAGTAAACAGTAATAGTAAACAGTAACAGTAAACAGTAAAAGTAAATAGTAAACAGTACTAGTAAACAGTAACAGTAACAGTGAACAATAAATAGTCAACAGTAAAAGTAAATAGTAAACAGTAATAGTAAACAGTAACAGTAAACAGTAAAAGTAAATAGTAAACAGTACTAGTAAACAGTAACAGTAATAGTAAACAGTAATAGTGAACAGTAACAGTAAACAGTAACAGTGACAGTAAACGGTAACAGTAATAGTGAACAGTAACAGTATACAGTAACAGTGAGCAGTAACAGTAAACAGAAACAGTAACAGTAAACAGTAAACAGTAAACAGTAACAGTAAACAGTAACAGTGAGCAGTAACAGTAAACAGAAACAGTAACAGTATACAGTAACAGTGAGCAGTAACAGTAAACAGAAACAGTAACAGTAACAGTAAACAGTAACAGTAAACAGAAACAGTAAACAGAAACAGTAACAGTATACAGTAACAGTAAACAGAAACAGTAACAGTAAACAGAAACAGTAACAGTAAACAGTAACAGTAAACAGAAACAGTAACAGTAAACAGAAACAGTAAAGTAAACAGTAAACAGTAACAGTAAACAGAAACAGTAACAGTAAACGGTAACAGTAAACAGTAACAGTAAACAGAAACAGTAACAGTAAACGGTAACAGTAAACAGTAACAGTAAACAGTAACAGTAAATAGTAAACAGTAACAGTGAACAGTAACAGTGAACAGTAAATAGTCAACAGTAAAAGTAAACAGTAAACAGTAATAGTGAACAGTAAAAGTAAATAGTAAACAGTAACAGTTAACAGTAAATAGTAAACAGGAAACAGGAAACAGTAAAATGAAATAGTAAACAGTAACAGTGAACAGTAAATAGTCAACAGTAAAAGTAAACAGTAAACAGTACTAGTAAACAGTAACAGTAAACAGTAACAGTAATAGTGAATAGTAAACAGTAACAGTAAACAGTAAGGAGTAAGGAGCTTGGTAACTGAAGGCTCTGGCTCCTGTTCTACTTTTAGAGACTATAGGAACCACAAGTAGCCCAGCATTCAGAGAACGTAGTGTTCTAGAGGGGTAATAGGGTACTATGAGCTCTTTAAGATATGAAGGGGCCTGACCATGAAGAGCTTTATAGGTGAGGAGGAGGATTTTAAATTCTATTCTACATTTTACAGGGAGCCAATGCAGAGAAGCTAGTACAGGAGAGATGTGATCTCTTTTTCTAGTTCCTGTCAGTACTCGTGCTGCAGCGTTCTGAATTAATTGGAGCGTTTTAATGGACTTATTGGGGCAACCTGATAATAAAGAGTTGCAGTAATCCAGCCTTGAAGTAACAAATGCATGGATTAGTTTTTCTGCATCTGTCTGTGATAGGATGTGTCTAATTTATGTAATATTACGTAAATGAAAGAAGGCAGTCCTAGAGGTCTGCTTTATGTGGTAGTTAAATGACAAATCCTGATCAAAGATAACTTGACTAACTGTAGTATTTATTGAAGATTCATCGTTAACATGTACAAACTGCGAACGATCTGACAAATATGACTTAAACCAGCTTAGTGCGGTTCCTTTAATGCCAATTTGATGCTCAAGTCTCTGTAAAAGAATATTATGGTCAATGGTGTCAAATGCAGCACTAAGATCTAATAATACAAGTACAGAGACAAGTCCATTGTCAGAAGCAGTCAGAAGGTCATTATTAACTTTAACCAGAGCTGTCTCTGTGCTGTGATGAACTCTAAATCCTGACTGAAAATCCTCAAATAAACTATTGTTATGTAGAAAGTCACACAACTCTTTGGCGACTACTTTCTCCAGAATCTTAGAGAGGAACGGGAGGTTAGAAATCGGTCTATAGTTGGCTAAAACCCCTGGGTCAAGAGTGGACTTTTTAAGAAGGGGTTTAATTACAGCTACTTTAAAGGACTGTGGTAAATATCCTGATAATAAAGAAAGATTAATCATATCCAGTAAAGAAGTGCCAATTAAGGGAACAACTTCTTTAAGCAGCCTAGTTGGGATCGGGTCTAATAGACAGGTTGATGGCTTCGATGAAGAAATGATTGAAGTTAACTGATGAAGATCGATAGCAGAAAAACAGTCTAAATATATATCTAAGTTTACATTAGTAAAAGTCCCTGAACTTGGAGAGCCACTGATAACCGTTGATGGCAGTTGGTGATTAATTTTTTCTCTGATAGTAATAATTTTATTATAGAAGAAGCTCATGAAGTCATTGCTACTTAAGTTTATGGGGATATGTGGCTCAATAGAGCTGTGACTCTCTGTCAGCCTGGCTACAGTGCTGAAGAGGAACCTAGGGTTGTTCTTATTTCATTCTATTAGTGCTGAGTAATAGGCTCCTCTGGCATTACGGAGGGCCTTTCTATAAATTTTAAGATTATCTTGCCAATTTGAGCGATATTCTGATAATTTGGAAGAGCGCCATTTCCTTTCAGATTTTCTAGCTATTTGCTTTAACTGGCGGGTTTGGTGGTTATACCAAGGTGCTAGTCTCCTATGTTTTAATAATTTCCTTTTTATAGGAGCGATAGAGTCTAATGTTGATCGTAGTGAGCCTGTAGCACTATCGACAAGATTATCAATTTCAGAGGGACTAAAGTCGTTATAGGACTCTGTTAAATTCAGACATGGCATTGAATTAAACACTGAAGGAATCTCCTCCTTAAATTTAGCTACAGCACCGTCAGATAGACATCTGCTGTAGGAAGTTTTGCCTAATGGCTTATAATCTAATAGTATGAATTCAAAAGTTATTAAATAATGGTCAGATAGGAAAGGATTATGTGGGAAGACTATTAAATGTTCAATATCAATGCCATATGATAGAACAAGGTCAAGAGTGTGATTAAAACAATGAGTTGGTTTATTTACACTCTGACAGAAGCCAATTGAGTCTATCAATGATATAAATGCGTTACTAAGGCTGTCATTGTTAACATCCACATGAATATTAAAATCACCTACAATAATTACTTTATCTGATTTAAGGACTAAACTTGATAAAAACTCTGAGAATTCAGATATAAAATCAGAGTACGGTCCAGGAGCGCGGTACACTATAACAAATAGAACTGGCTGCAGTGTTTTCCAGTTTGGGTGAGAAAGACTAAGAACAAGGCTTTCAAATGAATTATAATTTAGTTTAGGTTTAGGGTCCATTAAAACGCTCGAATCATATATGGATGCCACTGAATGAATGTGAGTATTAATATGACTGGGGGGGGGTGGATTCATTTAGGCTAACATACTCCTCGTGGGACAACCAGGTCTCAGTAAGACAAAGTAAATCAATATCATAATCTGATATTAATTAATTTACTAAAACAGCTTTAGAGGACAGAGACCTGATATTTAACAGCCCACATTTCATTCTCTTATTTTGTGCTACTGAGGAGTTGGTTTTAATTTTTATTAGGTTTTTATGTTGAACTCCTCTTGTTTTTATTTCTTTAAATAATTTAGGTGGTCGGGGGACAGACACAGTCTCTATGGGGTTTTGGGTGGGTGACTGTTCTAAAGAAAGAGCAGAGAAGTGTGTAAGACAGCAGCTCTGCTTCCTGGTCCTAACTCTGGACTGTCAGGTTTTAGAGATAAACTTCGCCATATTTCTAGATAAGAGAGCCGCTCCATCCAAAGTGGGATGGATGCCGTCTCTCCTAATCAGACCAGGTTTTCCCCAAAAAGGCTTCCAGTTATCAATGAAGCCCACATCGTTTGCTGGACACCACCTCGACAGCCAGCGGTGGAATGACGACATGTGGCTACAATGTCATCACTGGTCACATTGGGGAGGGGTCCAGAGAAAACTACAGAGTCCGACATTGTCTTAGCATAATTACACACCGACTCCACATTTATCTTAGTGACCTCCGATTGGCGTAAACGGCCAACTTACCGCCGACGTGGATAACAATCTTACTGTATTTACGTTTACCTTTAGCCAGCAGTTTTAAATATGATTCAATGTCGCCCGCTCTGGCCCCAGGGACACATTTAACTATGGCCGCTGGCTTCGCTAACTTCACGTTTCTGACTATGGAGCTGCCAATAACCAGAGTTGGTTCCTCAGTGGGTGTATCGCTGAGTGGGGAAAATGTATTAGAAACATGAATGGGTTGGTGGTGACCTGTGGGCTTCGCCGTTTTAGTCTTCCTTCGCTCAGTCACCCAGCCTCCCTGTCTTCCCGGCTGCTCGGGAACTACCGGGGGATCTACATATCTAACAGAAGCTACCTTCGGTCACGTGACCAATCAATGACCATCTCTTTGGTCTTTGTTAATTGGTGTGATGAGGCCTTTCTTAAATTAAACTCTCCCAGCCGTCCAGGCTCAGATTCATCTTTATGGAGCAGACTGATGGTAACAGGGTTTTAGGATGTGCCTGTCCCCATGCTGGTAAGGACAATGTAAAGGGGACACGGACACAGCCCTGAAGAGAGCCAGTAGAAGAGGAGCGCTTACTCTCCCCCTCTGAGACCTGCAGCATAAAGTCTACAATCCAGACCACCAAGGTTTCAGCCAGATTAAAATCAAAAAGCAGTTCCTCAGCTCAAACATGTGGCTGAAAAGGGTTGAATTCAGATGAGTTAAAAATAAAAGTCACTAAGAGACAGAGAGGTCCGAGGTCAGATGTTGATATTAAAGGAGGTGTCAGACAATGAGGTAAACGTATGTACCGAACAGTCACCTATTAAGATCAATAATGGTGATTGGGTGTCTTGCTCACCCGTGTCCTGCTTATTGTTTATTATTTACTGTTGTGGTTGTTGTTATTTAGGTGCATCTTTCCTGGCCATCACCACCATCTATGCTGAGTCTGGTTCTGGTTTCGTGGTCCCGAGTGCGTCGGCGAAGGCTGGAGTCGAGGCTCTCTACAAGTCAGTCTGACCTTTGACCTTTCAGCAGTACACTGACCTCGGATCAGCCGGTTGTGTGGTTCCATTGGTAACACTGTTGTTGTTGTTGTTGTGTGTCAGATCTCTGGCTGCAGAGTGGGGGCGCTACGGCCACAGGTTCAACATAATCCAACCTGGACCAATCAAAACCAAGGTACGGCCCATCTGACCGCAGCAAGTTTGTTTGTTTGTTTTTAGTTTACAATTTACAGTTTGTTCAGTTGTTTACCTGTTGTCTGTCTGTTGCTTGTTGTTTTTAGGGGGCGTTCAGCCGCCTGGACCCAACCGGATCCTTTGAGAAGGCGATGATCGGTCGGATCCCGACAGGTCGACTCGGAAGACCAGAAGAAATCGCAAACCTGGCGGCATACATGAGCAGCAACTACGCTACCTGGATGTCTGGAGCTGTGAGTTCGCTGATCTGAGGTCAGACTGATCTGAGGTCAAAGGTCAGATTTTAATAACTGTTTGTTTCCAGGTGATCCGGTTGGATGGAGGAGAATATGTGTCGATGGCCGGAGAGTTTAACGAGCTGCGGAGGGTAAATTAAACTGTGTCACACTAAAATCTGTCCCTCAGAAACATGAGTCATCATTATTAATAAGCAATAGGATGATGGAATGTCTGTTGGTGTCTCAGGTGACTCCAGATCAGTGGAACATGATGGAGCAGATGATCAGAAGCACTAAAGGATCCTAAAAGCATTCCTCATTGGACCACAACAGCCAATCAGAGTTCAGGTGGACCCACCCACCTGTTGATGTGATGATGATGAGAGAATGCGACTGACGATTGATCGGTGACTATTGATACAGAGCTTCACTGTTAGGATATAGTCATGTGACTGACTGAACATGCTCAGTGTGAGCACAGTCTGAATCCGCAGACTGAATGTTGATACAAGGTTTCTGTTTCTGTTTACGTCCAGTCTGGTTGTTGTTGTTGTCATTAAAACGAAAAGTTCTGAGGCATCTTCTTCTTCTGGTGTTTTTGTCAGTTTCTAAACAGCTTCAGGTGCATCAGAACAAACTCTGACATAGTCCAGAAAACTATCTATACTAATCTATTAAGGTTTCCAGCTGGTATCAACCTGCGTCTGTGGACAGTCTTAAATACAGTGTAAACCACCAAAGAGAATCACTGTGATCTGATCGCCCAGACTCAGATTAATACAGCTGTAAACAGCCTCTTTGATCTGATTTGGATTTGGTCTGAGACTTGAAGTGAAATAAGGTTAAAAACAAACTTCAGGGCGCCTAGTTAGCTCAGTCAGCGACCCATGTACGGAGTTGCTGCAGCAGCCCAGGGTTTGAATGCGACCTGAGGCCCTTTGCTGCATGTCATCCCCTCTCTCTCTGCCCCCCTTTCCTGTCTCTTTTCAGCTGACACTATCGAATAAAGGCAATAAAAGGCCCAAAAAAAAAAATTCAGACTGAGTTTCTTCAACAGAGCTGATGACGATGTCGACTAAAGAGAGACAATAAAGCAGATTTCTGTTTGTTAAAGCTAATGTTAATATTACAGACATTCCCACTAATTGATCCTCAGTCAGCTGACGTTAACACAGCGACAGGATCATCAAGAGGAGGTGTGGCCTGTTGGCACACTATGTAAGGTGTGTGTAAGTAGAGTCTAATGAACCAGGACACCCCTGGATTGTCTCTGAGCATTTTATTCTCCAACTAGCTGTAACAGCGACAGTTTTCTGTTATTGTGGAGAAAGAAATCTTTTTGGTGCGTTGCCTGGACGGACTCACTGAGAATGAGCTGTCAATCACAAGGTAGCCCCACCCTAAAGCATACCCTGCTTTATGGTCTATTTTACTCTAAATGGGACCATCAGTTACTAAATGAACATCATGCTGTATGGAAGAAGACTGAAACTAGAGACTGAGACCAGAAACTCATCAGGAAACTTAATAAATCAACTTATCCATAAGATGGTAAATTGACTATATTTGTATAGCACCTTTCTAGTCTTCCACACATTCACTCAGTGATGGCAAAGCCATCAACCAGAAACTAACTCATTCACATTCACACACCGATGTACAACATCAGGAGCAGTTTTGGGTTCAGTATCTTGCTCAAGGATACTTCCACATGCAGCAGGGAGGAGCCAGGGATCCAACAAAAACACCTTCCGATTAGTGGACGACCTCCTCAGCTTCTGTGCCACAGCCACCCCTATAAGACTCAAGACTATCATCCAGCAGGGGGCAGCTATCAGCTAGACATTAGAGATAATCCAGGTTTGTTATAAACATTATCAGTGACACAGAGTTACAGACACAGTCACAGACTCACTGCAGTTTATTAACAGAACACCTGACACTAAGAGAACATTTATAGTCAAATATTATTCAGTGCTGAGAGTGCAGTGGTGGACTCTTCTGAAGCTCTGTTAATGTGTCAGTAGTTAATGGGTGTTGATGTGTCAGTAGGTGTTGTTGTGTCAGTGTGTGTTGATGCTCTGCTGTTGGCAGCGAGAGATCAACATGGTGACAAGTTTCTGCAGAACCTCCGCCCTCATCTTACTGATCTCAAGAACCTCGTCGTGGTTCACTTTCTCCTCCCGACTGTAGTCCAGAGACACCTGCAGCACGACACAGGACACAGGTATGTAAGCAGCAAGTTGCAGCTTTTGACTGGGCCAAAATCAATCAGCATCAATCACCGTTTCATTTTAATAACCAACCTTGTTGGTGATGAGGGACAGACCAAGAACTCTGAGTCCACAGTGCTTTGCCACCGTCACTTCAGGAACTGTACTCATACCTGAGGAGCAGGAGGAGGAAGAGTGAGGTAACAGAAAAAGAATGTGTTCACCTAATTAAAGTTAAGAACCTTCACTGATATATTCGATCTTCTGAACATCAATGTACTCTACAAGCAAACTTTTCACTGAAAAGGTTCTGATATTTCTCTCAAAGTGAAAAATTTAATTAAATCAATGAAATAAATAATTAAATAGTAGTAATATAATATAGAAATAATTTATAATTCTGTAAGTTAATGTTTCCATTGACTCTACAAGATCATTGATCTTCTTCATTGTGCATACTCACCGTTCCTGACCTGTAGCTTGACAATGTGAATTCACGGGAGCGGCGTAACTATTTAAACTTGCACGTGGTGGTCGCGACACTAGTTGCAGTCTATATATGGCCTCCTCTTTTCCAGCATTCATGGCGAATTCTGGCACCTCTGAGCATCTCTGTGTTCCTTCATTGAAGGATCGTACAGATTGGCGAGTATGTAAGAGCTTTAAGAATTCTTCCTAGGGAACCCTGGAACCCTTAGAGGTGTCTCAAGTACCTAAGACTATTCTCAGGGACACAGGCCTTTCTCAAGGAACCCTAGAAGCTTGTGAAGGACCCACATAAACTTTACACGACCCTGAGTGCTTCTCATGTACCCTTAGAACAATATAAAAAGCCCCTAAATCCTCTTCAAGGACCCCCAGAACGTTCTCTGAGAAACACTGACTCTTTCTGGAAGATTGATAGAACCCTCTCCAGAAATCATAAATTCTCATTGAGATCCCATAGGTTTTCTAAAGAACTGTAGAAGCTTCTTTAGGACTGCCAGAAACTTCTGAAGGACCCTAAACCTAGAGAACCACACATCACTTTCCACACTACAACTGCCCTTCAGTTAACAACAATAATGTTAATACTGTTTTGATATGATCTCTGGTCAGATCAACACTGAGAGCCAATCTTCGCTCTCCTTGCTGACGCATTAGTTAAAAAACTCACCAGGAAGGTTCCCCCTCGATGAACAATCACAGACAAACCCTTACCCACAGAGTCACAGCCCAGGATCAGCAGCATTCTGGCCTCAGCGATGGTTTCGAAGTTTGGTCCGCTCACCATACAGTAAACCCCCTCTCTGATGAAATCACTGCAGCCAAGCTCGGAGCCAACATCCAGTGCCAACCGCCGCAGATCCTTACTGTACGCATCGGACATACAGGGGAACCGGATCCCAAAACTACAGACACACAGACAGTCAGAAAGTCAGACAGACAGACAGACAGACAGGGGGACCAGATTTAATTTCTAGGGTCAGGTTTAGATGTATGATACAAGTCAAAAATCTGTTTCAAACCTATAGCTGCGACTACATCAGTACGCAGATCGCTGGATGGATCTAAGTGTACCATAAACTAGTCGATGGTCCGATTTTAAAGTTATGAATCTGTTGACTGAAGCTTTGCTGCTAACAGCGTCTCCACTTTCATTAAAGGTCACAAGAGTGACGAGAGTAAGCACAGCATAGCTCACCAAAAAGGCTGACACGATTTGCAGTGCACCACTGCAGAAAGTTTTTCTGTCTGTTGGAAAAGCAACAAACACAATGACTGTAATTTAGTCAGGACCACCTTTGTCAAAATAAACTTATTCCAAATGCAGAATGTTATATTTGTTCTGTTCTGGGAGAGCAGCAGCAAAGACCCTCAGGGTACAGAACAGAGCAAGCATCAATGGCAATCAGAAATAACATTGATTAAATCAGATACAGCAAAAGGAGGAGCTGGGGTGGAGGTGGGTTGCAAAGAGGCTTGCAGAGGAAGCAGCAAAGATAGGCATGCTAATTCTCATAAAGAAACAAATACTTGTGGTTCCCTGTTTTTTAAATAAAATATATGTATTTGAAGGTAATAATGTCACTTTTATAGAATTGGCTTATTTTAATTTCGAAAGGAAAATAAATGTCTACATTAAATGTTAAGAACTGTATCAGATTGCATGGAACCACATTGAATCACATTGTTCCAGATTAAAATGTCCCTGAATGGTATCGTAGCCCAGGTATCTAGATACAGAGCACCTGTCTGTCTGTCTGTCTGTCTGTCTGTCTGTCTGTCTGTCTGTCTCTCTCTCTCTCTCTCTCTCTCTCTCTGTCTCTCTCTCGCTCTCTCTCTTTCACCCCAACTGGTCGAGGCAGACGACCACCCACCTAGAGCCGAAGGATCTGTCCTAGGTTTCTGCCTTTTAACAGGCATTTTTTCCTTGCCCTTGTCTCCAAGGTCTTGCTCATGGTGGTACTGTTGGGTCTCTGTAAATAATGTTTAAAAGAGTTTGGTCTAGACCTGCTCTATTTGAAAAGTGTCCTGAGATAACTTCTGTTATGAATTGGCGCTATACAAATAAAACTGAATTGAATTGAATTGAATCAGATCCTCTTTACTCTAATATAGTTGATTTTAATCTCAGGGTTCATATAGAGTCGTCTGTGTCTCTTCCTGACTCTGTCTGTTTTCCTGTGTGTCCATACTCCTGTCTCACCGCTCATCATTGGGTCCACACAATGGATGCTGTCCAGCAAATCCTGGCAGGTTGATGTGGTCTTTGATCAGCATAATATCACCAACTTTAAAGTCCGGACAGATTCCTCCAGAGGCATTGGTCACCAGCACAGTCTCCACCCCCATCAGCTTAAAGATCCTCACTGGGAATGTCACCTGAGACAGGTACACAGACAGGTAGACAGTCAGGACAGTCAGTCCTGTATAATCCCTCAAGTGTGTTCTGATCTCTGTTGAACCACCTCTCTGAGCTCCTCAGCCCGTGTGTGAGGCATAGCTCAGATCTTATCAGTATTGGTACGCAACAGCGTGAACTCATAGCTGTGTCCAGGCTCAAAAAACACCCAACTCTAAGTCATAACTCTCTGACCTACTTGCTTATATATCTGGAGTGCAAATAGCCACCAGATTGTGGCCCCCTGCCACTAAACTAAACTTAACGTTTTCAATGCTGCATCTCATTCTTTTTATGTGAAATCCCACCTGATGTGGACACACCTCTGGTCAGCAGCACAGATGGCATTAGAGTTGGGCAATTGTTTCTATTTACAGCTACTCCAAATTGCAGATTTGTGATCTGATCTCCAGGTATGATGGAAGGAAGAGAGTTATGAGGTTCAAGAACTGATGGTTTATAGTGTGAAGAAGACAGAAAAGAGGGGAGAGAGAGATGGGAATGTTCAAATTTCAACAGAAGATGTTTGACCGATGAGCGGTACACACAATTTCACTGGAAAAAACATTACTGTAGATCATCATCTGTAATGTTTCCCTAAAAACGTAACTGGCAAATAAAATTATTAATATATATATTATCCATTGTCTTGTCTTGACGCCATAAAGAGGATGTTTGAGATGAGTAATGACGGACCCTCGTCCCTGTTTAGTCTCTGCTTCAGTTAACCTTAACATTAACATTAATTAATGTTAAAGAGTTCGGTCTAGACCTGCTCTATTTGAAAAGTGTCCTGAGATAACTTCTGTTATGAATTGGCGCTATACAAATAAAATTGAATTGAATTGAATTGAATTGAATTGAACCTCTGTGAACTGAATCCCACGCTCAGAGCACGGCTGGCGACGTACCAGACGACAGTGCCGTTTAATGTAAAATGCATGTTGGGACACAAGTCAGCTCCTTCAGCATGTTGGGTAAAGTGTTACTGCGGTGACAAGGACTCACCTGACAGAGGGAGTAACCTTCGTACAGGTGGAAGTGACCCTGCATGAAGACACAGGAAGTGTCCTCGATCGTCCCAAACACCAGGCAGCCTTCATGACCTGCGACTGAGAGAGAGACATTATATCAGAGAGAGAGAGACATTATATCAGAGAGAGAGAGACAGAGGCTTTGGGCAGGGCAGACTCACCTGTGCTGACAGGGAAGTTGGGGATGTCCTGGTACCTGAAGGTCTGTTTGTTGGCAGCTCCGTCAGCCAGCAGGCCGAGTCCTGAACCACAGATCACTGCAACCTTCGGACGGTGACTCGTGTGGTTTAGCAGCCACTCTGTGGTCAGTTTGTAGTCCTCAAAGGAACAGCAGCTGGGGGCAAGGGGGTAAGTAAAATAATTAATGAATAAACTAATTTTATAACTGATTAATCTTTTTAAAAAAATATGAAAACATACAGAACTTTCTTAGTTACTGCTTAATTTTTCTTAGCTGTAGTCAGCCCAAGGTCAGTCTGTAGTCGGCTAAAGATCCGTCTGTAGTTGGTGGTAAGGTCGGTCTGTAGTCGGCTAAAGATCCGTCTGTAGTCGGTGGTAAGGTCGGTCTGTAGTCGGCTAAAGATCCGTCTGTAGTCTGTGTTAACCCTTTAGGCACCGGGTTTTATTTTTAAAAATACTAGATTCTGACATCTAAATTTCAGAAGGCTCTGGCTTTAAAGTAGTTTGAGATAAAGACAAAGTGTAAATGAGACAAATATTGAGAATGACCTAAAGTTTATCTAGGAAGTAAATGGTCCCATCTAATTTGCATATTATGACGTCATATGGCGGCGGCCATATTGGATTATGTAATTTCCATGAAATACCTGATATTTTGAAAGAGAGTTGAATTTATTTCACCAGATTCACCCCCATCCATCCATTTGTTATGTTGTCCACATATCAAATGAACAGGGAAAAAGTAAATTGTAAGCCAACAGTCGTAAACTAGAACTATTACTATACCACAAAACTCATGTAAACAGTATGCGTTTTTTATGATTTTTTTTTCAGGATCAGCGAATAGATACAAGATGTAACACTCTATTCAGAGAAAACAGCTGTTTGATTCAGTATCACGTTGTGTCGCAATTTTGCGACTTTGGCGCTTAAAGGGTTAAAGGTCGGTCTGTAGTCAGCTAAAGATTAGTCTGTAGTCGGTCTTAAAGGTCGGTCTGTAGTCTGTTAAAAGTCGGTCTGTAGTCGGTGTTAAAAGTCGGTCTGTAGTCGGCTGAAGGTCGGTCTGTAGATGGTGTTAAAGGTCGGTCTGTAGTCGGCTGAAGGTCGGTCTGTAGATGGTGTTAAAGGTCGGTCTGTAGTCGGTGTTAAAGGTCAGTCTGTAGTGGGTGTTAAAGGTCAGTCTGTAGTCTGTGTTAAAAGTCGCTCTGTAGTCTGTGTTAAAAGTCGGTCTGTTGTCGGTACTAAAGGTCGGTCTGTAGTCTGTGTTGAAAGTCGTTCTGTAGTCGGTGTTAAAGGTCGGTCTGTAGTCTGTGTTAAAAGTCATCTGTAGTCGGTGTTAAAAGTCGGTCTGTAGTCGGCTGAAGGTCGGTCTGTAGATGGTGTTACAGATTGGTCTGTAGTCGGTGTTAAAGGTTGGTCTGTAGTGGGTGTTAGAGGTCGGTCTGTAGTCTGTGTTAAAGGTCGGTCTGTAGTCGGTGTTTAAGGTCGGTCTGTAGTCGGTGTTAAAGGTCGGTCTGTAGTCGGTGTTAAAAGTCGGTCTGTAGTTGGTTTTAAAGGTCGGCCTGAAGTCGGTGTTAAAAGTTGGTCTGTAGTCGGTGTTAAAATTCAGTCTGTAGCTGGCTGAAGGTCGGTCTGTAGACGGTGTTAAAAGTCGGTCTGTAGTTGGTTTTAAAGGTCGGTCTGTAGTCTGTGTTGAAAGTCGTTCTGTAGTCGGTGTTAAAGGTCGGTCTGTAGTCTGTGTTAAAAGTCATCTGTAGTCGGTGTTAAAAGTCGGTCTGTAGTCGGCTGAAGGTCGGTCTGTAGACGGTGTTAAAGATTGGACTGTAGTCGGTGTTAAAGGTCGGTCTGTAGTGGGTGTTAAAGGTCAGTCTGTAGTCTGCATTAAAGGTCGGTCTGTAGTGGGTGTTAAAGGTCGGTCTGTAGTCTGCATTAAAGCTCGGTCTGTAGTGGGTGTTAAAAGTTGGTCTGTAGTCGGTGTTAAAATTCGGTCTGTAGCTGGCTGAAGGTTGGTCTGTAGACGGTGTTAAAGATTGGTCTGTAGTCGGCTGAAGGTCGGTCTGTAGTGGGTGTTAAAGGTCAGTCTGTAGTCGGTGTTAGAGGTCGGTCTGTAGTCTGTGTTAAAAGTCGGTCTGTAGTTGGTGTTAAAGGTTTAATAATCAGGATCTTTACATTCACTGTAACTAAAGGTCCAGTGTGTAACACTCAGGAGGATCTATATGTTTTTATTGGGGATATTATAATAATCTAACTGCACTGACAGATTGATTTCTCATTTGAGATAAACTGTGAAGTTGCTGACGATCAGGTGTTCTGCAGTATATCTACAGTATATATTACCTATAGATACATATCTCAACACCTCAGAGATGATTAACAGACGAACAGAGGAAACATCAAGAAAAGTGAGCTGACAGCAGATTTTTACTGAAGAAACTGTAAAAAGTGGAGTTTGACTGTTGTTCAGGTTCAAAGATCAACATTTTATTGTTCAGCAAACAGCCTGAGAGGAAGAGGAGAGCTGAACTAATCTGTGTTCTGATAATGACAGCGAGTCCTCAAGGTCAGACATCTCACATTAATGTGAACTTATTCTGCTTTCTTCCTTTAAGTTTGAGTCAACTCTGAGTTGTAAAATATCTGAATATTTATAAAATAACAGAATAATACTTTTTTAATATAATATAATGTAATATACACAATATACTGCGTTTATATTCTGCGCTCTATGCACACATCACATTGTTGCTATTATTGATAAATCTCCAGATTATTGAACACTTCACTGATAAATTCAAAAAGCTGGAAACAGAAACTGACTGAAGATTATAAAACTGAAGATGTTGATGAAATATTTCAGATTTCAGAACATTTTGTGTTTAATGAATTAATGAAGTTTCTTGAAGTAAAACAGTTTATTTAGCTGATTTATGATTGATTTCAGGAACAAGAAGATGATCAATGAGTCAGCAGAAGTTCAGAGTAAAACAGAATATTTAAATAAACATTCAATATTCTTACCAGGAGTTTCCTTTGCAGTGCATCGTCACACTGCAGAGATACCAGAAGAAGAAGAAGACAGACAGACACACAGACAGACAGACAGTGAGAATGTGCCGTACTCTGATTGGTTGAATCAGAGCCTGTAAACACAGTCGAGGTCATTGACTCTGCGTGTCTGTGACCTTTGACCTCTGCAGTTTGGACCGTGGAGGGTAAATATTCAGCAGGTGGCTTCAACAGCACCATCACATTAATATGTATATACAGAACATTATATACTACAGTTTATACTTTTGTTAAGTTTAAATCTTCTATACAGGCACATCTGATTTTACATGATTAGAGCCAACTGAACTTTGTCTTTACAGGAACAAAATAAAAATGGGTTCAAATGTACATTTTCTCCATCTGATGGCTGAACTGAGATCAGTTCCTCATCAGTACAGCATCCCACCTTAACTCCTCAGATATTAATGAAGACTTTAAAAACATTTTAGCTTCTTAAATTTCAACTTTCCCTTCTTGAGAAGTTTAGTATAAATAATAATCCTCTTATAAATGCTCCTCTCTGATTATTGTTGCTGCATCATTAACATACACTTATCCTGACAGATTTGATATTTAGACACTTTAAGATCAATTCAGTTCAGTTCAATTCAATTTGTATAGCGCCAATTCAAAACAGAAGTTATCTCAGGACACTATTCAAATAGAGCAGGTCTAGACCGAACTCTTTAAAACATTATTTACAGAGACCCAACAGTACCACCATGAGCAAGACCTTGGAGACAAGGGCAAGGAAAAACTGCCTGTTAAAAGGCAGAAACCTAGGACAGATCCTTCAGCTCTAGGTGGGTGGTCGTCTGCCTCGACCAGTTGGGGTGAAAGAGAGAGAGACAGAGAGAGAGAGAGACAGGAGACCAGCAGACAGACAGACAGACAGACAGACAGGTGCACAGCAACAACAGTAGCAACAACTACACCAATAGTAGTGACTGATGATGGTGAACATGAAGAACACGATGATGATGACAACAGCAACAAGATCAGGACAATTTAAATTAAGTTTTGTAATTTAAAAGGAAATAAAGTCATTAAAATCAAGTTCGTTAACTCTGTACATTTACTCTATATTTACATGATACATATATTCTTCTCATTCATCTGCTCTCACTGTTTAATTCATCTAATTTCACTCTCAACCTTATGGGAGTTCAATTCAAGGTCCACTTACTACTGTTGACTACTGTCACAACCTGGTTAAAAAGTGTGAGAGGGAGACCACAGTCTGCGAATAGTTAATTTAATTAAGCAAAATAATCAATATAGTTTAATCTGTCTGTCAGTAAATCAGTATGTCTGCAATGTCTGTGTGAGTGAAAGCTGACGTGTATATGTATGAATGTAAAACCCAGAACACAACCAACAACCAAGAGTGCGGGCGCCTGGTTAGCTTAGTTGGTAGAGCTGGCAACCGATATACGTAGCTGCTGCAGCGGCCCGGGTTCGACTCTGACCTGCGGCCCTTCGCTGCATGTCATCCCCTCTCTCTCTGCCCCCCTTTCCTGTTGATCTTCAGCTGTCACTATCAAATAAAGGCAATAAAAGGCCAAAACAATTACTAAAAAAAAAAACGAGTTCAGTCAGCAGGTCAGAGGAAGAGACTGAGAAAGCCTTGCAGGTGTGTTTATAGCCTCTTAGCTCCACCCCTTACTTCCTGAAACAAAGATGGTAAACAACCAAGAGAGAGGAACAGAACAGGGCTGACACTCAGGCTGTCACTCTCTCTGTTTATTGATATGCACCATTTTACAGACAAATTCCTTGTATGTGAAAACCTAAAAATAAACCTGATTACTGTGGTTGTTGTTGTTGTTGCTGACACTTTATTCACGGACAGTCAATCTGTTTCTATTCTCTGTCCACTGACTCTACTGTTGTCTCTTATTTATGGCCTGCAGCTACAGGCTCGACCCCCCCCCCATCACCAACGGCATGAGCTGTCCACGCGTCCTCTCTTCACTTTGATTGGCTACAGTTGTTCAAAGAGGTTGCACCAACCAATCACAGAGCTCCGTCCACCAGCGGCTCCGTGTGTCCACACTATGACCTCGTGCTGCTTAGTGAGGTAACGGGACACCAGGACCCCCCCCACCACCACCACTACCACCTCTGGCTGTATAAAACTGACCTCCGACTCTTTACTGACACAGAAACACCGACAGACTGCTTCAGCTCATTGACCAGAACAGTTTTATTTTAATTATATTTATTATTTATCAGAACCAGAACCAGAACCCCAACCAGAACCAGTACTGACACCAGCACCAGAACCGGCACCAGCACCAGAGCCAGAGCCAGCACCAGAGACAGAGCAAGCAACAGAGCCAGAGCAAGCAACAGAGCCAGCGCCAGAGCCAGAGCCAGAATCAGAACCAGAGCCAGCACCAGAGCCAGTGCCAGTGCCAGAGCCAGAACCAGAGCAAGCAACAGAGCCAGCACCAGAGCCAGAGCCAGAACCAGAGTCAGCACCAGAGCCAGAGCCAGAGCCAGAGCCAGAACCAGAGCCAGCACCTGTACCGACACCAGAACCAGAACCAGAACCATCATGGTTCTGTCTCCAGCGACCAACAAGCTCAGAGTGTTCCAGCTGGTCTTCTCAGATCCGGGCCGGTCCTTCTACAGCAGTGGGGACAAGTTGTCCGGCTCTGTCCAGCTGGAGGTAGCCCAGCCCTGCAGGCTGACCGGACTCAGGGTCTCCGCCGCCGGCTGCGCCCATGTGGTCCACCGTGGTGGGAAGAACCGTAAGAGCAGCAGCCAGGAGGTGGAGTACCTAAAGTACGAGGAGGAGCTGAGGCTGGAGGAGGAGCTCACTAAAGGTACGGAGGACTTTTACTGTTCGGGGAGAAAGGAGGCTATGGAAGCCCGTTAATGCCACTAATCCTAACCCATAACACAAAATCAGATGGAAAATTCAAAAACTAAAAGTCACTTTTTTTATCATCAAGGCTGTTTTAATCTTAGGTTTTATTTACTGCCGTTGTTGACGTTAAGAGTTTCTAAAAATTGCGATGTTGTTTATAATAAAACTGTTTTGTATAATGATTAAAAATAGAAGGCAACTTGTTCCTGCGAGAATAAATTGTCTGTAATATGAGCAAATATTAAACTGCAGTGATTGAGTCAGTGTTGCTACCTTGCTCATGGACGATCTCTGCCCTCAGACTCAGACGGCTGCTTCCTGCTTCAGTCCGATAAAACATACAGCTTCCAGTTCGGCTTCGAGCTGCCTGCTGCCGGGTGAGCCTCTGCGATTGATTACAGTGATGACTTATTGATTATAGGTCTGATCGCAGTGTCCTGAACACGTGTCCTCTGTTTCAGACGTCTGGTGTCGTCCTATAAAGGAAAGTTTGGTTACGTCCGGTACTACGCAAGGGCCGTGCTGGATAGGCCTTCCCAGCATGCTTTGCAGTGTGAGAGGGAGTTTGAGGTGGAGGAGCCGCTGGACGTCAACCGACCCGACCTGCTGGTATGAAAACATACTAAAATTTTATTAACATGATATCAGCAAATTGTTAAGATGTTATTAAGACGTTATTACATAAATATATCAACCATTAAAGCTCCAGTGTGTCACATTAATATAATATCCATAGGTTTGTTTTCATTAGTCTTTAAACACCTGAACATAAGAATCATTGTGTGTTTGTTACCTTAGAATGAGACATTGTTATCTACAGAGGGAGCGGCTCCTCTTCTGGCGGATCGCCATGTTTCTACAGTGGCCCTGAAAGGACAAACCAAACAAGATTTTTTTACTGTTTGACAAAATAAATAATATATATATATATATAAAGGTTATATTTACAGAAGCCAATATGTCAGACCAAAACAATGGTTGCTACAATTTACCAGACTCCATTAACAAAACCAGTAACCAGTAATTTTACCTCAACAAAAACAAAATAAAACTCATTAAACAGTCTTTGTTAGTGTTTCCAACAATCACCAACTCTGGTTTGGTGGAAATAAATCCTTCATTCACCGACGTAGATGATAAAAACAGCAGTTTCAGTCGGAGCAGACCGGCTATGGAAACAAACCACAGAGAGGCTGCGATACAACACAGGCAGAGGGAGAGAGACACCATATGACTCTGTATCTTTATATAGAGAATATAATGTTTAATATCTAATTTATAACTTTTAAGCCAGGTCTAACTTATGGTAAAATAGTGAGTTTAAAAGTTAGAAATGTCTTTAATCTTTGACATTGTCCTGGGAGGCAAAAACATTCTAAATACTTTTGAACTGAAAATGTTCTGAGAACTACAATTCAGTTAAAAAATGACCTTTCATAATGTCATGTGAAATCAAACAATCTGTGAGATGATGATGATGATGATGATGATATTAGAGATGAAGGTTAGAAATCCAGCCCCTCACAGACCAGTTGACTGTCCCCCCTCAGGCTCCAGCGGCGGCCTCCAAACAGAAGAAGGTCACCTGTATGTTCATCCCTGACGGCCAGGTGTCCATCAGTGCTCAGATCGACAGGAAGGGCTTCTGTGAGGGCGAAGACATCAACATCAATGCCAAGTTTGAGAACACCTGCTCCCGAATTGTAGTGCCGAAGGCTGCTATCATTGCCAAACACTCGTACATCGCAGACGGACGCACCAAGGTGACGCACAAACACGAGGAGGAAAACTTCCTGTCTGGTTACGGGGACTGCAGGCCTCTGATCTCTCATCTCTGTGTTCCAGGAGGTGCGTCAGAAACTGACGGCGGTCCGAGGAAACCACATCATCTCTGGGATGTGCGACATGTGGCAGGGCAAGACCATCAGAGTCCCCAAACTGAGGCCGTCCCTGCTGGGCTGTGACATCATCAAGGTGGACTATGCCCTCATGGTGAGCTGTGGTCGATGACATCAGACCGATAATAAATAAATAAATGTTTATTACAGACATAGTTAGATTTTGGCGTCTAGGCTCCGACCTCATCACTCCCGGCAGATGTGTAAATGGTAAATAGACTGTACCTATATAGCTTTCTAGTCTCTCAACCACTCAATACGCTGTACACTACAGCCACAATCACCCCATTCATACACTTTCATACACTGATGGCTGCCATCGAGCTGCCAACTGCTCACCAGAACAGAAACTAATCATTCATACACATTCACACACCAATGCACATCGGGAGCAATTTGGGGTTCAGTGTCTTGCTCAAGGACACTTCAACATTTGAGAGGAGCCGGGGATCAAACCAACAACCTTCCGATTAGTGGACGACCTCCTCTATTTCTAAGCCACAGTTTCCATAGAGATATTGGGGAGTGAGGAGCAAATAACTTAAACCCAGAGCCACAGCCTACAGGTGGATGCTGGGGTGGTGGTGGAGGGGCATACAGAGCAGAGGGAGAGCTGGTAAAATGTGCAGCTTAAATAGACCACCAGAGTGGAAGGATGTATGTGTATATATGATGAAAATGATCTGACCCCCCTTCCAGATCTACCTGCACATTCCGGGCAGTGAGAAACTGGTCCTGGAGCTGCCTCTGGTCATTGGTACGATCCCCTTCAGTGGTGTCGGCAGTAGGACCAGCAGCATGAGCAGCCAGGCTGGGTCCATGAGCAGCTGGTCCTCCTTTCCCTCTGCCCCCCCCAGCTACAGTAACATCCACAGAGACCTGAGACTAGACGGCCCCAGGACCCCCCTGCTGCAGGACTACGATGGCGGGGAAGACCAGGATGAGGAGGATGGCGGGCTCTTCATGAGAGTGCCTGAACTGTACTACCCCCCTCCCCCTGCATACAGCGAGGTCTGTCTGTCTGTCTGTCTCTTATAAATAAATCATAGTAATATAACATAACATATGTAACATATGAACAGTATAAAGTAATAATAGTAATTTTTTCTGACCTCTGCCCTGTATCTACAGCACTAACCTGCTCTCTGAAAACTTCAGGGGACTCAATCTTTAAAAATCTTTAATCTTTAACTGTCTCTGAACGACAATTAATGTAAAAATAATTGGACTTCACTAAAACCTATGAAATTAAATTAATATTAATATTGTCATAACTGTTATATGAATCAAATGGACTGTACAGACCTCTGACCTGTATCAACAGCACTGACCTATATAACAATAAATATTCATTTTAATTTGAAATGCTTAATAACCACCCACATGGTGGCGCTATTTAATAATATTTAATTGAATGTGTTTATCTCCAGGGGGCATTTGTGTACCACGTTTGATGACTTTAGCATTTTTAGTATTTGAGATATTGATTATAACAGTCCAAAAAACTTATGGAAGAAGAAAAAGAATCATAAGTAAAATTAAGCTGAAGATAACTAAATAAAATTGTGCAAGCAGCAATCACACAATTATAGATGATTGTAGATAATCATGTCTTATAATCTTGTGTTTGTTGTCTTTAGGTTGATCAGGACTCTGTTAACCCTCCTCAGGCTGTTCAGGTCTTCTGAGGACCACTTCCACACGGGTCCACTGCTACAGACTGAACCCCTGAAACCTGATCTTCACTTCCTGAAGCCAGTCTCAGAACTGTTGAGATGATGACTCAGTCTTTGATATTTGTTAGTTGTATTTGTTGTTTATACTACTGTAGTTACAGGAAGTTACAGTTGTACATATGATGTAAATAAGAGCAGATATTTATTTTTATACTCAATAAATCAGTTTAACTTTGACTGTTGGTGTGTTTCACTGAAATAAACCAACAATATTCTTACTTTACAGCTCATAAAAAAAACAATATCACCCTCACCGGCCCAGACGGACCAGTTGCATCCGGGCTCGAAGACTCTCCCATCCCCCGGTGGCGAGCAGTAAGACTCCACCAGAAGTGGATTCGCAGTAGGGCACGTAGATTGTCGACCAACGGCAATTGCAGGCACGAACCGTGGAACGGGGCCTTGCCAGTGCCCCAGACCCCCTCCCCAATTCTAGGGGAGGGTTAACATGTAAAGAAAATCGTGAGCTATACAAATCAAATCAGGGCAGGGACGTTTCAAAAGGTAAAAAATCCAAAAAGATCAGGCCAGTAACCGATTATAGACTGTTAAATTTAGCTGAATTGATTTATTTCAAAGTATGCAGATTAATTATGTGATGTCATTAGCAATGGCAAATTTATGTAAAAAGATACACAAATTAGTAACGTGAAAATAGAAAATATATATATGTCCTCAGGTCCATTAGGGGCGAGTAGTGTACCGTGGGAACAATAGATGGAAAGAAGAAGAATTAGTCCTGTTTACGGGAGATGGACGTGATATACACTGTGTTTGTCAGGAACAAAAAACTTCCCCATGTTCGGAAGAAGCCTCCAGTGAGTTACTACAACAAAATAATTTATTTCAACAATTAGAAGAAACTGCTGAATGCCATCAGTGGGCGCCAGCTTACCTTTGTGCGATGGAAGACAGTTCACCAACTCAGCAGTTCGGTTATCTCCAGGTTCGTCCAGAGGAAGGTGGCGCTTGAGTAAAAACGTGCGGAGACCTAAGAAAAAATGCACAATCCCAAGATGGGTAAAAATGTTCAGTGACTGCAGCTAAGCTAAAAGTAGCCAAAACAAAGGTTTTTAAGTAGCCCAAGCAAAAGTACCCTAGTAGCCTTGTAAAAGAACAAGACGAACCAGTTAAGCCTTATAAAAGTGTATTTTTGTCTTATAATTTACAGGAAGCAGTCGCCGTCTCACAACTGAACAAATGTGGCCACGACCGGACAAGGGAAGATTTAAAGAATATGCTTCATCTACTGTATAAGGAAAAGATACGTTAATAGAACCAATCTAACCGACATTTGTTTCCACAGACAACCCCTCAAACGAGGCCGTGACGTCCCATTGCCGGAGCTATGTCGCAAGTCCAGATTTACACGATGCAAATGACACATGTGTAAGTAACTTTACTGTTTCCCTTCCTTGTTTCATTTTAATTCAATTCAATTCAATTTTATTTGTATAGCGCCAATTCATAACAGAAGTTATCTCAGGACACTTTTCAAATAGAGCAGGTCTAGACCGAACTCTTTAAAACATTAATTACAGAGACCCAACAGTACCACCATGAGCAAGCACTTGGCGACAAGGGCAAGGAAAAACTGCCTGTTAAAAGGCAGAAACCTAGGACAGATCCTCCGGCTCTAAATTGTACTGTGACCTAAGTTTTTTATTCATACCACTCCATTTAATTGTTTTCCAGCTGCCGAAGACCTATTACGAGACAGTACGCAGGAGCTTCAAACAAACAACCAGACCTGCACCAGGCGGAGCAAGAGTTCAGCTCAGAGTCGATCGAGAAGAAAGAGGGTAAGACTTTTTGGGACTATTTTCAGGTGCATTAAAAGATGTGTTGTGTCCATACGCAGTGCATCGCATACTGATTGTCTTTATTGATTGCTTTACAGCTGCGGAAGTGAGACAGAGGTACTAGATGAGGAAGAGGGGAACTTGAACCCACCACCATAGACCTGATGTCGATGAGGAAGGCGCACGTTGGCGGGGTGTCTGGATGGATGGCAACCCCATCCTTCGCAGCCAGGAGCCACCAAGCCGTGCCACGCGCAGTCGAGATAGGGCGACAGTACAGGGCAATGCACCACAGACGTCTGTAAAACGGGCCAAATTCAGACAGAATGCCGCAGTAACACAGCTCGAGGCGGCAAACAGCCACTCGGTGCGTAGGATTTGGGCTTCCGGAGCTATACAAGTGTGTGTTTGGCTAATAAAGCTCTTCTTAATAAACATGTCCTGGCAAATTCCCTTCCTCAATAAATTCATTCAGTCCTGATGGTAATAATAGTGTAGTCCAAGGAAACAATGACATGAATATACAACATAAAGCATATCATAGAATATATTATTTTATTAATGGGGGTTGCATTTATAATGACCCAGGGTGACCAATAGTGACAATAGATCTGTCAACCAATCACAAGGAATTTTCTTGTTTAAAAGTAGTGGTTCACTAATACTGAGTAAGGAAATTCATGCCAGAACTGGGCAGACGTGGCTTCACTGCTATTCATATGCTAATTAGATCCATTAGCACTCGCAGCCTCCACATATGTCATGGTTCGTTACAATATGTGGCACAGACAAACACGTTCACAGGCTAAATTGTCGTAACGCGAAAATAGGGAGATACCGGCGTTTAAAGGGACGAAAATCTTACTTTTCACGCAGTGTCTCTCTCTCTCTATCTTCCCCTGGTGGCTGACTGCAGTATAGACGCTCTCTCTCTATCTCCCCCTGGTGACTGACTGCAGTATAGACTCTACTTGGTTTTAATTAGTTATTTGAAGATATAAGAAGGGGGTTTCACGTCATGACAGACAGACAGACAGACAGACAGACAGACAGACAGACAGGTGCACAGCAACAACAGTATTGGCAATGGCAATCTAGCAGGACCATGGCAGGAGGCTCCACCAGGATCGATAAGAACCTGCGAGACGAGAAAGCACAAGAACTCCGGGGAAGAAGTGAAGTTAGTAACATGCATTAATGGGACATGAATGAGTGCATAAAGAGAGAGGAAGAGAGGAGCTCAGTGCACCATGGGAAATCCCCCGATAGTCTAGGCCTATAGCAGCATAACTAAGGGATGGTTCAGGACTCACCTGATCCAGCCCTAACTATAAGCTTTATCAAAGAGGAATGTCTTAAGCCTACTCTTGAAAGTGGTGAGGGTGTCTGCCTCCCGAACGACAACTGGAAGCTGGTTCCACAGGAGAGGAGCTTGGTAACTGAAGGCTCTGGCTCCTGTTCTACTTTTAGAGACTATAGGAACCACAAGTAGCCCAGCATTCAGAGAACGTAGTGTTCTAGTGGGGTAATAGGGTACTATGAGCTCTTTAAGATATGAAGGGGCCTGACCATGAAGAGCTTTATAGGTGAGGAGGAGGATTTTAAATTCTATTCTACATTTTACAGGGAGCCAATGCAGAGAAGCTAGTACAGGAGAGATGTGATCTCTTTTTCTAGTTCCTGTCAGTACTTGTGCTGCAGCAGCGTTCTGAATTAATTGGAGCGTTTTAATGGACTTATTGGGGCAACCTGATAATAAAGAGTTGCAGTAATCCAGCCTTGAAGTAACAAATGCATGGATTAGTTTTTCTGCATCTGTCTGTGATAGTATGTGTCTAATTTTTGTAATATTACGTAAATGAAAGAAGGCAGTCCTAGAGGTTTGCTTCATGTGGGAGTTAAAAGACAAATCCTGATCAAAGATAACTCCAAGATTCCTGACAATGGTGCTAGAGGCCATCTAGAGTAACTATATCTTTAGACAGTGAGTCTCTAAGGTTTTTGGGGCCAAGAACAAGAATTTCGTTTTTTTCTGAGTTTAACATCAGAAAATTGCAGCTCATCCAGGATTTTATGTTCTTAAGACATGTTTGTAATTTAGATAATTGATTAATTTCATCGGGCTTGATCGATAGATATAACTGCGTATCATCTGCATAACAGTGAAAGTTAATGGAGTGATTCCTAATAATGTTGCCTAAAGGGAGCATATATAAATTCAATTCAATTCAATTTTATTTGTATAGCGCCAATTCATAACAGAAGTTATCTCAGGACACTTTTCAAATAGAGCAGGTCTAGACCGAACTCTTTAACATTAATTACAGAGACCCAACAGTACCACCATGAGCAAGCACTTGGCGACTAGGGCAAGGAAAAACTGCCTGTTAAAAGGCAGAAACCTAGGACAGATCCTCCGGCTCTAGGTGGGTGGTCGTCTGTCTCGACCAGTTGGGGTGAGAGAGAGAGAGAGAGAGAGAGAGAGAGAGAGAGAGAGAGAGAGCGACAGACAGACAGACAGGTGCACAGCAACAACAGTATTGGCAATGGCAGTCAAGCAGGACCATGGCAGGAGGCTCCACCAGGATCCATGAGAACCTGCGAGACGAGAAAGCACAAGAACTCCGGGGAAGAAGTGGAGTTAGTAACATGCATTAAAGGGACATGAATGAGTGCAGAAAGAGAGAGGAAGAGAGTAGCTCAGTGCACCATGGGAAATCCCCCGATAGTCTAGGCCTATAGCAGCATAACTAAGGGATGGTTCAGGACTCACCTGATCCAGCCCTAACTATAAGCTTTATCAAAGAGGAATGTCTTAAGCCTACTCTTGAATGTGGTGAGGGTGTCTGCCTCCCGAACCACAACTGGAAGCTGGTTCCACAGGAGAGGAGCTTGGTAACTGGAGGCTCTGGCTCCTGTTCTACTTTTAGAGACTATAGGAACCACAAGTAGCCCAGCATTCAGAGAACGTAGTGTTCTAGTGGGGTAATAGGGTACTATGAGCTCTTTAAGATATGAAGGGGCCTGACCATGAAGAGCTTTATAGGTGAGGAGGAGGATTTTAAATTCAATTCTACATTTTATAGGGAGCCAATGCAGAGTAGCTAGTACAGGAGAGATGTGATCTCTTTTTCTAGTTCCTGTCAGTACTCGTGCTGCAGCGTTCTGAATTAATTGGAGCGTTTTAATGGACTTATTGGGGCAACCTGATAATAAAGAGTTGCAGTAATCCAGCCTTGAAGTAACAAATGCATGGATTAGTTTTTCTGCATCTGTCTGTGATAGGATGTGTCTAATTTTTCTAATATTACGTAAATGAAAGAAGGCAGTCCTAGAGGTCTGCTTTATGTGGGAGTTAAATGACAAATCCTGATCAAAGATAACTCCAAGATTCCTGACAGTGGTGCTAGAGGCCAAGTTAATGCCATCTAGAGTGACTATATCTTTAGACAATGAGTCTCTAAGGTTTTTGGGGCCAAGAACAAGAATTTCGTTTTTTTCTGAGTTTAACATCAGAAAATTGCAGGTCATCCAGGATTTTATGTCCTTAAGACATGTTTGTAATTTAGATAATTGATTAATTTCATTGGGTTTGATTGATAGATATAACTGCGTATCATCTGCATAACAGTGAAAGTTAATGGAGTGATTCCTAATAATGTTGCCTAAAGGGAGCATATATAAAGTAAATAGTATTGGTCCAAGTACAGAACCTTGTGGAACTCCATGACTAACTTTAGTATTTATGGAGGATTCATCGTTAACATGTACAAACTGAGAACGATCTGATAAGTATGACTTAAACCAGGTTAGTGCGGTTCCTTTAATGCCAATTTGATGCTCAAGTCTCTGCAAAAGAACATCATGGTCAATGGTGTCAAATGCAGCACTAAGATCTAATAATACAAGTACAGAGACAAGTCCATTGTCAGAAGCAGTCAGAAGGTCATTATTAACTTTAACCAGAGCTGTCTCTGTGCTATGATGAACTCTAAATCCTGACTGAAAATCCTCAAATAAACTATTGTTATGTAGAAAGTCACACAACTCTTTGGCGACTACTTTCTCCAGAATCTTAGAGAGGAACGGGAGGTTAGAAATCGGTCTATAGTTGGCTAAAACCCCTGGGTCAAGAGTAGACTTTTTAAGAAGGGGTTTAATTACAGCTACTTTAAAGGACTGTGGTACATATCCTGATAATAAAGAAAGATTAATCATATCCAGTAAAGAAGTGCCAATTAAGGGAACAACTTCTTTAAGCAGCCTAGTTGGGATCGGGTCTAACAGACAGGTTGATGGCTTCGATGAAGAAATGATTGAAGTTAACTGATGAAGATCGATAGCAGAAAAACAGTCTAAATATATATCTAAGTTTACATTGACAGAAGTCCCTGAACTTGGAGAGCCACTGATAACTGTTGATGGCAGTTGGTGATTAATTTTTTCTCTAATAGTAATAATTTTATTATAGAAGAAGCTCATGAAGTCATTGCTACTTAAGTTTATGGGGATATGTGGCTCAATAGAGCTGTGACTCTCTGTCAGCCTGGCTACAGTGCTGAAGAGGAACCTAGGGTTGTTCTTATTTTCTTCTATTAGTGCTGAGTAATAGGCTCCTCTGGCATTACGGAGGGCCTTTCTATAAATCTTAAGATCATCTTGCCAATTTGAGCGATATTCTGATAATTTGGAAGAGCGCCATTTCATTTCAGATTTCCTAGCTATTTGCTTTAACTGGCGGGTTTGGTGGTTATACCAAGGTGCTAGTCTCCTATGTTTTAATAATTTCCTTTTCATAGGAGCAATAGAGTCTAATGTTTTTCGTAGTGAGCCTGCAGCACTATCGACAAGATTATCAATTTCAGAGGGACTAAAGTCGTTATAGGACTCTGTTAAATTCAGACATGGCATTGAATTAAACACTGAAGGAATCTCCTCCTTAAATTTAGCTACAGCACTGTCAGATAGACATCTGCTGTAGGAAGTTTTGCCTAATGGCTTATAATCTAATAGTATGAATTCAAAAGTTACTAAATAATGGTCAGATAGGAAAGGATTATGTGGGAAGACTATTAAATGTTCAATATCAATGCCATATGATAAAACAAGGTCAAGAGTGTGATTAAAACAATGAGTTGGTTTATTTACACTCTGACAGAAGCCAATTCAATTCAATTTCCTTAAGGGAGTCATCCTAAAGGGATCAATAAAGAGAAGTGTAAGTCTAAGTCTAAGTCTGAGTCAGCTGGGACCGCAATACTCTGGTGGCGCTCTGAATGGAGAAAGATGGCAGCAGCTGTACCTGGATATTCAGGATTCAATTAATTATTTGTATAGCACCAATTCATAACAGAAGTTATCTCAGGACACTTTTCAGATAGAGCAGGTCTAGACAGAACTCCTTATAACATTATTTACAGAGACCCAACAGTTCCCACCATGAGCAAGACCTTGGCAATGGTGGCAAGGAAAAACTTCTTTTTAAGGGTAATGGGGTGAGGAGGCAAAGGACAGAGACAAAGATGCACAGCAAGAACAACAGTGGGAGGAAATGGAGACGATGGTTCTGACGCCTGCAGAAGGATTTTATCTTTTATTTCAGAATCAGAATCACTGTTATTGGCCAGGTATGTGTGCACATACAAGGTATTTGACTCTGGTTTTACTTTGCTCACCATGTACAAACAAACTAACAGCATGAATAAACAACAAGTTCAACAACATATAGATAAACTTATATGTACAGTTATACATATATATAAACAAACATTTGTAGAACAAAAAGTACTAGAGAGGGCAGTACTGAGGCGACAGTCTGGATCTTCTGCTCATATTGAATCTCTCTCTGGTCTTCAGTTTCTGTCAAGTGTCAAAATTCTTGAAAATTGTCATGTTTTTGGGAAAGTAAAAACTTGTTTTGGTTATTTCTAAAATGGGAACTTTTTTAAAAAGCTTTGAAACAGTCAGGACATTTTAGACTGAAGTTCAGGTTTGAATTAGGTTACTGTGTGTGTGTAATGTGACTCTGTTGTTTACTCCGACTGCAGCTGCTCACATCACATACACACACACATACATACACACACACACACACACACACACAAACACACATATATATATATACACAATGGTCGGGACGTTGTATGTAAAACATAAATAACAACAGAATGTAGTTATAAAGTTATACAAATGTTCAAACTGATAACTGGGACACTTGGGACATGTCCGAGTGTTTTATAAAATAGCATCATCACTTATAAACAACCTGAGGTCTGCGGACAGATCACAGTCTTATTTTACAGACTGACTTTACAGAGCTGCTAACTGAAGAAGTCTCTTATGTCTTTGTCCTCTTGCTGTAAATGAATCTATTGCTCTTCTTCTAGCTGCTGTACTTATCTATAAATGATTATCGTGTGGTGGCCTCTAGTGGACAGGATCGGCAGTTAATAGTATACGGCATTGAAACAATGAGGCACTTCTCATCTGAAAGTTGATTAATTATTTTTATCTAACGTTGATTTTCCTTCTGCTTCGAAATGTAGGGCAGTGATATTGGATATTATTATTTTCATTGATAATGTGATACTGACATTGTTTGATTGCAGCTGTCGATGTGATGGATGGCTATTACTGTACCATTGTTGTGCGTTGTTGAGTATATTCATATTGTCAACTCTGTAGTAACTACACACCTTAGGTGCAATGCTACACAGCAAACCCGTATTTATATTAATCATTAACTAAATAGTTGTTACATCTATTTTTCTAAAGTACATCAATCGTTAGCTAAGTAGCTTAATCTGAAAGCTAATGTTAGCAACATCTGGTAAACATTAGTTTATAATCCTATTCTTTCCTGATGACGAAAATTAGAATTGGGTGTGTATAGACCATGGTTTGGGTGAATACTGAAGTATTTACAGTGAAACTGTGTGTTCACCATAACTTGAGTAGGGACAGAAAGGACACAGGTGAGTGGTCAGTGCTGTAGATACAGGTCAGAGGTCAGTGCTGTAGATCCAATCCAATCCAATCCACTTTATTTATATAGCACGATTTTAACAAACACAAGGTTTCCAAAGTGCTGCACAAAAAGATTCAATGTTCAATTCACTGTTATTTGTATAGCGCTATAACAGCTTTTCAAATAGAGCAGGTCTAGACTGAACTCTTTATAACATTATTTACAGAGACCCAACAGTACCACCATGAGCAAGCACTTGGAGACAAGGGCAAGGAAAAACTGCCTGTTAAAAGGCAGAAATCTAGGACAGATCCTTCAGCTCTAGGTGGGTGGTCGTCTGCCTCGACCAGTTGGGGTGAAAGAGAGAGAGACAGAGAGAGAGAGAGACAGGAGACCAGCAGACAGACAGACAGACAGACAGGTGCACAGTCAAACAGGACCATGGCAGGAGGCTCCACCAGGATCAATGAGAACCTGCAAGACGAGAAAAGCACAAGAACTCCGGGGAAGAAGTGAAGTTAGTAACATGCAGTAATGGGACATGAATGAGTGCAGAAAGAGAGGAATAGATTAACAGAGTAAATACATAACACAATAGAAGCACAATAGAAAGATGAAGTACACATTAGAAAAATAAAAGCAATAAAATAAATAAGTAAAATAAATAAAATAAATAAAATAAATAAAATAAATAAAATAAATAAAATGCACTGCCTGCACACGATAAAATATCAACGCTCTAAAATGGTGTCAAAAGCCAAAGAAAAAAGGTGTGTTTTAAGAAGAGTTTTAAAATGAGACAGAGAGGAGGCCTGTCTAATGTGCAGCTGCAATCCAAAGTTTAAGAGCTTAAGCCTAGCTTTAGGCACTGTCAGGAGCAGCTGGTCAGCTGACCTGAGAGATCGGCTGGGAGTGTAGGGGTGCAGCAGCTCAGAGAGGTAAGATGGGGCAAGGCCATTCAAGGCTTTAAAAGCAAATAATAGAATTTTAAAATGAATCCTAAAATGGACGGGCAGCCAGTGGAGTGCAGCTAAAATAGGTGAAATAGGTAGATACAGGTCAGAGGTCAGTGCTGTAGATAGGTATAAGAGAATAATGCCCTTTGAGGTGTTCATTAATTCCTGATAATTAACACTTTATCGAACATATTAAATGTTTAGTGTAGATCTTATAAATTTAAACTTTAATTTAAATACAAAACTAAGAGCAAAAATAAATTAATGTAATAATAAACAAATAATAAAGTATTGTAATGAAAAAATCTATGAAAAGATTGTTCTTTAAACACATCCTGCACATCGACTCTCATCGTGTTACAGTCGACCTCCATTCCTCACACACACCCTTCTTCTTCTGTTTTCTTCCACCTGCATGACCAGCTGCCTGTCTCCACTCTGATTGGTCGACATTGGACCCTAAGCTGCGTGTGAGTGGTGGAGGGCTGGCGGGCACACGCTTAGAGAGTGATCGAGTGTCAGAGTCAGCGCCAGCTCAGATCCCTATTTCTGTTCCTACATTTAGAGTGAGTGAGCTAATGCTAACGCTAGCTCTGAGTCAAACATTGCATGGACAGGAGGTCAAAGTTCACTACAGCTGTGAGACCGTAAACACAATCACAACAGAGCAGAATGAGTTAATGAATCAACTCACTCAGTGTGTGACAGCTTCCACAACAGCAAAGACTTTCCTAAATAAAATTGTAAGTATAGAGGTGTGACTGGATGGTGTCAGCAGGAAGTCGACCTCAGAGGATTTCCTGGAAGAACATGAGACATTGAGACAGATGGATGGACAGACGATCTGAGTTTATTTCTGCACATCCAACATGTCACTCTGGACTATGGAAGCCTAAAAGAGACAATATTAAAATATCCTATCAATATCATTTTACACATATACATATATTAAGAAAATATTAAATTGCATTTTAAATTTACCATTTAAAAGTGGTCAATTATTTGATATTTTCATCTGCAAAGATAACATTTTGAAGCAAACAAAAAAACGGGTTCACAGCTTGCTGTTTTTTTTAAAAACAAAATTAAATTAAAGCTGCAAGCAGCGTTGAGCGGGACCTCGCACTCCATGCAACTCGGGGCGTGCTGCGGCCGCGTTGCGTGCCGTCGTTACACGTGCGGACCAAAACATGAAATTTCACGTAAATCAGCTCAAAATTGCCACGCAGCGCTTACTTCCTGTTGCGGGTAGGTGGCGCTATCACTATGTTTTAATATTGTCATGTAGACAAGTTCAGGGCAGGACTGTTGTAACACACGTGATGTTTCATTGAGATTGGACCACGTACGCTGACTGAGGACGTGTTCAGGGCGAGACTGTTTCAGAATATATGAAGTTTACTGGAGATTGGACATTGCACACTGAAGTTATGAGTGCTGTTTTATGGCGAATCCGCTGAATTTGACAAGTCGTCACCGGCACGGTCATTTCACGTAACTCAGCTCAAAATCGCCACGCAGTGCTTACTTTCTATTGCCAGTAGGTGGCGCTATCACTATGAAGCTGCATCTGTATTGCGGGATATTTTCTCCAGCATGAAGAACAGACTAATGCTGGTAAAACACCGCTTCAACCTGACGGCAGAGGGAGTCCACATCCAGCAGAGGCTGACAGGCTGCGAGGTGTTGGGGGATGGACAGCCGGCAGTCATTATGTTCACCGACAGCTCTGATGGACAGGATGCCGACAGCCGGATGTACAATATGATGCATTTCACCAACGCCAGCGGCGACAGATGGGAGATCCAGTGGAGCACCATGAAGAGGATGCACTTCCAGATGCTCTACTCTAACATCTACCTGCCCTTCTGTGTGCGGACACTCTATCACCTTGTGGACTACGAGAAGCGTCAGGTGGCACATCGGGTTCGTCCTCGAGTCTGCTTCATCACAAAGCCTGTTATGGGTGGTGCTCAGGTCACCTGCCTGGCCACGGACTTCTACCCTCGCCACATCAACCTGACGCCGCTGAATAACAGGCCCGTGCATGACAGTGAGCTGACTGGCGGCTTGGTGCTGCCCAATGGCAACGGCTTCTACCAGGTGAGGACGAAGATGATGGTCGGTGATGAGGAGCTGAAGAAGAAACACAACTACACCTGCACAGCGTCTCACCTGAGCTTGGACAACCGGCTGGAGGTGAGCTAGAGGGCCGAGTTCTCACACTCACACCAGATTCACGTTGTCTTTGGTCCCGCCGGCCTGGTGCTTGCTGTCATCCTGCTGCTGGTGCTGCTTTGGTGGCGGCGGTACAGTTGGAGGTCAAAAGGCATCGCCATGGAAACACAGCAACAACCAGGAGAGGCTGAGAGTGAAGGAACTGATTCAGGGAGACAGTCTGCAGCGAGTGCGAGCACGTAAACCAGAAAAGGGTTGCAACGTCCCCCTTTGGACCGCTGCACATGCTCAGTAGAGTTTCACTATTATTATAGTTGTGGAGAACCTGGGTTTGGATCAGTGTAAAATGTTTTAAATACATTTCCTTATTTTTCTTCACATTGCCACAATGCTGCTAATCAATATTTCTAGTACAGACAAATACATTTCTGCTTTTAGAGATCAATATTTTAGTGTTTGATCAATATTTATATTTATAAGGACGGACTGCAGGTGGACAGGTGTGGAACTGATGTTTCAAAGATTCTACTGAGCTGAGAAGGTGATCAGTTTCATTCAGAAAAATATTATATTTAAATATTTAAAATATCAGAAAATATCTCTCTGAACAAATCAATAAAGTCTACATTATTACCCAGATAATTAATAACCACATTAATAAGAATATATAGCAGTAGAAGAACTGTTCTAACATTTTATTAAAGACAACGTAAAAGCAGTTTACACCTTCAATATAATATGTTGAATTGTATTCAGGTTCTCATGGATCCTGGTGGAGCCTCCTGCCATGGTCCTGCTTGACTGCCATTGTTAATATCACTGATATTAGTGTTGTTATTATTATTATTATTACAGTTACTATTATTACTATTGTCACTGCTCATTGTTGTTGTCATCATCATCTTCTTCATGTTCATCATCATCATCAGTCACTACTATTAGTGTAGTTGTTGCTACTGTTGTTGCTGTGCACCCGTCTGTCTGTCTGTCTCTCTCTCTCCCACCCACCTAGAGCCGAAGGATCTGTCCTAGGTTTCTGCCTTTTAACAGGCAGTGTTTCCTTGCCCTTGTCACCAAGTGCTTGCTCATGGTGGGAGCTGTTGGGTCTCTGTAAATAATGTTATAAAGATTCGGTCTAGACCTGCTCTATTTGAAAAGTGTCCTGAGATAATTTCTGTTATGAATTGGCGCTATACAAATAAAATTGAATTGAATTGTTGTGTGATTATTTGTGATTGATTTATTGAGAACTATTGATCATCCTCTGACTGAATGTTAATTAAAGCCTGTTATATTGAACACAGCCTGAACGCCTCATGTAGCTGCAGTTTATTGTCCAACAGTCAAAACAGAGAGACATGATAACAATGATAAAACATTTAGAACATTGATACAAAAGCTTAAAAAACATTTCAAAGATACAGCCTGACGTCCGAGGGTCTTCTCATGATTCCTTTTCTGTATAGTCTTCGGACATCAATCATCATTCAGTCAGGTTATAAAAGAGTTTAAACTGTCAAACGGCTGCTGGACGGCTTCACAGCAACCTGATAAAATCCTGTAAAAAGTGATCAAATGCTGGTAAAAACAGATGTGCTGGTGTTTCAGTAAATAGCCTCGTCCATGTTGTCGTCACTGTCGCCTCCAAACTCCTCTCCATTATCAAAGTACGACATGACGTAGTCCGTCTCCTGCACACAGAAAATGCTTCACATGAGTGTCTTATTGCACATTTATTACACATTAATGATTGTCTTATTACACATTAATAAATGTCTTATTACACATTAATAAATGTCTTATTACATTTATTACACATTAATGAATGTCTTATTGTATATTTATTACACATTAATGAGTGTGTTATAACACATTTATTACACATTAATGAATGTCTTATTGCACATTAATTACGCGTTAATGAGTGTGTTATAACACTTTAATAAGTGTCATATATGTATTATATACACATGATATACATGAACATTTGTTGTGATGGACTTAAGTGAAGTGAGCCCAAACTACAAACCAAACTTCATTCATAAAAAACACATTTTATTAGAAATCTCACCTCCTCAAACTCTTCCTCGTCGTACTCCTCTTCTCCCTCAGCCTCCTCATCCTCCTGTTTTTTCTTTTTCTCCTCTCCTTCTTCCTCCTCCTCCCCTGAGCTGCCCCGCTCCTCCTTCTTCTCCAGAGTCTGACACAAATGTTAAGGTGGAAATTATCGGTTAAGGTGGAATTATTATAAGAACTACACTCACAGATGTAGGTTTGCATCTGGTCAGTGGGGAGAAACCTGTTCACATTTTAAGGTGGAAATGTTTATTTGCTTAACGTGGAAATGTTTGCTAAAGGTGGAAGTGATTGATTAAGGTGGAAGTGTTTAGTTAAGGTGGAAATGTTTGGTCAATGTAAAGTTTTCAGATATGTGGAGCATAAAAACCAGAATGCTGGTTCTCCAGGATTAGTTTGGACTCTGGGGACAGGAAGCAGACCTGATCCCAGACCAGCTGAGAGGTCTCTGGGTCTCTCACCTCCAGTTTGAGCAGCACTTCCTCTTTCTCTTTGATTTTTTTCTTCTTCTGACCGGACTGAACTCTGTCAGAGCGAGTGACTGCTGCTGATACACCTGAGAGACACAGAGCAGGAGATCAATCAGCCATCAATCACTCATCCATCACTAATCCATCCATCAATCACTAATCCATCAATCACTCATCAATAACTAATCCATCAATAACTAATCCATCAATCACTAATCCATCCATCATTAATCCATCCATCACTCATCAATAACTAATCCACCCATCAATCACTAATCCACCCATCAATCACTTATCCATCCATCAATCACTCACTCATCAATAACTAATCCATCAATCAATCGATCACTAATCCATCCATCAATCAATCACTCATCAATAACTAATTCAATTCACTTTTATTTGTATAGTGCCATTTCAAAACAGAAGTTATCTCAAGACACTTTTCAAATAGAGCAGGTCTAGACCGAACTCCTTATAACATTATTTACAGAGACCCAACAGTACCACCATGAGCAAGACCTTGGAGACAAGGGCAAGGAAAAACTGCCTGTTAAAAGGCAGAAACCTAGGACAGATCCTTCGGCTCTAGGTGGGGGGTCGTCTGTCTCGACCAGTTGGGGTGAGAGAGAGAGAGAGAGAGAGAGAGAGAGCGCCAGACAGACAGACAGATGCACATCAATCAATCACTAATCCATCCATCAATCACTCACTCATCAATAACTAATCCATCCATCAATCAATCACTCATCAATCACTAATCTATCCATCAATAAGTAATCCATCCATCAATCACTCATCAATCACTAATCCATCCATCATTAACTAATCTATACGTGTAAACTCTGTACAGACCGTCTCTGGTGGGTTTCTTGACGCGGACTCTGAGTTCTTTTGGGAATCTCTTCCAGTCTGAAACAATATTATAATAACACAATTACAACAACAATAACACAATAACAACAACAAGAAGAACATAATAACATTATAATAATAACAATATTATAATAATAAAACAATAACATTATAATAACACAATAACAATATTATAATAACAACAACAGCAACTATATATAATTGAACGGGATCTCGCAGCCAGCGCGTCGGGGTGTGCTGCGGCCACGTCACGTGCCGTCGTAACAAGTGCAGACCACAACATGAAAATGTCACGTAAATCAGCTCAAAATCGCCACGCAGCACTTACTTCCTGTTGCCACTAGGTGGCGCTATCACTATGTCTGAATATTGTCATGTAGACGTGTTCAGGACTCTTATCAGACAAGTGAAGTTTGGAGCCGATTGGACAATGTACACTCAAGTTATAGCGAATTCGTGTTTTGTGGCGATACGTCAAAATTTCCCGCCACGCCACAGACACGCCCCCTCACCGCAGTCATCACATATCATCAACAATGTGTTTTGCATTTTATCAGTTATTTCAGCTGGGTCTGATCATCCTGCTAGGAGTAGAACATGGAAGTATAAAACGTGATACTTCCTGTTACCAAAGTATTTCATTTTAAAGAGCGCCACCTTGTGGCGATGGCCTGAAATTGTGCATGATGGCTAAGGAAGACATGGGGAACTATGAACTATGTTGTTGCTGTGCACCTGTCTATCTGTCTCTCTCTCTGTCTCTCTTTCACCCCAACTGGTCGAGACAGACGACCACCCACCCATTCAGCTCCATTCACCGAAGGCGTGGATATAAGTTTTTTGAATGTGTGACAAACTATACAAAAGTTATTAGCCTAAACGCACTTTAAAATATAAAACGTGACACTTCCGGTTGCCACTAGGTGGCGCTCTGACTATTACTGAATATTATCACATAGACGTGTTCAGGGCGGGACTCTTATGTCATGTGAAGTTTCGTTGCAGTCGGATCATGTACGCAGAAGTTATGACGAATCCCTCTTTTTATGGCGAAGGATCGAAATTGGATGCCACGGGACGCCACGCCACGGGCAGGAAGTTTGACGAACAAAACTGAACACAACCTTTAATGGTGAATGTGTTTAGATGGCTGTGTCGAAATCTGAAGTCGGTCCATTAATGCCCTAGGAGGAGTTCGTTCAAATACAACGTGTGCAAATCGTGACAAAATCCAAAATGGCCGACTTCCTGTTGGGTTTGAGGTATGGGTCCAAGAGGCTTTTTTGCTTGTCCCATCATGATACGCATGCGTACCAATTTTCTTACATGTCAGTCATAGGTGTCTTTGGGGCTGACTCTGGGGGGCGTGGCTAAGCCATTTTGCGACGCCCATCTACGGGACCAAGACAATACCTCGGCATTCGGAACCACCGAATGCTGTGCAAAGTTTCATGAGATTTCAGGCATGTTTAGTCCCCCCAAAAGTGTGATTTTTTTTTACTTTTGCCGCATTACCATGGCAACATGGTTCCATGCAAATTCTTAAGATTCATAATATGTGATCCTCATCCTCCTAAGGAACTTCTCACATAATTTCAGCTGGATCTGGTCAATATGCTTGAAGATATAAATAAAAGTACAAAAAATACATTTCCTTTCAGCACTGGTGGAGCTCTCACTATAACTGAATATTATCACATAGAATTGGTCAAGGTGGGACTCTTATCAGGCAAGTGAAGTTTGGAGCCGATTATTATAATAACAAGACAATAACAACAATATTATAGTATTAACACAATAACAACAACATTACAATAATAAGACAATAACAACAATATTATAATAATACAATAACAGCAACAATAATATAATAACAATAACAACAATATTATAATAAGACAACAACAATAACAATTAAATAATAATAAAATTATATCTAAAATAATAATAAAATAATATTTATAATAAAATAATAATAATAATAACATTAATAAAATAATATTATAATAAAAACAACAATAAAATTAAAGCTGCAAGCAGCATTGGGCGGGACCTCGCACTACACGCAACTCGGGGCGTGCTGCGACCACGTCACGTGCTGTCGTAGCACGACATGAAAATCTGCCGCTAATCAGCTCAAAATCGCCACGCAGCGCTTAATTCCTGTTGCCAGTAGGTGGCGCTATCACTATGTCTGAATATTGCCATGTACACGTGTTCAGGGCGGGACTGTTATCAAGCATTTGAAGTGTGGAGCCGATTGGACAATGTACACTCAAGTTATAGCGAATTCGTGTTTTGTGGCGGTCCATCAAAATTTCCCGCCACCCCACAGACACGCCCCCTCACCACAGTCAACACATGTCATCAACAATGTGTTTTGCATTTTATAAGTAAATTTCAGCTGGATCTGATCATCCTGCGAGGAGTACAACATGAAAGTATAAAACGTGATACTTCCTGTTACCAGTATGTGGCGCTATCTAGCACCACTGTCAGGAATCTTGGAGTTATCTTTGATCAGGATTTGTCTTTTAACTCCCACATAAAGCAGACCTCTAGGACTGACTTCTTTCATTTACGTAATATTACAAAAATTAGACACATACTATCACAGACAGATGCAGAAAAACTAATCCATGCATTTGTTACTTCTAGGCTGGATTACTGCAACTCTTTATTATCAGGTTGCCCCAATAAGTCCATTAAAACGCTCCAATTAATTCAGAACGCTGCAGCACGAGTACTGACAGGAACTAGAAAAAGAGATCACATCTCTCCTGTACTAGCTTCTCTCCACTGGCTCCCTGTAAAATGTAGAATAGAATTTAAAATCCTCCTCCTCACCTATAAAGCTCTTCATGGTCAGGCCCCTTCATATCTTAAAGAGCTCATAGTACCCTATTACCCCACTAGAACACTACGTTCTCTGAATGCTGGGCTACTTGTGGTTCCTATAGTCTCTAAAAGTAGAACAGCAGCCAGAGCCTTCAGTTACCAAGCTCCTCTCCTGTGGAACCAGCTTCCAGTTGTGGTTCGGGAGGCAGACACCCTCTCCACATTCAAGAGTAGGCTTAAGACATTCCTCTTTGATAAAGCTTATAGTTAGGGCTGGATCAGGTGAGTCCTGAACCATCCCTTAGTTATGCTGCTATAGGCCTAGACTATCGGGGGATTTCCCATGGTGCACTGAGCTCCTCTCTTCCTCTCTCTTTATGCACTCATTCATGTCCCATTAATGCATGTTACTAACTTCACTTCTTCCCCGGAGTTCTTGTGCTTTCTCGTCTCGCAGGTTCTTATCGATCCTGGTGGAGCCTCCTGCCATGGTCCTGCTAGATTGCCATTGCCAATACTGTTGTTGCTGTGCACCTGTCTGTCTGTCTGTCTCTCGCTCTCTCTCTCTCTCCCTCTCTCTCTCTAACTGGTCGAGACAGACGACCACCCACCTAGAGCCGAAGGATCTGTCCTAGGTTTCTACCTTTTAACAGGCAGTTTTTCCTTGCCCTTGTCGCCAAGTGCTTGCTCATGGTGGTACTGTTGGGTCTCTGTAATTAATGTTTTAAAGAGTTCGGTCTAGACCTGCTCTATTTGAAAAGTGTCCTGAGATAACTTGTTATGAATTGGCGCTATACAAATAAAATTGAATTGAAAATCACTATGTCTGAATATTGTCATGTAGACGTGTTCAGGGTGGGACTGTTATCAAACATGTGAAGTTTCATTGAGATTGGATCATGTACGCTGAAGTTATGAGGACGTGTTCAGGGTGGGACTGTACACTGAAGATATGAGTACTATCTGTTTGATGGCCAATCGGTGGAATTGGACACGTACATTTTTTTGACTCTACTCACAAATTTTGAAGCAGATCAGATAAATTTCCTAGAAGGAGTTCGTTCAAATACAACACGAAACGTTCGCCGAAAGTGAAAATCAAAATCAAAATGGCCGACTTCCTGTTGGGTTTTGGGTATGGGTCCAAGAGGCTTTTTTGTACGTCCCGGCATGGTACACGTGCCTACCGAGTTTCTTACATATCAGTGAAACGTGGCGCCGGGGCTGCTGTTTTTTTATCCTGTAGGGGGCGCTACACACACAACAAACACAATTTTTGGTATGTGAGCTTCAGGCACTACTCTACACGTGCCCTGTGAATTTCATACTCATAACTATTACGGTCTCCACACAGTGATTTACCCTGCCACCAGAGCGCCACCTAGTGGCGGATTGTTGACACATTTTTTAGCGAGCCTCAGGGAGCCATGGGAAAGCATCGTACCAAGTTTCATCTTAATCAAACATACTGTTGTGTTGATTGATTAATTGATGACAGGTACAGACTCACCTGTAGTCCAGTCTGTGGGTCCGTCGGCGGGCTCAGTGCTGTGGTATTTATCAGAGTATCTCTCCACATCTGTAACACATAGGACCTTCACAATAAAAGCCTGATTGATTGATCAGCTGTCCCTTATTATTAATGACTGATTGCAATCACATCAATTTAATATTATTATTATTATCATTATCATCCTTGTTATTATTTAATATTATTATTAATAATAATAATAATAATAAATAATAATAATAATTATTAATATTATTAGTATTATTTAGTACTGAGACCGGGTACAGCCATACAGAGAACCGGTACACATCCTGTGTGTGTGTGACCTCTGACCTCTGTGTGCAGCAGCTGGTTGGATGAAACAGGGCAGACTCTTCATGGCTCCTCTGAACTCTTGTTTGAGAGCCAACAGATACTCTGCCTCCTCACCACCTGCCAGGGGGAGGGGCTTCTGCTCCATCACCTGGACAACAACACACACAGTCAACTACAAGTCCCAGAGTGCACTGCTCTCAGTGCATTAGTGCAGGGATGGGGGCATTAGTGCAGGGACGGGGCATTAGTAAAGGACGGAAGCATTAGTTTAGGGACGGGTGCATTAGTAAAGGACGGAAGCAATAGTTTAGGGACGGGTGCATTAGTAAAGGGACGGGGGCATTAGTAAAGGGACGGGGGCATTAGTAAAGGGACGGGGGCATTAGTGCAGGGACGGGGGCATTAGTGCAGGGACGGGAGCATTAGTGCAGAGACGGGAGCATTAGTAAAGGACGGGTGCATTAGTAAAGGACGGAAGCATTAGTTTAGGGACGGGTGCATTAGTAAAGGGACGGGGGCATTAGTAAAGGGACGGGGGCATTAGTGCAGGGACGGGGGCATTAGTGCAGGGACGGGAGCATTAGTGCAGGGATGGGGGCATTAGTGCAGGGACGGGGCATTAGTAAAGGACGGAAGCATTAGTTTAGGGACGGGTGCATTAGTAAAGGACGGAAGCATTAGTTTAGGGACGGGTGCATTAGTAAAGGGACGGGGGCATTAGTGCAGGGACGGGGGCATTAGTGCAGGGACGGGGGCATTAGTGCAGGGACGGGAGCATTAGTGCAGAGACGGGAGCATTAGTAAAGGACGGGAGCATTAGTAAAGGGACGGGGGCATTAGTAAAGGACGGGAGCATTAGTAAAGGGACGGGTGCATTAGTAAAGGGACGGGAGCATTAGTAAAGGACGGGTGCATTAGTAAAGGACGGGAGCATTAGTAAAGGACGGGTGCATTAGTAAAGGGACGGGAGCATTAGTAAAGGACGGGGTGCATTAGTAAAGGACGGGTGCATTAGTAAAGGACGGGTGCATTAGTAAAGGACGGGAGCATTAGTAAAGGACGGGAGCATTAGTGCAGGGACGGGGGCATTAGTAAAGGACAGGAGCATTAGTGCAGGGACGGGAGCATTAGTAAAGGACGGGTGCATTAGTAAAGGACGGGAGCATTAGTAAAGGACGGGTGCATTAGTAACGGGACGGGAGCATTAGTAAGGGACGGGGGCATTAGTAAAGGACGGGTGCATTAGTGAAGGACGGGTGCATTAGTAAAGAACGGGGGCATTAGTAAAGGGACGGGGGCATTAGTAAAGGGACGGGAGCATTAGTAAAGGGACGGGAGCATTAGTAAAGGGACGGGAGCATTAGTAAAGGGACGGGAGCATTAGTAAAGGGACGGGAGCATTAGTGCAGGGACGGGGGCATTAGTGCAGGGACGGGAGCATTAGTAAGGGACGGGTGCATTAGTAAAGGGACGGGTGCATTAGTAAAGGACGGGAGCATTAGTAAAGGGACGGGAGCATTAGTAAAGGACGGGAGCATTAGTAAAGGGACGGGAGCATTAGTAAAGGACGGGAGCATTAGTAAAGGACAGGAGCATTAGTAAAGGGACGGGAGCATTAGTAAAGGACAGGAGCATTAGTAAAGGGACGGGTGCATTGGTAAAGGGACGGGGGCATTGGTAAAGGGACGGGGGCATTAGTAAAGGGACGGGTGCATTAGTAAAGGGACGGGTGCATTAGTAAAGGACGGGGCATTAGTAAGGCGGGAGCATTAGTAAAGGGACGGGAGCATTAGTGCAGAGACGGGAGCATTAGTAAAGGGACGGGAGCATTAGTAAAGGGACGGGTGCATTAGTAAAGGACGGGAGCATTAGTAAAGGGACGGGAGCATTAGTGCAGGGACGGGAGCATTAGTAAGGGACGGGTGCATTAGTAAAGGGACGGGTGCATTAGTAAAGGACGGGGCATTAGTAAAGGACGGGAGCATTAGTAAAGGGACGGGAGCATTAGTGCAGGGACAGGGGCATTAGTAAAGGGACGGGTGCATTAGTAAAGGGACGGGAGCATTAGTAAAGGGACGGGAGCATTAGTAAAGGGACGGGAGCATTAGTGCAGGGACAGGGGCATTAGTAAAGGGACGGGTGCATTAGTAAAGGGACGGGGCATTAGTAAAGGACGGGGCATTAGTAAAGGGACGGGAGCATTAGTAAAGGACGGGGCATTAGTAAAGGGACGGGTGCATTAGTAAAGGGACGGGGGCATTAGTAAAGGGACGGGCATTAGTAAAGGGACGGGGCATTAGTAAAGGACGGGTGCATTAGTAAAGGACGGGAGCATTAGTAAAGGGACGGGAGCATTAGTAAAGGGACGGGAGCATTAGTAAGGGACGGGTGCATTAGTAAAGGGACGGGTGCATTAGTAAAGGACGGGGCATTAGTAAAGGACGGGAGCATTAGTAAAGGGACGGGAGCATTAGTAAAGGGACGGGAGCATTAGTAAGGGACGGGTGCATTAGTAAAGGGACGGGTGCATTAGTAAAGGACGGGAGCATTAGTAAAGGGACGGGAGCATTAGTGCAGGGACGGGAGCATTAGTAAAGGGACGGGAGCATTAGTAAAGGGACGGGAGCATTAGTGCAGGGACAGGGGCATTAGTAAAGGGACGGGTGCATTAGTAAAGGGACGGGGGCATTAGTAAAGGGACGGGAGCATTAGTAAAGGACGGGGGCATTAGTGCAGGGACGGGAGCATTAGTAAAGGACGGGGGCATTAGTAAAGGGACGGGTGCATTAGTGCACTCACAGGGAACAGAGGGGTAGGTTGTTGGATGGACGGGGGTAAACTGTCTCCTCTGTTGATGCCGACTGCCTCCACACTGAAGGTCATCATCCTTCGGCCCCGCCCACGACCTCGACCCGTCATCGCCACCTGGATCAGGCCGGACCGAGTGGGACCGAGTGGACCGAGTCGGGTTAGACTGGATCAGGTGGATGTGGATCCTGACGGGACAAAGAGGATTAGTGAAGGACAGTTGATTGATCCTGGTTCTGGTCCGACAGTACAGATACACTGAGGAAGACTTTTATTGTGAAAGGATCATATTGGTGATTGATGACACCTCAGACTGTATTTATGGATCCATAATGTTACTGGTTATTATATATATTATATACTGTAATTATATTAATTACAGTATATTAGGGCTGCAACTATTCCTCGAGTACCTCGAGTAACTCGATTACAAAAAATGATCGAGGAATTTCCTCTGCCTTGAAGTCTCGTTTAATAAAATTTCTCACGTTTCGCACGGATTATTTTTAGTGTGATACAATGTGCTTACGTCACAGGCTATGCGTCCCCTAGCCTGCGTCCCCTAGTGGAATAAGATGGAAGCAGGCTTTTGGTAACGTGTGTGGACAGTTTTGCTGTACGGAATGGCAGACGCCAGGACCGAAAACAGTGAAAACAGTGAAAATGAGCAAACGCAGCAACGCGAAAGTAATAAGAGGAAGAGATCAGTGTTGGGAGTAACGGCGTTGAATTATAACGGCGTTACTAATGGCGTTATTTTTTCAGTAACGGAGTAATCTAATTAATTACTTTTCCCATCGCTGCAACGCCGTTACCGTGCGTTACTTGCGTTACTACAATTTGGTTGAATGAAGTGCAGCGGTGTCAGGCTTTCTGACAGCCACACATCAGCTGCCGGGAGAGGGCAGGGTGGTGATGATGATTGGCTGGGTGGGCGGATGCCCTGCTCACGCTGTCTCACTGCACGCTCTAACTACTACTATAAACACAAGACAGAGACAATGGCGACGAGCCAGAGAAATTCAAAGGTAGCGTTTTCAAACTGGAAGTACCGACAATACTTCTCGCTTACTGAAGTTAAAGGCAAGAATGTTTATGTAACATGCACGCTATGCCCAGGAAAAAAGACTTTATCCAGCAACTCCAATCTTATGAAGCACCTCACAGCAACTAGTGTTGCACGGTGCACTGATACTTCAAAAGTATCGCGATTCTCGGAAATTAAAAACGTCACGATTCCTAAATTTATTAGTATCGATACTTTTAAGAATGACCGTGTTCCAGATTTGTAAGAGACGTATTTCATGTTGGTGTGTGCAACGCATGCTTCCAGTGCCTCCCTATGGACGTCTGTGTTTTTTCTCCTCACGCACGCAGCAAAGAAGCTGCAGTGATTTATTTATATGAGGTTATTACAGCATTTAAAGAGCACAGACCTACGCAGACCTACGAGGTGTATTTGTGAAAGGCCTTGTAAGAAATTATGGACTCAAATATAAAGTTAACCATCAAAGAAATCAGACCCTTGTCTTCAAGTGTTTGCTCATGGTGGTACTGTTGGGTCTCTGTAAATAATGTTTTAAAGAGTTCGGTCTAGACCTGCTCTATTTGAAAAGCGTCCTGAGATAACTTCTGTTATGAATTGGCGCTATACAAATAAAATTGAATTGAAGCACAGGAAACATTAGCCTATATTAATCCATATATCACAGCTTAAATAACATTAGGTTAACTCATTATTTCCTATTATTAATTATGGTAATATTATGATTAAGTAAATGTTAGCTGCATATAGAGATGCTAAGTTAGTCAGTATGTCTTATGATAACTGAGATAATTCTGCTAAATGTATTATGTTTTTACCTTGAATGGATTTCTTACCTATTATTATTAGGGACCTCGTAAGCGACCGCTGGAGGTCCCCATTGTTTTTTGCTTTGTTTCTTCTCCCCTATTATTATTTTTAGCACTTTTGATTGCATTTTTGCCCCCCTGAACATTTACGAAAAGTCCATTTTATTTGGCAAAATGGTCAGGCCTCGTGAAAAATTGTATATTCTGTGTCACTTTCAGGTCTAGGTGGTGCTATTATCATAAAAAGTGTGTTTAGGCTAATAACTTCTTCATAGTTTGTCGCACATTCATAAACCTTATATCCACGCGTTCGGTGAATGGAGCTGATCGCACGACATTTTTCACCTAGCACCTGGGGACCGCCCTGGCAAAAAGAGTAATTTGAACATTTTTGAAATTTCAAACAATAAGCACGCTATAAAATTCTAACTTCCTGTACATTTTCCGTCAAAAAAGGAAGTGGACCATTTCTCCACATTGCTATGTCCGATTGACATCAAGCTTGGGTCGTTAGTTCCTCATGTCTTCCTTAGGCATCGTGCACAATTTCAGGTCATCACCTCTAGGTGGCGCTCTTTAAAATGAAGAAGTTTATATGTCCATAACGACACGTGTGATTGAAATGAAACTTGGTACGATGCTTGCCCATGGCTTCCTGAGGCTCGGTAAAAAATGTGTCAACAATCTGCCACTAGGTGGCGCTCTGGTGGCATAGTAAATCACTGTGCGGAGACCGTAATAGGTATGAATATGAAATTCACAGGTTACGTGTAGAGTGGTGCCTGAAGCTCACATACCAAAAATCATGTTTGTCGTGTTTGTAGCGCCCCCTACAGGATAAAAACAAGGCAGCCCCGGCGCCACGTTTCACCGATATGTACGAAACTCGGTAGGCACGTGTAACATGCCGGGACGTACAAAAAAGCCTCTTGGACCCATACCCGAAACCCCACAGGAAGTCGGCCATTTTGATTTAAAGTTCCAATTTCAGTGAACTTTTCGCGTTGTATTTGAACGAACTCCTCCTAGGGAATTTATCGGATCTGCTTCAAAATTTGTGAGTACAGTCAGAAAATGGTGCTGATTAAAAGTTGTGCTATTTGTGACTGTACGTTGAAGGGCGTGTCCGTGGCTTTCCCTCAAAGTTGGCCAGGTTGAATCGAATGTCAAACTGTGATGCTATTTCCGGCCTTTAAGGGCTTCTGTTTTAACTAACTCCTCCTACAGATTTTATCAGATTGACTTCAAATTCGATCACTTCAATCTACACACATTGGTTATTAAAAGTTGTGCTATTTCTGACTGTATGTTTAACAGTGTGCCCGTGACGACGTGTCGAATTCCACCGATTGGCCATCAAACAGATAGTACTCATATCTTCAGTGTACAGTCCCACCCTGAACACGTCCTCATAACTTCAGCGTACATGATCCAATCTCAATGAAACTTCACATGTTTGATAACAGTCCCACCCTGAACACGTCTACATGACAATATTCAGACATAGTGATAGCGCCACCTACTGGCAATAGGAAGTAAGCGCTGCGCGGCGATTTTGAGCTGAGTTACGTGAAATTTCATGTTTTGGTCCGCACGTGTAACGATGGCACACGAGACGGCCGAAGCACGTGTTAATTTTATAGTGTGCTTATTTTTTGAAATTTCAAAAATGTTGTCCCCAGGTAGTAGGTGAAAAATGTCATGCGAATCGGACAAAGCGTGTAGGAGGACCACGAAAAAGTAGTTTAAGGACATTTCTCTACTCTCTAACGAAAAGAAATGATAGGCGGAAGTGGGCGGGGCCTATATGGGGAGATTCAGCTCCATTCACCGAACGCGTGGATATAAGGTTTATGAATGTGCGACAAAATATGCAGAAGTTATTAGCCTTAACGCACTTTTTATGATAATAGCGCCACCTAGTGGCTAACCTGAAAGTGACGCATAGAATATAAAATTTTTCACCAGGCCTGACCACTTTGCCAAATAAAATTGAGTTTTCGTAAATGTTCGGGGGGAAAAACGCAGTCGAAGTGGCCTAAAAATAATTAAAAAAGGGAAGAAATCGGGCAAAAACAATAGGGACCTCCAGCGGTCGCTGGCTCGGTCCCTAATTATGCTCTTTAAGCAATGTACCAAAAATGTATTCAAACAATATATTCACTCTTTTTAGTGCAGATGAATGTTAGTAAGATGTTTGAGTAAGTTTGAAGTACTTGACACCGACGTGGATAGGCACCGAGGGGATAATGTGCATTTCACGATTACATTTGTTCCTTTAATTTCTTGGAGGGAAAGGTAATGGCTATACTTCCGTTTAGAGAAGGCTACTTTTGGATTATTTGGGCTCGTCGTACCTGTTGTACCTGTTGTACCTGTTACACCTGTTGTAGCTGTTATACCTGTTGTACCTGTCGTACCTGTTACACCTGTTGTACCTGTTGTACCTGTTACACCTGTTACACCTGTTGTAGCTGTCGTACCTGTCGTACCTGTTACACCTGTTGTACCTGTTGTACCTGTTGTACCTGTCGCACCTGTCGTAGCTGTCGTACCTGTTACACCTGTTACACCTGTCGTACCTGTCGTACCTGTTACACCTGTTGTACCTGTTACACCTGTTGTACCTGTTGTACCTGTTACACCTGTTGTACCTGTTACACCTGTTACACCTGTTGTACCTGTTGTACCTGTCGTACCTGTCGTACCTGTTACACCTGTTGTACCTGTCGTACCTGTTGTACCTGTTACACCTGTTGTACCTGTTGTACCTGTCGTACCTGTCGTACCTGTTACACCTGTTGTACCTGTCGTACCTGTTACACCTGTTACACCTGTTGTACCTGTTGTAGCTGTCGTACCTGTCGTACCTGTTACACCTGTCGTACCTGTCTCTCGCTGACTGACTGCTTGTGTTGTTCGTTGTGTGTCCGACTGTGTGTGCTCTGGAACATCGCCCACCTCTACCTCTGATTGGCTGACTATAATAAGTGTAAAAGATGAGTTATTAACATATTGTTTATAGGCAGTGTAACTGATAGAAGATCAATACTGAGTTCTCTTATCAGCCAATCGATCAGAGAGGTGCAGAGTTAGCTGTTTGCTGCGTTAGCTCCGTTAGCCGGTATTAGCTGCGTTAGCTCCGTTAGCCGGTATTAGCTGCGTTAGCTCCGTTAGCCGGTATTAGCTGCGTTAGCTGCGTTAGCCGGTATTAGCTGCGTTAGCTCCGTTAGCCGGTATTAGCTGCGTTAGCTGCGTTAGCCGGTATTAGCTGCGTTAGCTGCGTTAGCCGGTATTAGCTGCGTTAGCTGCGTTAGCCGGTATTAGCTGCGTTAGCTCCGTTAGCCGGTATTAGCTGCGTTAGCTCCGTTAGCCGGTATTAGCTGCGTTAGCTGCGTTAGCCGGTATTAGCTGCGTTAGCTCCGTTAGCCGGTATTAGCTGCGTTAGCTCCGTTAGCCGGTATTAGCTGCGTTAGCTCCGTTAGCCGGTATTAGCTGCGTTAGCTGCGTTAGCCGGTATTAGCCTCTGTTAGCCGGTATTAGCTGCGTTAGCCTCCGTTAGCCTCTGTTAGCCCCTGTTAGCCCCTGTACCTTCAGACTGGCTCCTTTCCTCCGGACTCTCTCATCCTTGGACAGTTTTGTGTTTCCAGCGGATCATCCTGCTGACAATAAAACATCTGTTTACATCAACAAGCGCGCCATTTCTCCTCCTCTTCCTCCTCTTCCTCCTCCTCTTCTTCAGGTTGATGCTGGTAGCAGCGTTTATGTGTATTACCGCCACCTGCTGGACGGGATGTGAATCAGCACATTGACAGCAAAACAAACATTATAATTCCTGTTAGTTCAAATATTAAATACTCATATGATTTTATTCTACAACATATATTTTAAAATATATTTATAAATAATATATATTTTAAAATTATATAAATAATATATTTTAATATATATTATTTTTAAAATATATATATTAATATATATTATATATTGAGTTTCTTCTTTGCAATGATGCTATGATGTAATTCCATAGAGAAATGATATGTAAAGCAAGATTAAATTATATTTTATATTATATTCTATATTATTTTCCAGTTAACTTCATTTAATCCACAACGTGTTTTGTTATAATATTAAATTAACACCATCCTCCCAGCTGATACTAACAACACACACACACACACACACACACACACACACACACACACACACACACTGATAAACTTCGTTTTTTTTGTAATTTAAGTTTTTATTTATGAACATACAGCTTACATACATAATAAGGTCGGACAACAAAATTACAAATTGGTGAGGTGTTCCTCGTTAAAGGAGAAAAAAAAAAAGTACAAAAAATACTGAGGTACAGGATTACAAACAAACAGCCTACTAGTTAGAGGTCAGGTAGTCATAAAATAATCCCAGCTTCCTTGAACCACAGGTCCCCTGCCCCTTATTCTTGTCAACATAATCTCACATGATGCTGTTTCACTCATCAAAGCTTTCCACTCATTAAATGTTGGGGTAGTGGATGCTTTCCAATGTCTCAGAATAATTCTGGAAGCTCAGGTTGTTAAACTTCCTTTTAATATCCAATCCAATCCAATCCAACTTTATTTGTTAAGCACTTTAAAAACAACCAAAGTGCTGTACAGGAGAATAAATAATCTGTGTTTGTTTTCCAGCCAGATCTTCTGCTGATCCCGATACTGTCCGATCTGCTCAGAGGAAATGCATTGCAGGTACAGGCACATATTTTACACCTGGAGTGGGTTGCACCAACTGCTCTTTACTGAGCCTGGTCCTAACTGCTGAGTCCGTCTTTGTTAAGACCAGTCTTTAGAATGGACCTTGGTAAATAAAGGCAATTATTCAACTTTAACTGGGACTAATGGAAGAATCACACTCATTCTAGTAGCTGTTATACGGCCGTTGTTGCTCAGTCCTCGCAGCGATTATCGGTGTCATCAGGGAACTGTTGGCTCTCAATAATGTTATAAGGGGGACGGTCTAGACCTGCTCTATATGAACCAATGTTAAGTGCACACTGAAAAAAGGAGATTGGCCAACTCTTAGATTTATGTAAGCATCTTGGGTGTATTTAACACAATTGCCTCATGTTTTAAAGTTAAACGTAACTATATAGTGTAGAAACTACACAATATGCAGAGAGGGTACATGAATTTGTTCAGATCATGTTGGGATGAAGTGAGTCAATAAAATAGCGATGTTGATTATCGCGATACCGCACGCGATCTCGTCTTGCGCGCTTTAAAATGTTGATAGAAGAAGAAGTCAACCGTCACATCCAAGGGCTTGCGGTACGCCACGCCACGCCACCAGTCGGTCAGTAAGTATGGACTTTTCTAATTAAATATTGCCGAAATCTCAACCAAGTGTAGTTTAATGTCTTGAGAGTCACTATTAACGTTAACGTTAAATAACTGCCATGAGCTTATTTGCTCGCGCTATTTTATCACCATGTTTAAGTTGAATTTGTTTTTTGAGCGGGAGCCGTTCATGTTACATTCAACTTAACTTTGCGACGCTCCTTAGTCTGTTTCTGTTTGAAATTAGTTTGCCAACTGACTGTTCAGTTACAGTGTGTGTTAACTGCACCGTGACCGTAGCGTTAGTGACATTTGGCCATGAGCAGTCTCTGCTAATGTCATAAGCGGCATTAAGCTAGCGACACCCCCCCCAAACACCGTGTAATGAGACCATGAGCAGACGGAGAGGAAATTCAGACAATAAAGGACATTAACTGGTGCCTGCTCTGTCTGAGGCAGTGGTAGCATAGTAGTAGTAGTTAATCCAACATGTTCTTTTTTTCAGTGCAGCATTGTGCAGCGGTTTCTATGAAGGGTAAAAATGACCCCTCAGATGATTAATGAAGCTGTTTCAGCAAAGGTCACAGACTGAGAGATCAGAGTTACATTAGAAAATGTGAGGGGGGTAAAAATGACCCCGTGGTGGTTCTAGTGTTAAGACCAGGTGTGTTGGTGCAACCTGAGCAGTGACGCTGACTTCAGAGCTCTGAACTAAAACTCTGCTTCATAAAGTGCAGTTACAGTTTGGATCGTTGTTCACTTTCAGGTGGAAATGTTTCCTCTCGTCATGTTTCTGTTACTTTAAAGCTTCCTGACTTTGATTCTCTGAGAATTCAAACTGTTGCTGCTGTTATTTCTGTTACTACCACTGGGACACGCCAAAATCACACTTTTGTACAGTCTGTATAAAATCATCGACTCCATTTACTGATGAAGACCATGAGATGCTGTTGAAAGCTTATTTAGATCTTTTCCACTGTTCTATTGTCGAAGAGAAATCATTCAAGTCCAGGTCAGGTTTGCTGTGGTGGTGTGAGTTTATTAAAGCATGCCGGCATCTTGGTGAACTTACATATACAGAGCAGGATTTTAAAGGAGACATACTATGCCCCTTTTCAGGTTCATAATTGTTTTTTGTGGCTCTACTTCAAAATCAAGAGGTGACATTTCAAGAGTTAAAACAGTGTCAAGTATAACAAGTAGAAAAATGAAAATAAAAAATGAAAATAAATTAGATCAGATAAGGAATAACTAATAGTAAAAAAATTACAAAAAAAACCCCCAAAAAAACAAAAAAACCCCAACAACAAATACACAGAACAAAACAAAAACACAAAATGGTCACCCACTGCTTAATGAAAGCCCGATATGTTCACTTAAACAGGGATAAATAAAAAACATCCAAGCATGCTACAAATTCACACAAGAAAAACTCACAATTAGTAGACAATCAGGGTGGCTACTCTGGAATAGCTGTAAAATCAATCCCTCAACATGTGCAAAAAATGGACCCCAAGTTTTATTAAACTTTGCAAGAGAACCATGTATCAAGCAACTAACTTTCTCCAACTTCACAAACTGAAGGATGTGTCTGATCCAAGGCGAGTGAGAGGCGGCGCAAGAGACTTCCACCTCAGTAAAATCAAACATCTAGCCAATAAGGAGACAAGGGCTACAAAGTCAGCTTTATTTTTAGGAAACTGCAAAGTAGGAGGTAAAACCCTAAACAAAGCGCTACATGCTGTTGGATCAAATCGAACCCCTGTACAAACAGAAATAGAGTTAAATATCTGTGTCCAAAAATTAAGTAGTGAAGGACCAAAACATATAGACATGGGTAGCTGGAGCCTGATGACATCTAATGCACATGGGATCGACATCATTATAGATTTTGGAAAGCCTAACTTGAGTGAGATGGGTACGATGTAGAATTTTGCACGGAGTCAGACCATGTCTAGCACAAATAGATGAGGAGTAAACCCGACGCAGAATGGCATCCCACAGCTCCTCGGAGATCTCCTCCCCTAGATCCTCCTCCCATTGGGTTTTACTTTTATGCTGCGGGGTTAGCTACAAAGAATAGATAAGATTGTATAAATGTGAAATAGCACCCTTAATGGTAGGAAATGGGGTTAAAAAGGAGTCAATTAGAGAGGCTTCTGGGAGACCTGGGAAATTGCGGCAAAATAGCATTGAAATTGCTTCCAAATTTTAAAAATGGATTTAACTAAAGGGAACATATTATGCAAAACCAACTTTTTAATCATTTGATTATGTACATTTGGGACTTTGGAGGCCTATCAGCAGACAAAGTCTGAAAAACAATGACTCAGTCAAGTTTTTGTGGGCTGCCTCAGAATATAGGAGAGAAGTCACTCAGTTTCAGAAGTCGGTAGTTTGTGACGTCATCTGCTCTGCCTGTTGCCACCCACCTCTCTTTACTTCCTGTTGACTATCGGAGCTCCGCCATTGTTACTATAAAAGGCAAGCTAGTGGAGAACAAGCAAGTCCAGCCAGCAGCCTGCAGCCTAATGTCTGGGCAAAGGCCTCAGCAGATAAACTGTTCAGTCATTGGCCGCACAGCCCAACACTAATTTACATATGTAAATGTATGTAAATAATTTTTTATGGCAATGTCCGACTAGAGTCAGAGAAACCAGAATGTGTGTGAATCTTCGTGTCGGACTGTTTTCACAACCTCGGTCAGTACAACAGTGGACTGACTGACAGACTGTTCCTGAAAGAGGGATTGTACCAACTGTCTGTGGAGAGACGGCAGAGGAAGTCACTGGAAGGATTTTTAAGACTTTATGCTGTTTTTCATTGTTCGTGTACTGCTAGCACATGCTAACCGCTGTTAGCTACAGAAGCGTCAGTGATGCTAATGTAGTTATTGTTTGTTAAATGTTTGTTAAATGTTTGTTAAATGTTTGCAAGATGAAGATGAAACTTATAAGGTGAAGGTAATGTATTAACCAGCTGGTGCAGATGTCTCCATATTCTCCCCTGCTGATATTTTTATAGAGATTCACACAAAGTTTATTATAAGTTTATACAGAGAATCACCGAGCTTCGTGCCGGTGGGGATTGGCTTTATGTTCGTCTGTATGTTGTAGAACAGGCAGGATAACGTTAGATAGGTTTAATTGTCTTTAACCTGGTACATATCTAACAGCTAAGTATCTGTTCACCGTGTGGATCAATACAGCTGTGATCAGGAGACACTGTACTGTGTATAAATTCAGCAGCGGAGGTCATTAGTTTGGTAGCATTGTAGCTTTGATTAGCACACAGCAGCTCTGTGATGTCACTGTGTTACTATAGTTACTGAGTCCGTCGAACTTTATGTTGTAATACGAGGGACAGTGTGATCGTTAACCCTCGTTAGAAGCTACCAAAATACCGGGAGTGAGTTATGGTGATTCTTTTCTGTTTGTGTAACTTGCTAACGTGCTAACCAGCTGGGGCTAGCTGCATTGTTTTCTCTCTCTGTCTGTCTGTCTGTGTGTGTGTGTGTGTGTGTGTGTGTGTGTGTGTGTGTGTGTGTGTGTTGTGTGTGTGTGTGTGTGTGTGTAAATTAACTTGATCTACGAGCACCAGAGTTAACGATAGAGCTTCTGTGACAGAGTCAAACTGCAGGGATTCATTAGTTTAGTAATATTGTGTAACTACGACGCTAATAAAGGTTTTCTGATCCATATATTTAGTGTTACTGCTGTACTGGTATTACTGAAGATATAAGGGCAGGTCCAGTGTATCATCTCATACTCATATCATCTCCTATTGTATAATTAACCTCACCGAGGCTCACTGCTAAATGTCTGTTATTGCACCGGGAACTTGTTGCAACATCAGCTGCTGTCAGGGTTCGGTCAGTACCCAAAAGCAGACTAGAGCCAATGGTGAAAGTTTAGAGGTTTATTAGATAATAAACTGACTGGGATGAATGAGTTGAGGGGTGTTTGGGCTGTGTCCAGGTTCTGTTGAGGAGGGAGAAGTTGGAGAAGCTGGCAGGAGAGGCGAGGTGGTGGAAAATCCAGATGGCCGTGCAGATTGGCAGGGAAGTCAGGTAATCCAGGGGGACAGGGCAAATCTCCTGAGGGCAAAAGGCAAAGTCGCGAATAAGGCAAACAGGAATACAGAACAAAACTAGACTGGTATCAGCGGCTGGTGGGCTGCGTACACAGGTAACACAACAATCCGACGAGGACTGGAGAGCTGGCCAGGTCTAAATAGAGTGCGGTGATGAGGGAATGCAGAGCAGGTGCTTGATGGGAGACAGAGAACAGGTGTGCCACAGCCATATTGAGCCGGAGACCACGCCCACCAACTCCAGGAGACATGAAAGAGAAAACAGACAGACAAAAAGCAAAACCCACCAAGCACACAGCAAACACAAAAAATAAACAAAAGCCACTCATACACACACAGCCACCAGCCAGGGCCACGGTCAGGAGAGCGTGACAGTTACAGTCAGTAAATGTCCTGTGTGTGTATCTGCTGCCATTAGATAGACATTGTGTTGGTAACCTCAGACTGTTTCAACAACACATCACTACAGTTAGCTGCAACAAGGAACCACCAGAGACACTGCTTTATTATTTTAGTTTATTACTCAGGACTACTTTGAGCCACAAGGAGCTGTTGTAATTGTTTTATATTATACTGTATATTATATGCTGCCTTACAAGTAACACTGAATCTGCCATGTCTTACAGGTGACCTGATGAAGCTCAGGAGTTCCTGGACCCATCAGAGGACAGAGACAGCTGCAGCATCAGGACAGTCTGAAGGATCATAAAAGTTTACATAAAAGTTCTAGCTTTGTTACTTACACCATGTGTAACTGGAATATGAATGAAACATAAATAAAGTGTTTTACTTTTAAGAAGAGTTTTGGTCATTTTTAAATTCAGTAATAAGTGTGATTTTATATAAATAACATGTTATTTCACAAAGGTTTTATGAAGATTTCCTGGATGTACAAGAGTTGAAAACCTGGTTCGTGTAACATCTATCAATATGAAAATGTGGAACTTAAACCTGTATTAATGACTGTAAGCAACACAATACATTACTGTCTCACATTCAAACTTTATTATGTTGGAAGATAAATTACATCACAATATATAATATAAATGATAGAATATTCAGTATACAGTATTTTTAATGGGGTTCAAACATAATTGCAGCTTTTACAAATATCTGAAGGTTAACTTTGGTAATAATACTTTTAAGTTTAAATATCAGAGTATGAAATATGGATACAGTACAGTTTACAGTTGGTTACTAAGCAGTTTTTCAACCCCATAAACAATTTACTTTAATATATGAGTGATTCCTTCAGTTATGTTGACGTGTTGTACAGGATAAAGTATTCCAGGTTTCTGTTTCCATGGTCTCAGTAAACTAATGTGTATAAAGAATATAACAGATGGGAGGTTACAGTAATCATTATACTATTACTCTGAATACTTCGGTACATTTACTGGCTGTTTCTTCACTAGAAACAGCTGCTTGACTAATGTTGTTAATATTATGTAATATATAATATGTTTAACTTCACTGGGCTGTGTAGACTGTAGGTCACTGCTCACTGCTGTACCTGTAAAGACAAGCATAAAACACAGTGTTGGTTCTCATAGTTAAGATATAAACACTAACATTATGTGATAGATAGAGGTTAATATATAGTCTCAGCGTGTGAATGAAATGAAAGGAGGCAGTCCTTATCAAAGATAACTCCAAGATTCCTGACAGTGGTGCTAGAGGCCAAGGTAATGCCATCTAGAGTAACTATATCTTTAGACAGTGAGTCTCTAAGGTTTTTGGGGCCAAGTACAAGAATTTCGTTTTTTAACATCAGAAAATTGCAGCTCATCCAGGATTTTATGTCCTTAAGACATGTTTGTAATTTAGATAATTGATTAATTTCATCGGGCTTGATTGATAGATATAACTGCGTATCATCTGCATAACAGTAAAAGTTAATGGAGTGATTCCTAATAATGTTGCCTAAAGGGAGCATATATAAAGTAAATAGTATTGGTTCAAGTACAGAACCTTGTGGAACTCCATGACTATCTGTAGTATTTATTGAAGATTCATCGTTAACATGTACAAACTGCGAACAATCTGAAAATATGTGCGCTTCCTTTAATGCCAATTTGATGCTCAAGTCTCTGTAAAAGAATATTATGGTCAATCTTTCTTTATTATCAGGATATGTACCACAGTCCTTTAAAGTAGCTGTAATTAAACCCCTTCTTAAAAAGTCCACTCTTGACCCAGGGGTTTTAGCCAACTATAGACCGATTTCTAACCTCCCGTTCCTCTCTAAGATTCTGGAGAAAGTAGTCGCCAAAGAGTTGTGTGACTTTCTACATAACAATAGTTTATTTGAGGATTTTCAGTCAGGATTTAGAGTTCATCATAGCACAGAGACAGCTCTGGTTAAAGTTAATAATGATCTTCTGACTGCTTCTGACAATGGACTTGTCTCTGTACTTGTATTATTAGATCTTAGTGCTGCATTTGACACCATTGACCATGATATTCTTTTACAGAGACTTGAGCATCAAATTGGCATTAAAGGAACTGCCCTAACCTGGTTTAAGTCATACTTATCAGATCGTTCTCAGTTTGTACATGTTAACGATGAATCCTCCATAAATACTAAAGTTAGTCATGGAGTTCCACAAGGTTCTGTACTTGGACCAATACTATTTACTTTATATATGCTCCCTTTAGGCAACATTATTAGGAATCACTCCATTAACTTTCACTGTTATGCAGATGATACGCAGTTATATCTATCAATCAAACCCAATGAAATTAATCAATTATCTAAATTACAAACATGTCTTAAGGACATAAAATCCTGGATGAGCTGCAATTTTCTGATGTTAAACTTCTTGGCCCCAAAAACCTTAGAGACTCATTGTCTAAAGATATAGTCACTCTAGATGGCATTAACTTGGCCTCTAGCACCACTGTCAAGAATCTTGGAGTTATCTTTGATCAGGATTTGTCATTTAACTCCCACATAAAGCAGACCTCTAGGACTGCCTTCTTTCATTTACGTAATATTAGAAAAATTAGACACATACTATCACAGACAGATGCAGAAAAACTAATCCATGCATTTGTTACTTCAAGGCTGGATTACTGCAACTCTTAATTATCAGGTTGCCCCAATAAGTCCATTAAAACGCTCCAATTAATTCAGAACGCTGCAGCACGAGTACTGACAGGAACTAGAAAAAGAGATCACATCTCTCCTGTACTAGCTACTCTGCATTGGCTCCCTATAAAATGTAGAATTGAATTTAAAATCCTCCTCCTCACCTATAAAGCTCTTCATGGTCAGGCCCCTTCATATCTTAAAGAGCTCATAGTACCCTATTACCCCACTAGAACACTACGTTCTCTGAATGCTGGGCTACTTGTGGTTCCTATAATCTCTAAAAGTAGAACAGGAGCCAGAGCCTTCAGTTACCAAGCTCCTCTCCTGTGGAACCAGCTTCCAGTTGTGGTTCGGGAGGCAGACACCCTCACCACATTCAAGAGTAGGCTTAAGACATTCCTCTTTGATAAAGCTTATAGTTAGGGCTGGATCAGGTGAGTCCTGAACCATCCCTTAGTTATGCTGCTATAGGCCTAGACTATCGGGGGATTTCCCATGGTGCACTGAGCTACTCTCTTCCTCTCTCTTTCTGCACTCATTCATGTCCCTTTAATGCATGTTACTAACTCCACTTCTTCCCCGGAGTTCTTGTGCTTTCTCGTCTCGCAGGTTCTCATGGATCCTGGTGGAGCCTCCTGCCATGGTCCTGCTTGACTGCCATTGCCAATACTGTTGTTGCTGTGCATCTGTCTGTCTCTCTCTGTCTCTCTCTCCTCTCTCTCTCTCTCTCTCTCTCTCTCTCTCTCTCTCTCTCTCTCTCTCTCTCTCACCCCAACTGGTCGAGACAGACGACCACCCACCTAGAGCCGGAGGATCTGTCCTAGGTTTCTGCCTTTTAACAGGCAGTTTTTCCTTGCCCTTGTCGCCAAGTGCTTGCTCATGGTGGTACTGTTGGGTCTCTGTAATTAATGTTAAAGAGTTCGGTCTAGACCTGCTCTATTTGAAAAGTGTCCTGAGATAACTTCTGTTATGAATTGGCGCTATACAAATAAAATTGAATTGAATTGAATTGAATTGGTGTCAAATGCAGCACTAAGATCTAATAATACAAGTACAGAGACAAGTCCATTGTCAGAAGCAGTCAGAAGGTCATTATTAACTTTAACCAGAGCTGTCTCTGTGCTATGATGAACTCTAAATCCTGACTGAAAATCCTCAAATAAACTATTGTTATGTAGAAAGTCACACAACTCTTTGGCGACTACTTTCTCCAGAATCTTAGAGAGGAAGGGGAGGTTAGAGATTGGTCTATAGTTGGCTAAAACCCCTGGGTCAAGAGTGGACTTTTTAAGAAGGGGTTTAATTACAGCTACTTTAAAGGACTGTGGTACATATCCTGATAATAAAGAAAGATTAATCATATCCAGTAAAGAAGTGCCAATTAAGGGAACAACTTCTTTAAGCAGCCTCGTTGGGATCGGGTCTAATAGACAGGTTGATGGCTTCGATGAAGAAATGATTGAAGTTAACTGATGAAGATCGATAGCAGAAAAACAGTCTAAATATATATCTAAGTCCTTCCATCCTTTCATCCTTCCTTTCTTCCTACCATCCTTCCCTACTTCCTTCCTTCCATCCTTCCATCCTTCCATCCTTTCATCCTTCCTTTCCTCCTACCATCCTTCCCTACTTCCTTCCTTCCATCCTTTCATCCTTCCTTCCTTCCTTCCTTCCTCCCATCCTTCCATCCTTCCTTTCTTCCTACCATCCTTCCTTCCTTCCTTCCATCCTTCCTCCCTTCCTTCCATCCATCCTTCCTTCCTTCCTTCCCTCCTTCTTTCCATCCTTCCTTCCTTACGTCCATCCTTCCTTCATCCATCCCACATCCTTCCTTCCTTTCTTCCTTCCTTTCTTCCTTCCTTTCTTCCTTCCATCCTTCCTTCCTCCCTTCCTTCCATCCTTCCATCCTTCCTTCCCTCCTTCCTTCCATCCTTCCATCCTTCCATCCTTTCATCCTTCCTTCCATCCTTCCATCCTTCCTTCCTTCCTTCCTTCCATCCTTCCTTCCTTCCTTCCTTCCTTACGTCCATCCCTCCTTCATCCATCCCACCATCCTTCCTTCCTTTCTTCCTTCCTTCCTTCCTTCCTTCCATCCTTCCTTCCTCCCTTCCTTCCTTCCTTCCTCCCTTCCTTCCTCCCTTCCATCCTTCCTTTCTTCCTTCCTTCCTTCCTTCCTTCCTTCCTTCCTTCCTTCCTTCCTTCCATCCTTCCTTCCCCCCTTCCTTCCATCCTTCCTTCCTTCCTTCCTTCCTTCCATCCTTCGTTCCATCCTTCCTTCCCCCCTTCGTTCCATCCTTTGTTCCATCCTTTCATCCTTCCTTCCATCCTTCCATCCTTTCTTTCTTCCTACCATCCTTTCTTCCTTCCATCCTTCCTTCCTTCCTTCCATCCTTCCATCCTTTCATCCTTCTTTCCATCCTTCCTTTCTTCCTACCATCCTTCCCCTCCTTCCATCCTTCCTTTCTTCCTTACTTCCATTCTTCCTACCATCCTTCCTTCCATCCTTTCATCCTTCCTTCCGTCCTTCCTTTCTTCCTTCC